TGTTTAACGTGATTTAAATACGACTCAATACCGTCTACTATTACTATGATGATTACTTGTGAACCCGCGAACATGGAAGTACAACTATTCACTCATCAACTCTCATGTAACAGCGTGTTTATGTCTACGTCTACAAAGACTCTTTTGCTGCAAACAAACATCTAATCACTAAACGTTTACGGCACCGAACAGAGGTGTAACATACCGTGACAAATATTCCATTCGCCTCAAATGTTACTGCCATGAAATGTTAGCAAACTGCTAATATAGATTTGAAGTATTTGTTTGGATTGAATCAACTTGTGACTTGTAAAGCTTGCCACTAGTTTAATCTTTTTCTGTTTTTTTTTTCGAAAAAATCAACTATCATGCTTTACACTTATGTACAACGTACGAACTACACTTTGATAAAACTATATTTCAGTAGCTTCCAAGGTTTGGCTTTAATTTAGCATTGAAGTAAGGTTAGGATTAAAAATTTCGTAAGATGGAAAAAAGTTACCTCGTAAAAATTTAGTCCATATCGACTTGTGGTGTCAATACTGTATCTCTTCAGTACACATTTATATGCCCAAAATTAGTTTCATGAAGAGCACATCGAAGTTCTTTTATTTAATTTAATACATACTATGGAACCCTATTTCATATCATTCTATTGTATCTGCTGATAGTTAGGCGTACGTTGTCGACAATGGAGTTCACCATTAACCAATATGTGTCGGAAAAGTAACGACGTTTTTATTACTCCAGTAACAGCGTCCGAGAATCTGGAAAGTCCCATTTGCTACTTTCACCCAGACTTTGAAGCGTGAGATTGAAAATGTGTTCTCACGAGTTATTTTGATAAATTATACACGCACCAGGCCAGGGTGTCCAAGGTTGCCGTCTCCGCGGGCCACAAAATTATTTTTGCATTGTTCGCGGGCCACAACAGTGCCAAGAATAGGTAAACAGCGCAATGCAAAACAAACACTTTTATTGTGCAAACACATAGTTATCAGACATACCAGGCTAAAAAAATCCGCATCCGATTTTTAGTTTTCTATGATGCATACATATATTGTTGGCATATATTCCCGACCAAAAAGATAGAAAGCCAGATAATCATAGTTGCCTCAGATAGCCATAACACTAGTCAATTCAGTAACATTAGTGATGAAACAATATGTCAAAAGCTTTTTCTGATTAATTTTATTACGAAACAACACGGAATGCGATTTTTGGATTTCTCCGAATGTGACGCGGGCCAGAGATGATGAAGCAGCGGGCCACATGTGATTGTTCGCATGTTTCACACAATATATTTGATTGGTTTTGGAAAGAAAAATTTGATGTCAGTAATCACTATGCTTGAAAACTCATTTTAATTTCTTGGTTTGGAGAGCTTTTACTGGACGATTATATTTGATTATCGATGATTTCTTTGGAAGGGTTATTTGGAAATAAAAGTATAAAAAAAATATGGTAATAATATTTTCGGTTATAAAAGAGTTTGACTTTTAAATAATTTAGAATGTGGCTCTCAAACGTGAAAATCAAATATATGTTCTTCTGTAATATTCGCCATACCTTAAACAAATATTATTATCATATTTTCACAGTTTTGGAGAAAAAGCTTGTGTCTACAAAGTAGGTTCTTCTCGTCTTAGCTCTGTTTTTATCTGTTTGTGCAATTACTTCAGTTGGAGTTGTTGTATGGAAAACGGAAGAAAATAAAGGTAGGTTTTGGTGGCTTTTAAACTTTATTACATCAATATCTCAAATGCATGCTTTAATATGAACTTAAATATAAATATAGCCTAAGTACAGAACGCCATATAACCTGATAAGCTGTGAAGGCGACAAAAACATTTCGACCAAGAAGCCGGCTTGTAGACTATGTAGCTGACTGTATTTCTGAATTCCTTCATTTGTCAAATCCAGACATCCAAACCATACTTTGGTCTAAATCCTACCGTAAGCGCTGCCAAATGCAAAGGGCAACCCGAAAGAAAGAACTGGCCTTGAGCCCGATCGATCGAGAACGGGGAAACACGGGCTCGTAACACGTGAAATCTGTGTGATGTCATAATTAGCAAGTAATAAATGACACGTGCCACTAGGTCGATTATTACAATTTATGGAAATGTGAAATTAGGAATCTTATGGCAAAATCACCGTGATTCATTTGTTGTCATTTTCAGACTCACCATGCAGGAAACTGGCCGCACCAGAACATGGGAATGTGACTTGCTCAACTGGGTCTGATCAATACAATATTAAATGTAATTTTGTGTGCGACGAAGGTTACGGAATTATTGGAAAAGATACGATTCTATGCAGTGGGGGGTAATGGAACGACAAGAAGCCTGTTTGCGAGAGAGGTTTGTTGGATGTTCAAAACATAGTTTCGTTGCTCTATAAAGAAGTAGTAGGCAAATTTAGGTTGGGAACTCATGTTTTAATTTGTTGTGAGTTGTGACTATCAATAAATACTGGTTAACCCAGTGGTTCTCAACATTTTTTAATTTGCGGAACGGTAAAATTCCGAAACGAATTTTGCGGACCGATGAACCTTCAAAATCAACCCAAATTGTCAAAAACACAATACATATTTGAACGAATGTAATTACGACAAAGCATGCAATTCAAAAGCAGACAATTCATTTGTTGATAAATTTGTCTGTCGATATCATACGTGTTAACCCCGCTTCTAATGAAGTTTCTGCAAGGCGAAACAAAGCGTTGACTTCCACACGATTATCCTGTTAGGTCTTGGTGAGAGATAACAAGGATTGACATTTTCGGAAAATATTTTCTAAAACTAAATTGAACGGTAAAAGTTACGTAACGTACGAGCTACTCAGCCAGTTTAAAATAAATCCAACAAGGCAAGTACTATGTGCTTCTGAACTCCTCCGTTATGATGACTAAAATCCAGCCGTTCAGGACTTGAAATAAGCGTAGGACATCTGACCAATTTTGGTTCACACATCAATAGGAGTTAAAACTCACAAAATGGGCAGGCCAATAATGTCTTGAATTTGAAAATTGAGAGATAATATTGGAATATAATTGGCGGATCGACATCAAGGTTGACGAGAACCAGAACCGGTAATTTTATCTATATTAATTGGGCTTCATGAAAAGTACATATTTTACTCAAACCCCCGCAATACATATGTATTTGAAAAAATGACTAAATCTGCAATAATTGTTTGTAATTTATATTTTAGTTTGCGATCAGCCAGAACCAGTATCCAATGGGGAATTGAACTGCACTCACCAATATTTTGTGAATTCAACATGTACTGTGAAATGTCTAAACAATCACAAAATTCAGGTAAATAATACTGAATAAATAATTGAAAACGTTGAAATTTATTCCAGGTTTGGAAAAAGTTTGTTCGCTTTTCGCATCGATTTTCAGTGTTGTTATTGAAAAAAATTGGTACTTCCGGAGTATGGGAACCAAGATGGCGGACACCGGAACGTAGTATGTGTACCAGATTAGGGTTAGGTCATAATTTCAAGTACAAATACTACGGGAGTCACTTGGCTAGTGCCCGAATTCGTAATAGAACAAAAATAAGAAAAATTGGAATACAATTTTGGCTTAACTCGAACCTGGTACACTTACTACGTTCCGGTGTCCGCCATCTTGGTTCCCATACTCCGGGAGTATTAAACATTTTATGTGCAAATAACTAGTGAACTTACAGTATATCGCCAAGCTTGGGATGAACCGGAGAAACTTTAGTTTAAATAAATATCACGTATGAAAATAACTTCACTGATATTTATTCAGGGAAACAAAACCATTTCATGCGAAACAAAAGGGAATTGGTCAAGTCCCGAACCTTCCTGTACCTGTTCACACTGTTACGTAGGAGATAAATATGAATATTCTATATCATGGACCAATGTTGATGCAACTCTAGATGACTTACAAATGTACCAAGTAATACCGGTGAGTAGCTTATGGCAATTCCTTATATTTACCTCCTGGTTGAATACTTATTATCCCTTTTCTTTTTTTCCCAAATGCAATAATGTTCTTCCATCTCTCACGAGGCCAGCCTCTTACCGTCCATCAGATAGGCTACATATAGTTTCATTTCGGAATACTTTTATGATTCTACTCTATTTCTACTTATTGTTTATTTATCTACTGAAATATGAGAATTTAGAACAAAATCGGTAAACAAAAAGTATTTTGAAACGAATGTTCGAACATGAGACAAACGTTGCAATAAATTTTTCATTCTGAATTTTTAAATTAAAATTCTAACTCAGAAATATACAACATTCTTTACTTATTATCACTGTTTTGTGTATATTATACCACTATTACGACTCTAGGTAAATTATGGCGGCCACACTTTTTCCTGCACCGCTGGAATATATAAGTGGTTTAAGTTTCACGGAAAATGCGAAGACTCAACAGCTCATCAATCACAAGATTGTAATGCAGGCGATGGATATGATTCAGCTTCAGGAGGAGCAAAGCATGCGGCGGCCGAGTTGATTCGTAAACTTGTTCGACAAACATTATATCCTGAACCCTGTGATCCTCAAAACATGCCTACGAATTGTTGACTATCGCAGTCTTTTATCTAAAATAGATAACCGTTGGCTTCAAAGATAAATCCAGATGTGAAATGCCAGACATCGATACGATGGAATTACGACTTAACCATCGCTACTATCACAAATACAATCCATTTTCTCCTGCAAATATTCTCAAGTAATATTAAACTTATACCATTAAATGATTAAAGCTGTTTACTGTGATGCACAGATGAGCAAAGGTATCAACCATGCTCATGTACCAAGCAAAACTCTAACAGTGAATTACAGAGAAAAAGACGGATATTAAACTATAGTCATGTTGTGATTAGCTAAATGGTGGTTTTGACTTCTTGCTATATTAGTCTCCGACTTCGTTCTGTAAGATGTTATTAAATTCCGAATTCACAACCTTGCTAATGAAGTTCAATCTATCTGATTCAACACCGTGATTGCGCGGTAATTTTTTTTATTCCAGAATAATTTTTCGAGTGTAACTATAATATGGTTTATTCAGAACCACATTTTCAGTTTGTGAAATCATTGTTCTCAAATTATTATTTAGTCACCAATTGCAGTTTTCTGTTAAGAAAGAATACGATTTTGTAATATTTCCATGCGAATTCTATTGCGTTATTATAACATAAAAATAAATATATTAAAATATGACTATAGCTTAAAAACGTGATTGTATTTTATTCAAGGTTACACCTTAAGGATTTTGGACACTTCTAGAGGATTATTTGAACTCAAGATATAAATTCAAACCCATGTTCTGTATATTTGTTATTGATAAAAAAGTACCAGTGTGGGTATGCCATTATTATTTTGACAGTTGTACAGTAAGACAAAAATGCAATATTTTATTCATTACATGAAAACTAAGATAGAAAATTTGCTACTATAAGTAGTATTTATTACTTTATTTCTTCTCATACTTCTGTCTGAATGACATTAAAAAAAAAATATTTTGAAAGATTTTGGATGTTTTGCTTGCTGTAGAAATGCAATATTAGAATTTCTTGGAACTTCCAATGCTATATTGTGTATATACTGAACACTCAAAACATACAATTGCATTAGCATGGTACAATACATGCGGTGTTCATCTTCAGGCTATTCTGCAAGCCTTACTGCCGGTTTTTATGTCAATCAGAACCAGTTTGGGTAATGTTTATGTTTGTCGAGTTTTTGATTTGTAGTCGTAGTTTTGACGTAATTTCTTACGTGTACGAAATGTGTCAAAACTTTTCAGTCAGTTGTTTTTTTGGCGAACAAACCTCAACAACTCTGTTTGCTTGCTCAAATAGTGCTGTTCTTCATATTAGCCACTTTGGTCCTAGAAAAACATTTATTGAAATTTAACAGTTTTGAAAAAGTGAGCTATTTAAATTATAAAACAGAAAGAAGAGTTATTAAATTTGAATATTTTGAATATTTTTATTTTAAAAGTATCGAGTATTTAAAAAAGAAAGAAGCACCAATATCACAATTTTATCATAAATAATAGTTTTTGTGCTATTGGTCCACGTAAAGATTCGATCAAAGACTCAAAAATACCTGTTTTAAATACACTAATATTTACACAGTGGCACTAAGCTACATCATTAGAAAGTTATATTGAAATATGTATTTGATACGCACAAAATACCCATTTATTTGAACCCAAATTCTAAAACATTTCATGTCATAGACCAAGCCAAACACAATACTCACGATAAGAATGACAGCATAGTCTAGTATTAGGTCCAGCACATTTGCCATCAAGATATTCTGTCGGGCAGTAATTAGTTTTATCCATACAAGTTCCATCGAGACTGTCACATCCTGGATCTTTGTAGGCGTTTTCAGCAGCTTTACCTATTTCAAAACAATATCATGACAAATAGAAACAAAGCATAATATTATCAAAAAAATTGACCATCTTAGAGTCACGGTAAGACCGATGTCTAAAGTTTTGCTTGTAATAAACAAAGAAAATAAATAACAAAATAGGTCCAATGAACTGGGAATAAGCAAACGATTCACGTTTTGTGAACAAAAAAATTACAAATAATTGAAGTAGCGACCACTTGCTAATAATTTAGATTAAATACGAGTCACAGTTCAATAATTCAAGTAATCTTATACAGTAGAACTGAAATGAATATGATGATAATCTTGATTTCCAATATGTATGTACTCACATTGTGCATCACATGGAAGACAACACCTAATGACGGAATCGCCAGTACAGAGTCCACTTCTATACCCTGCAATACATTCATAGTCAGTCCAATTTATACATTTTCCTCCTCGCTCTGTGCATTTCTTGTCGGCAGCTGTAAATATATAAAACAATCCTAAAAGCGAGATTATAATAAAGGAACACTACAATGAGAAATATTCTCTAATCAGTTTTCTTGTGTTAGGCATATATGCTATATATATAGCGTGTATTTAAAACGATATCAATACAAGACAGCGATGCTTGAATATATATGGACACGAATGCCAAAACGAAGTAGTACGGGTATGTAATCTGTCACAGTAGACTACCTGTACCGCAATCTCCACGACTTATATCAAATAACGCGAACACGGAATCGCCACAAGATTCACAATTTTTAATTGTGATGACGTCATCACACACAAAAAACCGAATCCCATATAGAGTCTAGTAGACCGTACACACATTTCTGATACAAATATAAATAGTAACGTTCTAGCAAATCAATCTTTTAACAATTGAAATTTTAAAACAATTGTTCCAGTAATTAAAGAGAAAATCAATTTTTTACAAAACAAGAAGAAAAAATACCAACAAGAACAGCAACATAATAACAAAGCGATCCATAGGTCCATTTCGTGTCTAAAAAACAATCTGTAGACTTACGATTCGGTGGGCAGCATTGTCGGTCTCCTGGGCCGTGACATTTCCCTTCAATATATTGTTGAGAACAATAATTTGATTTATCTTTACATATCCCATGAATGCTATCACAAGCAGTATCATTATATCCAGCTTCCGTCTTTTGACCTGTGGTAAATGCATATATATATATTAATTATGTTTTTGGATTATGTTTTTCTGTTTTTTTCAAAGCTATCCTGTGGAGTAAATTGACTAAATTTGAATATACCGTGTTTCCCCGAAAATAATACCTAGCTCGAAAATAGGGCCTGAATTTTAAAAATGGTTTTAATATAAGCCCTCTCCTTAAAATAAGACTAGTCGATAGCGCGAAATTATTTCTGACCTAGTCGATAGGAAGAAATCTCACCTACACGTTTTAAATTATTGCTCATTTTTTGAATAATTCATGTTTAGCACTTTTTATTTTAAATAAAAATGTGGTATTTACAAGTAAATGGATATTGGTTTTCATATTTTATATATGCGAGAATCCTCGTAATTTTGTTTTCGACAGATGAAAATAAAAGACATCCCCTCAAAATAAACCCTAGCGTTATTTTTTGAAAAAAAAAAAATGAAATAAGACCATGTATTATTTTCGGAAAAACATGGTAGTTCTGATAAGTAGGCACGGGGGCGAGTTCAACCCGTACGTTACTGCCAACTATTTCGAGAAAAGTTGCATTCCTGTGCGACAAATTCGAAAAACGATTTTAAATTTCTGATTCCTACTTCGATTTCAGAAATGACAGAAAATTCGATTTTTAACTATAACTCATGATTTCGCTAAATCGGCGTTCGTAACCTTTTATAGTTTTCAATAAAATTGCGACATTGACTCCTCACTTCAAGAAATATAAATTCCGAACCTGTCTTCCGGAAGTTTAATTTTTTACTCCACTTTCGACTTTTAAATTTGGGAAATATTGTCCTCCGACAACAATACTAGTAAAACCAGCTCACTCTGAATATACAGCCCCACAGCAAATACCAACTGTGGTGTTCTCCCCAGAATACCGCAACAGCTTCACTATAAATAATCCTTTATACGAGGTGACACGTTTTTATTCTTATCTTATCGTTTTGCGTGAGGAATTTAGGGCTGTTCAAAATCGAATATTTTCCCGAATCGAACCGAATATTATTGCGCTATCCTAAATCTGTTTCAATCGTGCAAAAAAACTCCTCTATCGATATTATTATAACATATGTGCAGTAGCATCTAAAATACGAGTACTGCTAATATTTTGCACAACTACGTTTCCAGAGGTGGTAATTGCATATGAGTTATGTTTTTGCTGGCTGTTGCAAAGTTATCCTGTGAAGTAAATTGAACAATTTTGATATAGTTCTGGCAAGACTGGCAGGAGGTAACTTCACTATATTTGAACCTGAAGGCGTATATTTTTGGGACCTTCTGGAGTATGCGCACCAAGATGGCGCACAACCTGAACTCAGGTTGTGTACCAGGTCAGGATTCAGGTTGTGCGACATCTTGGTGCGCATACTTCAGGAGTGCCTATTTTTGTTTGTATTAAAATCACGCCGAACTGGTACCTACTTACAGTCAGTATCGCACGGTAAACAGCATTGAATACTCGAGTCACCGCTGCATAATCCACTCCTATATCCAGCAACGCACGTGTGTTCGTACCAATTCAGGCATGTTCCTGATTTTGATATACACTTGTAGTTTGGATCTGTCATGATGTATAAGTTAGAAAATTTGATTATCAGTCTTGATGATTACAAGAAAGGCGAGAGAGAAAAAATATTGCTATGCTTTGACAGCGTAATAACTTTAGACAGAGAATCTGGTTTTGAATTTTAATTAACGTTTTATCTGACTATGCCTATTCTAGTCTATTTTTTCAAAATTATCAGGCATGCGACACTCTGATTATATAGTTTAATCTACTATGTCTTTCAATGCATTCCAGTAATCATCATAACCCTTCGTTCATGCTAATTTAATATGTTCATATATACATATTGCGCTTAAAAATAAAGTTTTCAGAAGCTGGTTCCTTGAGTATTTGGATGTCGTCATTTGTCCAGCGCAACGACCAGCTTGCATTCATCCACCCCCTGACCAGCGGTAGATTTTTACTTTACTCAAAACTTACCCTTACGTTTCTCCTCGCGGGCGCCGTAGGCGCAACCTTCATCAGATCGAACATTAAATTTTGCTGAGGATAAATTATTCACAAAATATTCAATATGATTAATACCTGGTGGCTTAGTCGATGTCCATATTCCAACCGAAAGTCCGATGACTACACATGCGAGAAGTACGATGACGAACAATAATTTTAGTGGCGATAATCCTGCAAACCCTGCGTCTGTAATTATACAGCAATGTCGCTGATTAAAATACACAACGTAAGGACTTATATTTACTGCGCAAATTAACTGGCAACAGAATCTCAGTATTCATAAGAACCAGTGGCGGGATTCAAAATGTTAAAAACGGGTTCTCATTTGTATTCAACTCGTTAACAACGGGTTTCCTCATTTCAGAAAATAATGACGAACCGAAACATAAACATCACGCGAACCTGTTCGAACCTTTTGAATTTGACCACTGTATATATATCTATAGTGAGTGAAGGTACAAGCACAGTTGCATCACCAAATTTGAATAAAAAATATTAAAAAACCAATATCGTAACTAATCATGGAGCATTGCAATTTTGTTAAATAACTACACTGTGGTTAAATGGGATGCATAGATTATGGGATGAACATTTCGCATGCAATATTAAATTTAGTGGGGTTTCATGCGCTACATCATACCATTATTTATGAAACGAATTGTACGAGGCTCGAAACTGCTATCACTATTATGCCTTGAAGTATTGGTGCTGGAAGAAAGTAAAGGACTGTTTTCTTCATCTCCCCTTGCACCAACGAACCGCTGTGGCGTCGTACCATTGAAAATTCTTTTTGATAAATTTCTTGTATCAGGGCTACGAATGTGCTGTGGCTTAGCTGATGATTTTGTACCCTGACTGCCTTCGGCGTAACCTGTGGTGCAGATTGACTGTCCGTGGTGTTGCATATTGCTGGATTGTGAAGACACGCTTTGATGCTGTGTATTGCCATCAGATCCCGCACGTGTCTATGTAAAAACATGACATAATTTTCTATCAAAATACGCTACTTGAGGCGATTTTTTTGAAAAATAAACGGAAACGCTTACCGACTTGTATAGTTGTAACGTTTGAATTCGAGATTCCTTAACTTGATGTTTATAACACGGAATTCGAGCTTTAATTGACAGCATCTCTTCATCAAGTTCTGAAGATATTGCAAACAAAAATTTATAAATGATTTAATAAAAAAAAAAATTAGAAACTTGTAAATCTATAGATCATTCTGCTAAATTGTTGTTGTTATTGGTATATTAAAAACCCTTTACCTTCATTTATCGCACCTATCTTTATCATATTTTTTCAGTAGTTGAAGAGGGATGCGTTTACTAGTATGCTATTATTTATTGCATTATATTAATTTTCTTGGTTCGTGGTGTTCACGCTAAAATCTGCTGGTTTTAATATATGACTACAGTACATGGGTTTTTTGCTTGATTGATTTGGTGAACATGTGACGAACACCACAACATAGTGGTTTTATTATACCGGGTGCCGTCTGGGTTTAATGTAATACATGACACGAGTTTTAAACGTAATCGACGGTAGCAGTATTCACATATATTTTTATAGAGTCACCTCTGAAACTAGGTCTTGCTTTCGGATCACTCGCCCAAGCTGACTGTATCATACTTGTCATTTCTGATGGAAATACATTGGGCAGTAAAGAAAGATCTGGTCGTTGTTTATCTGAGTCGTCAGAATGATAGTCACTAGTGACAGGCTCTGTGAAAAAATAACCAACAAACCAGTTAATCAGAGATAAAATGAGTTGCGCGTTGATGCGCAGCATTAGAGCAAACCATTTATTCGAAGTGTGAAGCATAACGACGCAAATAAAAATGGAATGAAGTTCTCTGTACAATATACGAAATGCGAGTGTAAAGGATTGATTATACATTGCGTTGTACAGGCTGGTTCCACACAACTCGCTTTAGATGAAACAAATCAGTTACGTTTATAATGTTTCAAACAAAAATATATATATACGTGATAATAATTATTATGATCAAAATATAAATGCCAAAGCATGAAAGTTTTGATACCAATTGATATTTGTGGCAGAAGTTTGTAATATTTTGCACAAAGCCTCCGCCCAAAATAAGCATCGCCACCGCTCGTGGCGTAGCCAGGTTTTGAGGGTCGAAATCCCCCCCTTTGAAATGAAGAATTATTCTGTATCATACATTGCCATTTTTCGTAGAATGAAATGCTTTATATAAACAGAATCCGCTTATAAGATTTCGAATCCCACCGCTGAACAAAACAATTGTTATATAATAATCGTAGCTGATGCACAATACACTTATATACAAAGTTCACAATCTGAAACATGTTTTACAAATTTATTCGTAATTTCTTACCTGAGTACGGCAGCTTATCTGTCATAATCTCCCACATAACTACACCGAATCTGAGTGGAATATAAAAATGTATATTTTCATGTATTTAAAACGATATCACAATATATCCTATTGTTTACTTTGTTCGATTTGAAATCTGTTTCACAAAGCAATTTAGGCAGAAGATTGTTGTTCGTATTCTAACAGGAGTTTCGAATTATCAATCCAGTATCTCCAAGAAAATTGCATGGCGCGGGAAAATTGCTTGGACATTTATCAAACACATTGCGCGTTTGTGTTTTAGTCATCCTCGATGATTACTAAATATTATTGTAACATCTGTTATCCTACATCTGTTATAAAAATACACCGACAATTGTTGATTTGTACTAGAGTTTATAAAATGCTAAGGCTGGCTCTCATAATATTATTTGCATTTGTCGATGACTTTTTGGAAGCGGATTACTTGTGTATACCCTTGATACATACACATATTTGAATAATAGTTTACTGAGCTGCGATAGACATAAATTCCATATAAATGACTAAAGAAAGTTACAACCTTGGTGATGTTTGGATATGTATCAAAAAAGCAAACACTGGATGTCAAAATCCTGAAGTTTACGGACAAAGCGATAACGGATACGTTTTCGCATTTGCTGTTACTGAGAGAGAGAGTAATAAAATAAATAAAGAAAGAAAAAACGGTACTCCCGTAGTATGTGCACCAGGTTGGGTATGGGCCATAATTATATCTGGTTTTCCTTATTTTAGTTCTATTACGAGTTTGTGGACTGTCTGTGTTAGCCAAGTGAATATCCCTGCCCATAGGTTTCACTCCCTTTGATTTGATGTAAAGTAGGCGAACAAAGTTAGCTACCTGCATATTAGTACACATACTTCTGGAGCGCTAAAAAAACAATGAAAGTCTTATCGGCAAACAAGCTGTTGGTTTTGATTTGGAGACAGCGATGCAATCAATACGGCAGAGATAACGAACCTTTTTAAAAAAGGGTCAAAAACTATATTCGTATCACGAGAAAGAAGATTGTGTGACATCAATGAGGCCCTTGTTGTTGAATCTTATCTTTGGAATAGTTGGTTTTTGTACATGCAGCACTTATATCAGGGCTGAGGCGGTTTCCGGTACTCGTTTTTATGAAAATTATGTACGAAAACGCGGTTCCGCATGCATATGAATTACCGTTCAACATTGAACGATACTATGGTAAAATACAAGCTTGTCCATGGGAAACGTCCCAAGGGATGAGATAGGACAACAACATTTGTATTTATCGTGGGGCACGGAATTATTATTGGACATGGAATGGACCTATGAAGAGTTTCTTTATTATGTTGTTGTTCACATAATTGTTCTTGTTCTTGTTATTGTTAGAATTTTTCTTACTATCGTTATGAAAAAATCGCCTTTCTCTTTTATTACTGGGCAAAGTGCTTTGAAATTTTCAGTAGTTGAAGATTGTATTTTTGCTACAAAGCTATCACTATTATTTATTCATACATTTTCTATGAATCCTATAAGATTTATTATTTTATCCAATTTCGCTGTGTTATTATTACTCATGGGAACACAGATTTAAAAACTGATTCATGTAGCATAGATCATCTTCACAGCTGAAAAAGCTGGGACAGTCCGCGTATCTTTCACAAAGTCAATAAATTTTGTCGTTTTGCATGTCTCTTTGTACATGTAGTCCTATTTAGTAGACGCTAAAATTAAATTTTACAATTTTTATTGAATTGTATTCCAATGGGAATACCATGGGATGGGACAGGCATAGAATTCTATAGAATTGTGCAGAAAAATATGTCCCATGGACAAGCCTGGTAAAATAACAAACTGAAAAGTAGCATAGAGTTTTTGTCACCCCGCCCGCCCCCCAAAAAATCTTGCGGCTGCCCTAATTCATTAACCTCAGAAAGCGAACCCGTAACACGACGCTACGAGAAATGAGCACATTAAGTGTATTGTTATGGCATATATATACTATGTAACAGCTTTGTTGCCTGTAGTTGCCTACAGGTTTCGTAAATAACCATATCGCGGCTCGGAAATTCTCGATGCAACGGCTTTCAAAACTATCGCCGCTAAGTAGAATTGATTAAGCATACATCATATTTTCTTTTATCGTGTTTTGGAATAAACGCGTAGCAATGATCTTCACAGGCTTCGTTTAAAACTGACAATATATAAACGGGCAAATTGCTCTCGACATTTTTAACCTGGAGTGCGTATGGTATCGTTTCTGTTCCTGGTAACTATAAGCGAAAAGCTGCCGTAGTCACGTGAACTTCATGCGATATATAGCATATCTAAAATGAGTTGAGACATTTTGATCTGTCATGGAACTAATAAAACAAAATTTATGATGCTTTTCACTTTATTTTTAGTATGTGATGATACCGTTTCAATTTATGAATAACCATAGCGTGCAGGGTGAATTTCAACATTTTTTACGACTTCGTCACGAAACTTCAAACCCAGGAGTCATTAACTACAATAAAGTTCATTTTGATTCATAACATCTGAAAAACAAGGTATTTAACTTTGTAACCCAAGAGTTAGTGGTTTGTCATCCCTGCTATAGATCATAGGTAATTTAACTCCGCGTCCGCTTATCTTCACAAAAAACATTGCAAAAAAACAAACAAACACTGGTCTATTCTGTTGAACTCATTTGGAAAAACATTTCGACTTGTTAATATAGAGTGAATTTCATTGCCGACATATCACCGCTACGGAGTAGAAAAACAATGTTTGCGCATAGCAGCAGTTTTAACGCTGTATTGTTTCTTGCTATTTCAAAATTGTTGCGTTTATGATATCATAGACCTCAGTCAATTTTGTAAAAAGCAATGAATAGCTAGCATACACAATGTCATTGTCTCTGTGTTACTCATCGTATGCAAAGTAGTAATTTTTTTTAAATACAAGGTACAAGATATATTTTCATTCTGTTCTGACGAATTATTCAAGTGTGACTCAAGTTCGTAACAATGCCATCCTAATATTCATAAATGGCAAGCCAATGAGTAATCTTCCAATCCTTGAGGGACCCGGTAAAATACTATCTGCCATGTTTTCCACATAAAAAAAATATGAATGGGAACAGTCACATCGACACATGCATTACAGTACCTATACAGAACAAACCAGCATTAAATAAAATTCACAAATTTTTTTAAACGTACGAGAATACATCCGCTTTTGTAGTTGGCTTTGCTCTAACGTTCCTCAGCCGTTCTGGCGAGATATATCCTGGAGTTCCACCCGTTGCACCAGGACCTGCACATATATAGAGTATACAGTAAATCAGGGGTCGGCAACTTAAGGCCCGTGAGCCAAATCCGACCCGCAGAGTAAAATGATCCGGCCCGCGACGCTTCACTGAATCATAGCGACAAAACGGAGTTTTTGACGATGAATTATCTTTATAATCCACGCTCTAAGAGTTGATTATATTCTATACGTAACAGAATTTATTGTGAGACATATGTAGATTAAATTATATTATATCCTAACAATTTAGTGAACAGCTACTCGTCGGGCCTACAATTTAATTATATTTAGACAAATGGCAACACGCAAAAAAGTTGATGCTGAGTGCAGAGGGTTGAGTGGCGCAGAAAGAAGTCGAATAGAGCTTTTTGAGATGTAATGCAACGAAGAAATGAAATCCATATACTATTCGAGAGATGTATCACCACTGCTTGATTTTTATATAAAATATCTTCTTGGAGGAAATCTATATATATCCAAATTCAATAAACCATGTGACAAATTCAGATTGATGTTTGGAAGTACATATGCGTGCGAACAAATATTTTCGAAAATGAACATTACAAAGAACAGTCTGAGAACTTGGATTGGTGATGCCCTTTTAGAAAATGTCATAACTTTGGCTTCATCCGATGTGCCGCCTGATGTCGAAAAACTATCAGGCGTGATGCAACAACAAGTGTCACATTAAATTTCATTTGTAAATTTTTTTTTTTAGTAAGACGACTGAGTTTCAACTGACTGAGTAATCTGTGTAAAAAAATTGTGATTCATCGCACATACGTTCGGTTTTTACCTTTCTAAAAGTATGTGCGGCCCGCCAAGACTTGCAACCTTTAATTTTAGCCCGCGAGCGACAAAAGATTGCCGACCCCTGCAGTAAATATATACGGTATGTTAAATTTGGTTGTTATCGTACGTGCACCGTCGCATACACTTTGAAAGCCATGTTTAGTTCGATGTCAACGCGGTAATATCACAACTCTATGCAAATAATCAAAATTGCTCATATTTGCTTTTCAAGACATATAAATGCCAGCAAGTTATGTGAGGACAACTGTATTAAATAAATGAGAGGCTTCGAAATTGGACTCTTCAAATATATAAATAGAGATGGTAGAGTTGATATAAAAACGTAAAACGGTTAAAATCGTTTTCATCTCGTGGCATATACAATGCACCTAATGATTTATTCACTTGGCGCCTCAACGATGTTTGCGATAAAGTGTTATGAAATTTCCATGTTGCATTAGATGTAACTTTAACTATATTTGGCTAAGATGGAGATATGAGCATTTAAAAAGAAGTCTCGGTCGTTCTCAATGATCTGTAGTCCCAAGATAGATGATAATAAACACAATATATTATTATATAATAATTACCTTCAATTATAATGGATCTGCTTCGAAGATCAGTTAACGTGCTCATAGTGCTCAATCCGAAATCACAAATCTTAAGTAAAAAAGAAATTCGAATAATCTGGATGTAGTCAAAGTCAAATAATGTATTTCATAACACATCGTTTAGAAGCAATAACACAATGCAATATTACTTTTGCATGAAGACTATCATCTAGCAGTACATTGTCGCTTTTCAAATCCAAATGCAAAACTTTTCTTGGTCTGATTCCGTGTAAATACTTCATTGCTGATATTATCTGTAAAACACACAATAAAGATTTACTATTTGCAATTGACTCATATTACAATAATACACGGCCTCTTAAAATTATATTGGATTCATTTGCCACCATATTGTCAAATGATGCCATTTTCGATGTTGTCAGGGCTCAGCCATATATCAGAATGTTGAACAAGCCTTGTTCAAATCTACCTAGAAGTAAACTTATTCGTTTTCGAAAAGCATTCTTATATCACACAGAAAAATTGTCCGATTTCTGACAGATATAATTGGGTAAAAATAGGTACCGAATGTACAAAAATACAACAATATGAGTCTGTTTAAACATATCAATTATACTAACCTCGCACAATATTTGAATTTTGATTGGCACGATTAATTTTTCTATGATGGCATTTTTTTCGAATTCGTCCCATAGACTGCCAAAAAAACTGAGATAGGAACCGAAAGGGAAGTACTCCATAACAAGCCCAAATTTATCGCTAGTTTGTACGACACCAAATATTTGCACAATGTTCTCGTGTTCCAATGTTGCAAGAATTGCCATCTCCCGACGTAGATGAGGCTTAAATCTGAAAATAATTTATTCATCGTATGACCTTGATCAAATTTAGTGAAAAAAAATGACGTTGAAAACATGCATTCCCATAAGTAGTTTTATCAACTTGAATTCCGAGAATATACATGCCTACGTATTTTACACATGTGTTTGAAATATAATAAGTGAGCAGAAAATGATCCGAATATTCGAAATATTTAAACTGCGTAAAACGCACAATTCTTTTACCTAATGAGTAAGTTTGTAAACTTATCTATGGTGATCCATAGGTATTTATGGTATTATAACTCTCGCTATTTTTTCACACCAATCAAGTGCATTTTTTCTTGCAATGTTTTACTATAAACGAGAAAACTACTCCTATAAACTTTTATGTCCGCCGTACATGCGTTAATAACGTTGTTTGTCGTTTGCTGTCCACCACAAACCATGCAGGTCATCGATTAGGCTAGATGGGCCTACATTGATCCTACAGAAATATCAGTTACCGTCTAAATTCTTTATTATAAATAGTGGGAATGAGTTGTGATTTTAAACAGCAGTGAGAAAAGTTTTGTCCTCAAATAGTTTTGCATAGATCATATTAGATCATAGGATCATTGAGAATACTCTTACTCTCACCTGTTTTCTATATGACCGTGAAGAAGACTTTTCATTGCCACGAAAATTTCAGTTGAAGTTTTTCTCTTCCATTTGTACAAAGAAACTGCAGCCATTCCACCGCTTGCCAAGTATTGAACGAATTCCATCTCATTGGAGTTGATAATTTTTATCCCTGTTTCATGATTTCCATTGGCCGAATCCATTCTTTCTGCTGAACGCGTGGATATACCTAATTAACTATCGACACGGAAACGATCCACTGCTAACTAACTCCGTGCCATTTGAAATGTATAATAATTACATTGTGCTGTATATAACAAATAGTATATATTGGTGATACTTCCTATTATATATGCTCGAGATATACCTTATGTGCATTTCTACTTATTTTCTTACGTAAGACACTTTGAGCATAGGGTGAAAACTTTAACATATAAACTGTCATTTAGACCAAATTTTAAACAAATTTTGGAAATATTTATGCTTTGATGACATATTTCAAAGTTGATGCAATTCTAGCAAAATTGATATAGAGTATATAGTTACGAAAAAGCTAAATTTGTATAAACATCCTCAATCTGAGCATATTGGTAAAATGTATATTTCATTGGGGTTTAGAAACTACCAGACGAAAACAAGTTTGAAATCAATCGATCATATTACTTGGCTGTTTTTCTTGGCATTCAGTCCCACTAGAATAGAGGTTCCCAGACTGACAGGCTTGTTCATGAGACATTTTTTTCTGTCCCATTCCCATACCATAGCAATTATGCCTGTCCCGTCCCATCCCATGGGATTCGCATTGGAATAAAATTCGGTAAAAATTGGTAAATTTAAGTTTAGCGTCTACTGAATAGAACTGCATGTACAAATAGACATGCAAAACAACAAAATTTACGGAATTTGTTAACTTTATATTTACAACTATTATACATGTGTCCATCAGCCCCTTCACGAAGTATATTTGTAATGCTGAATGTATTTTGCTCTTCATAACTAACAAGAGGGCTATACTAGAATATATGGACACAAAATCCATAACTAAATGATTTACCATCATTTCCACAAAAATCATCCCATTCCCATGGACAAGCCTGCTAACTGTTGACATTCACACCCGGGGGTACCTTTCGACTGGTTAATAAGATCACGAAAAAGATAGTCTTTCCTTAACTTCTGATCTGTCTTTGAATATTTGTTATTGCATGATGTTTATAATTCGAAGACCTGAGTTTAAGATCTTCTTAAGAAATCACATTTTTACCACAGTTTAACTACAGCTGAAGTAACTACCAAGTCTGCTTTCTCAGTTTATATGACTTGTTTTGTGCAATCACATCAGATTAGCACGAACGCAGTCGTAAGGAGTACAGGAGCGAATCTATAAATTGTACAAAGGGTAGCGATGAAAAGATAGTTTGGGAAACATCTCTAGAATAATCATTAAAACAATTAAGTACATTTATCATTGTTGATGCACATGACTCTCGTTAGTATCCATAACCTGCTTTTTTGTCTTTAAAACCTCAACGTATTCTCATCCGTATTATAGTTAACTCATTGCCATAGAATTATGACACAAATTCTATGCCAAAGCTTTCCGCATGATCTACTGTTATAATCATTACGTTGTTTCCCTTTGATATTCATCTGACCTCGGGGACATTATAAACGAGAATCCCCTGGGTTGTATGGCGCGTTCTGTGAAACATTGAAATCTGATGTTACCTGATTAATTTAAGTCTTACACTTGTCGAAACATCGCGTAAATAAAAGCAATGTACTGGCCAAATAGCAAATAAACATTGAAAAGAAGACGGCAGAAAAGATGTTCAATGTTTCATCGTGAACGTGAGAATGTTTTTATTGCTTATGCCCTGCTTATTATGATTAGTCATGTCTAGAAAATGTACAAGTATGTCTACGCACAGCATTGAAACTGTAATGAATTACTTTTTATGTCAGAAATAAGTAACTATTATCATGCTGCATTCTAGCAATCGCGAGACCTCGCGTTGAAGCTTACGTCAAGCATCATCAAATTTGGCTACTATGACGAAATACAACCACACATTTCCACGTGACTGCTGCTTGCACTTCACGGGCGTAAGAGTAATAGATATCCGGCCTTTGTATTTCTGAAACTGTTTATATAATCACATACAGCCAAGTACGATAAAGTTGCTAAAGACATTGACTAAGTTCGACAGCGATAAAATGTTATAAATTGTTTTACAATATTACCGGGAAGTTTCCAGCGTGGGAAAGTACACGATTTATACGTGATATTGTCGTCTTACTGTCTCTTCATCTAAATCCTGTAAATCCCTACAAACTGCATACGAATTCTTCCATAAAGTCTATTTTTTCACCCAGATCATTACCGTGAGCGGGCTCTATATAATGTCATGTATTTCTGGATGAATAAAATATATAATTGATTGTCACTGAAATCGCCTTATTTTTAATGCTTCTATTGCAGTTGTCAGCTGTACCGATAACAATATATCAAACACTGGAATATTGAGCTTTGTGCTATCTTTATTATGATATATCATAATAGCATAGTCGATTGCGATTGTTTTCCTAAGTGTGATCAACATGCTCTAATAATATTGTTAACATAACAATATTAATTATAATAATAATTAATATTATATTAATTGAATGCAAAATACCAGCGGGAATATTTTCCTGAGCAAGCTGACAACCAAGGTCCGAAGATGAAACACGCCGATAAATATCTTACATTGCATTTATTATAATACTACTGGTAACAACGTTTTACATAATGTATCACACGATTACATACATTCCATATTGTTTAAAAATAATTCATTACTTCGTAACTTTATTAATAACACATCGCCAAATCCAAATACCAGAATTATTTATTTAAAGAAAAAATATACAAATAACTATAATAACTTAAATATTTATTTAAATTAACTTTTCTGGTATGACTATAATATCATATTTTATAGCAAAATGTTGTAATTTAAAAAAATATGAAAATAGTGAAATTTTATTCCCTGTTGATAGTGATGAAATTGATCGATATTGTTATATTCCCCGATATCTATATTTCAAAACTGACCAAAATTCTGATTTTACATGATATTTATCTTGTTAATTTATTTTAAATTTAAACAACATATAAGTTATTAACGTAATCGTTGGTTATTCAAAAATTGGCAATCTGATACCGTAACCGATAATATCCTCATGACCATATACCCGATAACGATACATTTGGTGATTTCGTGATTTGAAATTCCTGGATCATGTATTTGCTATAAGACTAGTTCAACTGGTTCAGGTTAAACCAATATTTGCGAATACCATGTAAACGTATTTCCGGACTAATAACCAGGAATGAAGAGTAATGACTGGGTAACAAAATATTTTTGCAAATCTGAAATCATATAAGTTTGTTTAACGAGATTTTGAACACGACCCTTCCACTATTACTTTGATAATTACTTGTAAACCGCGAACATGGAAGTACAACCATTGACTCATCTCTCATGTAACAGCGTGTTTATGTCTACGTTTACAGAGACTCTTTTGCTACAAACAAACATCTATAAACACTAAACGTTTACGGCACCGAACAGTGGTGTAAAATATCGTGACAAATATACCATCCACCTTAAATGTTACTGCCATGAAATGTTAGCAAACTGCTAATATAGAATTGAAGTATTTGTCTGGATTGAATGGACATGTGAAGCTTGCCACTAATTTAATCATTTTCTGTTTTTTTGTAAAAATCGAATATCATGCCGTATACTTACATACATAATGTACCAACTACACTTTAATAAAACTTTATTTCCAAAGTTAGAATTTAATTTAGCATTGAAATGAAGTTTTAGAGAGAGACTAAAAATTTCGGGCAAGTAAAAAAAAAGTCCAGTTACATCGTCCAAATTTAGGACCTAAATAATTTTGAAGTTTTGTATGCGGATCCCCGGTAGAAATAGTTGATTAGCTCATTCCTATAATACCATTCCATTGTATCTGCTGGTAGTCAGGCGTAAGCTGTCGGCAATTGAGTTTGCCACCAAGTAAGATGAGTGAATGTGTTAAAAAAGTAACAAAGTTCTTATTACTCCAGTAATAGCGTCCGAGAATATGTAAAGTTCCATTTGCTACTTTCACCCAGACGTTGAAGCGTGAGATTGGAAATGTGTTCTCACGAGTTATTTTGAGAAATTATACATACACTAGGTGGGATGGGGCATTACATCATGGCTCCTTCCTTTTCCGCGACTAGAGAATGAATCAGGTGATGAGAGTACGTATACTCTGCAAATGTGGTAATATACGCAAATAAAAAAATACATATAACATTATAAAATATATAAATATAAAAATTTCATTTTCCCGTCATAATGAATTTTACAGAAACCCGAAATGACGTCACACTTAATTTTCAGATAAGCTATCATATCATATTGTGACGTCACAAAATAGATATAATAAATTACCCACCTCAAAGAGATCCTGGGTACGCCAGCTGTATTTATCCTTACAGAGTCGGAGTCGATTTCTTTGAAATGAGGATTCAAGAGTCGGATTGATATGGTAATGTTGTCACTCTACATTCAACAATCTACATCTATGAACTAAATATGCTGCTTTAGCCATGTTGGATTATTATGAAACACTATGGAAAAGTTGGAATGGTTTTCTTACCCAAGTGTCGTGACGTTTAAAACAACTTTTCAACTAGCTATGTGTTCGATGAACGTTCTTTACTTACTAATGTGGTGTAATCGCTCATCAAATGTATCTAGCTAGATCAGGGTAGTCCAAGGTTGTCAACTCCGGGGACCACAAGATTACTTTAGCATTGTTCCCGGGCCACAAATAGTGCGAAGTATAGGTAAACAGTGTATTACAAAACAAACACTTTTATTGTGCAAACCCATTGATCAGTATTAGTCATTTGTCAAGCTTAAACATGCAAAAATCACCAAAAAAACTTACTGAAACCTGCATAAGTCTTTTTATATCTACATTTAATGTAAGATTTCGACGGAAAAGGGTACTCCTGTAGTATGTGAATCAAGATGGCGAACACCGGAACGTAGTATGTGTACCAGGTTGGGGTCGGCCATAGTTTCATGATAAATAGCTAGTCCCCAAACTCATAATATAACTAAAATAAGGAAAATCGGAATAAAATTATGGCCTAGCCCTAACCTGGTACACATCCACGTTCCGTTGTCCGCCATCTTGGTAGTGCCATTACACAAGTCAATTCAGTGACATTAGTGATGTAACAATATATTAGAAGATTTTTCTGGTTAAGTTTATGACGATCAACACCAAATACGATATTTTGAAAACCCTCCGATTTCAACGCGGGCCACAGATAATGCAGAGGCGGGTCACATGTGGCCCGCTGGCCTGGGTTTAAACCACTCTGAGCTAGACTATGAATTTTATACTCAGAAATAAGATTAATTATAAATTATATCTCGTACCTGAATTAATTGCTGGTTCAACTATTAGTTGTTCAACTATAAAAACTAAAGCGCGACCGGATTCGAAAAGCGTTCTGCCTGTCTATCTCTAAAAAATATTTTCTGATGATTCTGTGCGTGTGCGACATACCTAACGGTCTTGTACTTGAACAATAAATATTTCGTCAATGTGCTTTAAGACGTCACGTCTGGTTTCGCTTGGTTGGCGCAGAATAGGTTATTTCTACATTTATATATACAGGTAACGATTAAAATATTGCCTACGTAAGTCAAAATGTTTGCTGTTGCTGTCTCCTTGTTGTTCCGACTATAAACTCCGTGCATATGTTTTACAGAAGAACAAAAAAGAACGAGAATATAATGTTGTGTAATAATGGGTTTTCCAACAAAATTCGTTCAATGCAAGGTACACACACTCACTCAAAAGTATTAAGAACACTCATCTCTGAGCAATTTTACGGACGAAATACCGAGTGCTATTGAAACTATAACGAATTACATTGGCATGACAGTTTGGGTCAATAGGATTAGAAAAATGCATTCTACATTAAGGAAGTATATGGTAAAAGCTCTAGGCATAATTTTTTTAGAGTGACAGTAAATGGATTGCTGAAATGTTTTTGAGCATTTTACCATTATACATCTCATCGTAACGTACTTAACGCGCTGCAAATTAACGTTAAAAAATATCCCCGGCTATGAATTCGACAGCAATACCAAAAATCCAAGAACAATTTTATGATGAAACTTCAAAGGTTGTGCCTCCTTTATATTTAATGTAATTACCAAACATACGTGTGCTGAAATGTCTCTCAATTTAAGTAAAAATTGAATAAAAGCAGCAACACGCGATCTCCATTTTACGGGAAGCAAGTGTTTCTTTAGTGTGTTTCCCATATACAGTATACTGACATACTGATTTACTCTTATACTGGTTTAGCAGACATGTACTAGAATTAGATTTTTACGCCGATACGAATACTGTAAAAATAGTTCGATTTTCCGTTTTTAATCTGCCATATTCTGTCCACTGATAATGGGAATGTAATTTATTACTTAGTTACGCTCTACAATGCTCGCTCAGTTACACAAATCAGGGTTATACCACTTGAGATCACCCATGGATTGAAAAATATAAGTTCAATTGACAGTTTTCTAATGATAGACCACAAAGAATATTTTAAACGCCTATGGAGACAAGTAACTAATGTGCACACGTCAAATTTAATTTTCGCATTTCAACGTTTGGTATAATCAGAGGCGTCCATTGAAATTTGTTCATTGTTTCTGCATCTATCTCAAAATTTCGATACAAGGTTTACGTTAGGAGTAAATGTATAAACTATCTAGTAGAAAATATCTATCAGTTTATCGTGGATATTAAAAGTCTTCCCAGGATTTTATGAATCTGGTACATAATAGAAAATTACCTGCAAAATTGAGCCATTATCCCGTAATATTATAGTCTATTATTTCCGGCTATTAAGGGTTGTTTCGCACCAAACTCAAAGCAACTGACCACTCTCATCAGTTGAAAACTTAGCGGAATATTGCGGGCATTTCAGCATGAGCTACATATAAACTCATGATAAAACTCAAAGTATTTATTTACAAATCAAAGTGCTGAAATACGTTTAATTGAGTCAAATGTTCGTGAAATCGTATGAGAATTGAATCGATTTTTTGCAATGAGCTTGGTTAAGTAAAGTATTGTAGGAAGCTTCAGAAAAATATAGACAATGTTTTACGAGAAACTATGTCAGAAGAACGTTTTGGAATTTAAAGTAGAATTATATTCAGTAATGTATATGGGAAATAAGGTGCAGGGTAGTGATCTTAATCGTATTTTAATAGTCATTTTGTATTAAAACAGCACCACTTGTAATTCTGGCATGATGGTGGTAAGGCGTTTACATCCACTCATTGATTCAATAAGACATTTTATTTATTAAAAAATGAAAGAGCATGCAAAATTGAATGCAAATTGTTCAATATTTGTGGTCCTTTTAAAAAAAATTCAAGAAAAATTCGAACTGAAATGAACCCTGTCCCCTGTTTTCACATGTATTTTGAAAGCCAGTTGCAAGATGCCCAGATAGAGTTGAACAGAAACTATATAATTAGAGAGTATGAGTAGTTTTTTGAGGGTGCTATGCTAGAAAGGTATTCATTACATATCGTATCCACTGATTTGGTTACAAATTATATTACTGGTTGAATTCTAAAACTGTGGATGAAATTTTGCATCATCAGCTAATAATTCAGAACTCATACCCCATGCACAGCCAGCACTTGGTGCTTCCGAAGTATTCGTACCCAGATGGCGCACAACCTGAACATAGTATGTGTACCAGGTTGGGGTTGTTCGGGTTGTGCGTCATCTTGGTACGAATACTTCCGGAGCGCCCAGCACTTAAAGCATGCTTTATTTTATTGAGCAGACATAAAGGGCAGAAAAAATCACGTTAAAATATAGTATTAGTGGCTTTTTTTGAGGGGAAATTAATTTTTGTTTTTGATATATATGCAAAAACAGAAGTTCCTCGAATATGTTTAGGTCACTCATGGTACTTCATAGCCTAATCATAAATTGGAAACCTTTCTTTACCGCCGACCAAAATAAAGTTTAAACTTTTTCTCGGACAGGTTCCAGCCATGAAAATTTATTACAATTCCATTTATTCAGCGGTGATTTTGTTGCAACGAGACGCTTATGCCGTGTAATATTTATCACAGGATGTTAAAATTCAGGCAGTCGAGTCTTTTTTTACACAACATTGAAAACATTGCGTCAAACGTTACCAAGCATTCAAACCAGAAAAGTATACTCCCTGTCATGGACTTTTCACGGTCATGAACTGACATCTGGTGGTTGCCGACCATACCGATAGATAAACTTCTTGAATCAGCGATATTGAGGAGAAATTCCAGTTGAATTTGTAAGAAAAACAGAAATTACGATTTTTTACGAGTTTATATGCAACATACTTTTTTTTGAATATGTTTATGACTGCTTAAGAATTCGACGGATGCAATGATAACTTTTCTGATGTCCTATGATAAAGCAAACCGCGTTCTGCGATTAGGAATTAATCACTAGTTACTGCGTACTATAAGTAACGCTGCGCATCGTACGTTCTTTATTTCCAACACTCTTATTCATAGGGTAACGACGAGTCAGCGACTTCCGGTTTTGTTTAGGAATTTAATCACGCAAACAGATTAATATTCACCATCTCCTTTTGGCGTCATATCCATAACAATCCATTCTATTGAGGTGTTGCAGGTAGTAAGAGATAATTTACTTTATTACATCATATGTTTAGGATAAGGATATTTCTGAAATGAAGTCTACTTTTATGATTTTGAAACTACTTTCTTCTTGTTTTGTTACTGTCGCTGAAATATGCGCATTGCTACTGTTTTTCCAAGTTGAGTGTAAGTCAGGTAAGATTTTTGTAAGTAATAATTTGGTATTGAATAAAAACTAATCGTGAAAAATACGTTAGCTTCACATTTCTTTATTAATCAACGTTTAAAGAACTAAAATGATACATATACGTAGTATATGTACCAGGTTTGGGTTAGGCCTCAATTTTATTCCGATTTTCCTTATTTTAGTTCTATTACGAGTTTGGAACTGTCTGCGTTAGTCAAGCGAATATACCACCTGTCCATAGGTTTCAGTCCCTTTATACAACTTGATGTGAAGTAGGCGAACAAAATTAGTTACCTCCATATTGGTACACACACTTCTGGAGAACACGTGGTACAAATCGACATTAATGTTTGTGACGTGTTTATAGGTGATCGATTAAGGAGATCGAATCCATTGGGACGATCGAACAATTTGCCATTTGAGTCAACGACTACAGAGGACCTACTACAAATCGGTAGGTAAAATTTAAAAAAAATGTCACATATTCTTATACCACAGGTTACATAGAACGCTAAATCACGGACAAAGTTTTGCGACACTTTTTTCCATACCAAGTCTTATTAGAAACGAAAGAGAAAGTTTCGATAACATTTATCCAACGACAATTGTCGAGCATATTTCTGTATTTCATATTATCCATAGAAAGCAGTGGGTATTACTTTAATTTATTTGGACGAACAGGTAGATTGACTAAATCTATCTTTTATTGATGAGCCCACTTGAACTTATATGTTTCGAGGTGGGATCGATTCAAAATTCAGACATATTCTAGCTTGGAACAAGATACATCTTCATTCGAAATGTATTAAAATGCTTCTGCAATTAATAATTTTAGCAACAAATTCAAGCTTAGCAACTACAACAACAGAAACCACGACAGAATGGACTACAATGGAAGGTGAGTCTATAATGCAATATGATAAGTCAATATATGGAAGTGAAAGCAGATTATTATTATATATTTATTGGGGATTTTCCAAAATATTTTGTTTATTTCAATCAATACATGCACTATACCAGGGGTTCTCAAACTTTGGGTGTTGCGGAGCCCGTAAAGAGGTTGACTACTATTCACGGAGCCCCACAAATAAATTTCATGAACAAAACAAACAAACAAAAACACACTGTTACGTACCGATTAATGTTTCTGAGTAGGTTAAAATTACTTTACTTAATTTAAATATTTTTACGTCGGTGTTTATTCTACTCAAATCACAAATTTTCATTGGCATATGCATGTATTGTTGAATTATGAGTTCAGTGTGAAAAACAAGTTAGTATATTATAATCATCAGCAACGAGATGCTAAAAATAATTACTCAAGAGGTGAATCCGCAACCCAAATTTCTCGTTTGAAAAACGGTATTATAAAATATTAAAACTAAAACCTGAAACTTTTTGTTTTAGCAGACTCGCGACAGATTAAAAACGCTTCTTTAGACATTGTAAATCACAAAATTTGGTATAATGTCATTTTTTCTGGAAATAATACCGTAGTCACTGAAATCGAAACACAGTCAATTGAGCAGGCGATGTGCTTTTTTATCCATTCTGAAACTACCGACGAAGCCGCATGCGACTTTTTTTCGGTATGTCACGATATATATGATAATTAATGTAAAGTATATATCAATTTTTTATTACAATAAAAAAATTTTCAATCCTTCGTATTTTGTCCAGAAATTGGGATTTTTCAAACGGTGATATCTTAAAAAGAATCTGAGTGGCAGACCTGCTATAGGGCGGCGTCAGTGTTGTAAGAACGCTAAAATCGCTGTAAACTGCAACACTGCGACGCAATCAGTCATGAATATGATTTAATCGGGACGGGAACAAATATCTAAATCAAACTACCGGGACCGGTAGTAGGTATGTTCTTTTGTGGGCAGTGCGACATTGCTTCTAATATTTTATGATAACAGCGTTGTTCAGGATATACGGTAGTCCACAATGGCTTCGTTTATTGACTTTGTTTCATTGTTCCTCATTTCATGTCCGCAGAATGAAGTGGTAATTTTGCGTAGTAATGATTCAATATTGCCGTGAGTCGACCAACCGCAGGTTACACTGAACACAATTAAGCCAAAAAATAAGGCATTTTAAATATGCCCGCCTCGGCCATGGATTGCGCAATTGTAAATTGTACTCAATTAGATTTTAACGCCGACTTCGGGATTTTTGTAATGACGATATTTTGCCAAAAAATAAACTTGAGTGCTGAAAGAACAACTCAAATTTGAGGAATCCCAAGATCGCAAAAATACGATTCCAGTCTTTTTATAGTTGACAGTTTAGCACGTATTTTATTTCAGAATGGTGATCTTTCATTTTAGTAATCGTATTAGTAATCTCGACTCAAAGTCGAGTGTCGAGTAACGATGAACACAATTAAATCATTATGACAAGAAATTTTAAATCGAATCGGCCATGGATTAAATATTTTACGCCACAGAAAACTCGCTAGCCGCTGAAAAAGTTTTTTTAACAGGTGGCCTAATAGCGAAAAACGTTTTCGATTCCAATTTTGAAGAACCTCTCCCTCCCTTGTCATATTTCGACGCTACTTTTGTCAAATTTTATTAATGCTTCTTTGAACAGTTAACAAAATTAGCCAATTGAGTATTATGATAAGTAATCAAATATCTCGCGGAGCCCCTAGGTTTATCCCACGGAGCCCTGGGGCTCCGTGCGGAGCACTTTGAGAACCTATGCACTATACTACAGTAACAAAGAGCAGACCTTTAGTATTTGATAAGTTTGAGCATATACGAACTTCAGTAAATGATAACGCGATTCAAGAAGGCGGGTCGTCAGACTATTTGACTTCAATGTCTAAACCAGTGTCGCAAACTACGGCCCGCGGGTCAAATCCGGCCCGTTGGGTAATTTTATCTGACCCGCCTGATGTTGCCACCCACAACTAAACTAAAACCAATTTTTTTTCATGTTTTAGCTAAAAATAGCTCAAGGAATTTGTCGATATTGCGATTAAATTTTGTTTTGACACGAGGGTTACTGTTTTTCACTTTTTCATTGGTAACTCTAGTCCATCTACCCAAACTGCGATCAAACATGTCAATGATCATTCAAACTCTTTAAATGAAAATTACAAATCAATTTCCACAACCGTATATATATAATTATATGGTTCTGATAAGGCCGTACCAAGGTTAGTCGAACATTTGGCGGACGAGTCTGCTGAAATGCTAAGGTCAAGGTTATAAAAGGGTTCATCCAGATAAAAAAAATGTAGAATTTTAAGCGAAATATTGAACTCCATATGGCACGGAAAAACAATAAAAGTAATAAATTTCTAGCAAATACTTTTTGAATACTGGAAAGAAATTGAGAGAAATTTGAGAGAACCATAACAACTATGAAAATTTCGCAAAATGACCCTTCTATCGATAATGAATACACGTCATTTTACAGGCGGATTGTTTGAAGGATCAACTACCTACGAGTCATCTGAAGCAACTACAGAATCCAGCACGACTCAAGGTTATTTATATCTTTCATATTGCGCTGCATAGCGATGTATAATATGAACTTGAAGTGCAAATCTTTGATCAGATATTACGCGTTGAAGTCGTTTCAAATTTAATATAAATAGGTATTCCCTTTGCTCTATTGAAGTTAGATAAATGTTAAATTTTGGCCCAATTTTTCAGCACAATACTCACCCATATAGAAATTGTGGAGCTGAATGAAAATATATGTGAATGTCATTCGAACGTTATTATATTTGAGGCATGTTTCCCATTTTTCTCAAAACTTGGATTTAAAAAAAACTTTAAAAATATTCATTGACGAGAAGACCAAAATCTTTTTGACGCGCCATATAACTGCACCAATTAATTCACTTTGTATATAGCCGCCAAGACAGTATCAACACGCGTTTTCAATAAAAATCCCTTAATTGAACGTCGCAAGAATTCATTGACAAAGCATAAAAGAGCAAAAAATAAAAATTATACCTCACAAAACGTCTCGTTGTACTCGTACCAAACTGTACCAAACTGCTCGTTGTACTCAACGTATATTGCGTGCTATAGTTGATAATATAGTTAACAAATAGGTATACAGTGTTATGGAATATTGCAATGAACTATCAATTAGGTTTTACTAGAATTTCTTCGTATGATCAGCGGTGGAATTCAGAAGGCTCGCACAGGGAACCCGTTCTTACAACTTCGTGATAGTCAGCAACCCGTTCTTGTTTTGGGGTTACGCTCACTGCAGCTGAGGACTAGCATTATAGTTGGCGTTGTGAACGTTTTGGATTATATTATTTGTGTTTTGTTAACGTAGCTTACGTAGTGAGATGGAAATAATGGAATCTTTTATCAGTCACGGTAATTCTTATGCATATATTATGAAGTATGAACAGCATTGGAAGTATTGTCCTTTTCATATAGATCCCTGTCAAACCGGGTATCAAGAAGTGAATGGAACTTGTGAAGATATAGATGAATGCATTGTTGAGAGGAATCTATGTCCGATGATGCTGTGTAAGAATATACCCGGCGGATACATCCGCGTTTGTCCAAAAGGATATTTCCGCAGGACTGTTAATATATGGTCGGGTGAAACAGACTTGGGTGGTTCAGAAATACCTAGAAACAATATAGTTGCTTTTCCTTCGAGCACAACCACATGTTTCTGTAAGTCTACGGTTTCTATTATTATCTTTCTTGATTCAATGTCACTATAGGCTGTAATACAAAAGCAGGAGAAGTGTAATATAAGTTTTCCATTGAGTTTTGGTGAAATAGTATTGTTTCAGAAGTATGCAAGTGTAAAAATGGCAATAAATAAAAATGGGTGATAAAATTAAATTTGAAACCGACATTCAAAATTGTAACATAACATTTGCAAATTAAATTAAATCCCCATCACTTTCAAACATGCATGTAGTGGTATTTGAATAATTTTGAGTTTATTTTTGAGTGAGCATTAGATGAATCTGCTTCGTGTTTTTATATATGTTATGGAATTAAATTCAGGTGCAACTATCATCAGTCAACGTTTCGGATTTCCATATTCTCAATCTCTGTCGAATACCTCGTCACCTGAGTATCAAAATATGACGAGTTTATTGACACAAAGACTTATGCACAGTTACCAAGTAACACCATATGGATTTTATGTTCTTGGAATACATGCGGTCAAGTTGACTAAAGGTATACGTTTCTAATGTTTTGATCAAGGTTTCGCAACTTGGGATGAATTTCTCTCCGGAGAGGAATTTTTTCTTTCTTGGGAGGAATTTTAGCTTTGTATGTGCTGTAAAAAACTACTAATATCCTTTATTTTCATTGCTATATATTGCTTATTTACGCACACACTAACTAAGGATACACGAAAGATTGAACACAAACGGTTGGGGACCAATGTTGATATATATACAAAGCAATAAAGTTATTTGCAACATTTTTTAACGCCGGCGACCAATTCAAATTTTCTATATTAGTTCTATTAAGAGTTCAGGGACTGTTAGTGTTAGCCAAGTGAATATATCCCCTGCCCAAACGCTTCCGTCCCTTTACGCTTTCGTCCCCAACTTGATGTAAAGTAGGCAAAAACAATTAGTTACTTCCATATTGGTACACACACTTCTGGAGCGCCGTGTAATGATATACAGTTCAGAACATCGCAAGAAACGATGAGATTGTTACGTAATATCATTCATTTAGGTTGAATCACAAACAAAATAACAGATTCGACCATAAGCAGAATTGAGTCTGACTCACTTTTTACGTACTTTGATGACTGTTTTTATAATAAAGAAATATTTGTTATGCAGGATCCGTAATACTAACCTATGAAGTTTTGACCAGCGAGCAACTTACATTACCAATTTTCAAAAAAATGTACAACATAACTATTGACACAAATTTCTGGAATTCGCTGCAAGGTTTACCGGGTATTGTCGTGGATGCTCCCATGTCAGGTAAAGAATAATGCTGTTGACTTGTTCCAGAATTGAGCATTCGATATGGAGCATATTTTTTTCGACTCATAAAAATTACCTCGATCATTTGTGTTTGCGACAGATTATACCAAAAACGTTATTATCACGGTTTGTGCCTAACTTTGAGCCCAAAATAAGGGCAAAAGACCAAATAATCACTAATCAAGAATCGTTAACCAAGCAGTAAACTACTGCAAACCCTCGAAAGGTTAAAAACAAACTTGGGCCGTGCCCTGACTCCAACCCTAACCAACTGTGACTTTCGTCAAATGAAAGAACGAAATGCGTAAAATTGGTCTAAGCCTAGTAAATCGTTTGCGCAAAAAAGAGTGGCGAACGCGATCGATGCCCCATACTAATGATTGATGCAGGGTGTATACGAGTTCGCAAAAATGGTACATGCAAATTGGATACTTTTCACAGCTTTTTATGACATAGCGACAAAGGCAAAGTTTGTGCAGTTGTTTAAGGGGTTACTGCATTACTGTATGGTTATGCGTTATCTCTAATCGCCGTTTCGCTTTTTTCAACAAGTACCCAAATTCAAATTATGCCAATGAAATCTTCAGAACGGCAATTCGACATAGTAGTTTGTAATCGTCCAAGGATCTTCATTTAGTGTCTTATATATTTTGTAAATAATAAGTATATACTTCCTTTTATACATATTTCGACATCTAGTCTCTCCTCTATGCGTCGGAGATACATTTCAGTCGAGAAAAGTAGTTGGTAGAACATACAGTTTTCCAAATGCTGAAATTCATACGATACAACGATCTCAAGAAACGTGTTCAAGTCCAGGTAACTTTTTGAATTAATTCCGAATTCTCTGTTAAAGAGGCGCTGAATATGCCTTACTGATTTATACGCTACATTTCTTGGGTTAATCTCCTTGTGATTCTGTAGGTTGATGCAAAATACAAAAAGTAACTAAATTTTATTACTTAATAACCATACTGTGTTTTATGAAGAAATGAACGCTCTATGGTGAGTACCTAAAAACAAATCAAGATCAAAAGTGTATATTTACTTTTGACCATAAAGACTCTCGTAGTTGAATGTAAACTCACGGAATTCTTTAGACTGCGCCGTCGAAACCCTAGGGCTCTGCGTAAGCCGGTTGAAAACCACTTTCTTGGACTCATGCAAGGCTAGTTAATATTGACAAAGTAAAATATATGAAGTCAAATTTTACCCCACCGTGATTTGATTTTTTACATGTATTTGGAATTGTTTCAGGCTATTATGCTTTAATCGAATGCGCCCTTTTGGACGTCGAAGAAGGAGAGCCGATAGGATATTATGATACTGAAACATTGATAGAATATTTCTGTGACAAATCTGCTTCGGAAATTGTTAATGAGGTAATTATTTATTTTTATTTTTTTTAAAAGCATATAGTCATATACTTCAATATGTATTTGTTCATTGCTTTGACATACATTACACAGATTATTGTACACTTATGATGAAATTGCTTCATTGCGTACGTTTGGTTTTGTCCCACTATATAACTTGTGCAAAGATTAGGAGTGTAGGCTTGAGGTTATACCGTCAATATTTTATCCCTAATAACATGCTGTACTTTAGAGTTTTAACGTTAAACTCAAATTGAATGGTAAACAATCAGTCATCATTCCAAAAATTGTGCAAGCCTCAATACTTTCCATGAGACCAAAATTAGCTTATATGTAAGTTGATAGCTGATTCAAATTTAGCATTTCCAGATACTTTCTCATGCTTATCGGGACTATTTGTATTTGTTCAGGACACCAACTATACGAGTTATACTCTTGAATTGACCATAGGGGCATTGAGTTCCATTTCATCAAATATGGCGGACGATGGTGTAAAAAACATTGTAAACGCCCTGGACGTCTTACAGAAGGCTGCTGAAAAAGATGATATCGATGTAATTATCTTGTAAAATTTTATATATAAGGATAAATCAATATTTTTAACCCGGGCAGGGGAAAGTCGCATGGCGTATCACGGTCACTCGTCCGGTCACCAGTCCATGTCAAGTATGGGGTTGATAAGTGAGCAAGTTGTTTTGTTGCATGTACCTGACGGTGGTTGAAGCCGTATCCCAACAGCGGTCAATTGAAACACAATACGGCAGTGAGGAACCAGCAATCCTCTCGAGCATAATTATCTCCACGGGATACAAACCTGCAAACGAACGCAGGGAATCAGGGCTGAGATAGCAAGCGTATTCCCAACGATCAGCACGATGCGCCGTTCGCCGTGCCATGGATTACAAATTTTGTTTTCTTGCCATTAGATAACGAAAAACACAATGATGTACCTACTGTCGATAGTTGATGACATATATGACGCGGTGCAGATGGATTATACAAATGGTGTGGCAACTTTATCAAACGAAGATAAAATGTCTTTTGCAAAAACGTTGGAAATGTTCGCATCTAATCTTGTTATGAATGACGATGAACTTACTGTAACTTCGAATTCGAACGTTTTCACGGTATACTATCATATTATGCTATCTTCTTTACATCTTGTTTTTTCAGTAAATGCCTCTGAACGAATGGTGCAGCATGAAATTCTCCGTATTATTAAGTTGTATTAATCTTACCGGAGTTAAATATAAAAAATATATATATTAAATGCTATTCTTCTTTTAACTTTCCATCCGTTTTCTTTTCCGTTTGTTTCCACCTTTATCTGTTTCCTGTGTTACAATCCGCAATCTCAACAGCCAACTTGATCCTATTCTAGGCACAGAAGATCAAATGTTCAAAAAATGCATCATCAGCTATCACATTCAACCAGACGATCTCTGACCGAACGAGAACATTTCAACCCAACGTGCATTCTGTAATTCCAGATTCTGCTTTTCCGAACTCATGTAATGAAACTGCATTTGCAGTATTTTATTTGCATAAAGATGGGACCTTATTTCCGAGCTTAACCAGAACAAAAACTACACTAAATCAGGTAATGAACTCTCATCAATATGAAGTATGAAAGTAAATAAGACAATCGAAAAACGATATTTAACCATGTACACGCATATAGGTTGTAATTACAAAAACTTGGGTATACAAGCTTAAAATGTTTGAGTAATATGTAATACGTAAGTGAAGATCAAAGTAACTAGTACTTTATCTTGTACCATTTTGTTGGAAATTCATGTTTCAACAAAAGAAAAATAGACTATGATCTCAAATATGACGATATCTATGGGATACCGATATACAATATTTATAATACAATATTATTAAGATATTAATTACAATATAATACAATATTTAAGACAAAAGTCATCGGTTAGGAAAATATGTTATTGGCATGTTTATTTCGTCAGGTTTTCAGTTCACAAATTACCAGAACTAAGTTGAGTCAACTATCAGAACCAATATCACACAAGTTTGGACAACCCAAACGAGAAACTGGACAAAAAAGGGTAAATAATAATTTTTGGCATTGCTAAAAATTCATGTACACGCCTACTTTGAAGTTTGCAGTCCCAGCATAGTCAAGGGGGTTATATGAGGGCCCATGACATATATTATTACGTCTTTTCAACACCATTTTGCTTTATTCTTTAACGATTTATTGAAATCCCGAGGTTTTCTTGCATACTATCAATAGTCTTTTCTCCAAATGAACAACCGAGATAGATGAACATGCGCGGTTATGTAGCCTGAATACCTTCGACAGCGAAGTAAGTTTGTGGAGAGATTCTTTAATAAGATATTGTTAGATATTAATGGCTGATTTATCTAGCGTTGTTCGGAGCAAAAGACACGAGTAAGCGTCGTATTACGTTAATATACAAAAAAATACAAAAAATAATTTGCCCCCCAGACCAATTTTGAGCTGGTTACAATCTAGTCCCGATGACCGACAATGCCCCTGGAAGACCAAAATCATCCTTTATATGTTTGAATTTTAATTTATCCAGATATGCATGATGAAATCGCGTAATTATGGGTGATGATAGAATTTTAACTGTGATTTGTGACCACAGCTTTCGGAATAGTTATTAGTGTATATTATTAGACCTTCCTTATTTAGCTTTTCTTGAAAATATAGGATTTTATAACTCATCGCTGTGCTTATTTGGACTTATCCGATGGAGGCTGGAAATATGATGGATGCCAAACGTCAGTGACTGACTCAATAACAACTACCTGTGACTGCGATCACACAACTAATTTTGCAGTTCTTGTAGTAAGATATTTATATTTAAAGTTTCTTAAGTTAATTAGGAAAATTGAAACAACGAGAACTCACACAAATATGTAAAAGTTTTCAATGACAAATCAACCAGATATAATGGGAAGATATATTTCAGACTAGGACAAATTTTAGTTTTATTTTGGAAAATTGAAAATGTATCTATTGTCGCGTAAGTTATTGTTACCATCGCAATACCTCAGAACGAAATGTTACTCGACTAAATATACACGTCGGAGAAATTCCATAACCCTCGAAACCGAATTATGTACCGAGTATTTCGAAAATGTCACGCTCCCCCAGTTGTTCTGTACTTGTCCCAATTGTATGAATCTCACTCCTTATGAACAATCGAGGTGCAAGGTGAGAAAGTATGATTAAAGGCGAACAAGAGTGAAACAAGTGTGGGACACGTGGGATACAATTTTTTCTAGTCACTGGTGCTATGCATACCCATAACAGCATGAAAAAAATATTGTCAAAAAAAAAATTATATATTTTTTTAGCAAACGCATGCAGTTGCAGGCAGCTACGCAATCAATATCGCAAGTTATGTTGGTTGTTCTTGCTCAATTGCTGGATTGACATTCGTGCTGATCATCTATTTGTCCATTAAGTAAGTAAATATTCATCAATAGCTTGCTCTGAATAGCAGTAAGGACCATATTTTTAAACAATAATTCATTTTGAGACACAGTTAAATTAGGTTACTTTTTCAAGGTACAATATTCCTACAAAAAAGGGTCAACGGCTATGACTAAAAAGGCATTGTTAGCGTTTAATACCAATTTGGTGATATTCAACTTGAATTAAATAATGTAATATAAATTCCTATTTTTTCCAGAAAACTTCGTGTTAGTCAAATCAATCAGATTCACATTCATTTGAGTATATGTTTACTTGTTGCCTATTTGACATTTATTATCGGAGTCGAAAGACCTCGTTCGTATATACCTTGCATGATTGTCGGAGGAATTCTTCAATTCTCATTTTTGTCTGCTTGGGGTTGGATGTTTGCTGAAAGTATAACAATGTACAGGTAGACGTATGTTCATTATTTTTGACATATAGGTCATTTCGATGAAGTGCTGTTGTTGTTTTTACTGATAGCTTACAGGAAACCTTTTTGTAATTTTACATCAATCGCTACCAAATTTGTAGTAGGTAAAAACGAAAATGTTTTCAAGAGAGATATTACTTAATTTTAGTTTTCTGTGGGTTTACTGGGTCCTTTGATTTCGAAAATTGTACTTTCACCTTCAGTAATTGGCATTACTGTTAAGTTCAATCAGTGGTACCAACCCATACAATGAACGGTTACGTTATGACAAAAGTTATGTAACTTTGTATAAGAAGAGCCTAACCTAAATAAATTTGTTATGTTCAGGAAATTTGTATATATCTTCAGTCATATGTCATCTAATTATGTAATGAAAGCGTCCTTTATTGTTTACATTCTCTCACTGTTGGCAACCGGTCTAACAATCATCGTGGCTTACGTCACTGGAGATATGATGCAATATGAAGGATGGTCTACTGCCGCGGATAACGGTAAAATAATTTGATTCTGAAAATTAACTTTCAGCATGAAATCGTGGGAAAATGCCAAATGTTTTTCGAATTGTTTCATTTATTCTAGGCCAAGAATTCGGACAAATAGCGTACGCTTGATGATATATTTTGAAAGAATACTGATATTTATCTTCTCGTCCTTTGTTATATTAATTAATTCTTAGAAAATACACTTTCAGATCCCCAGTTTCATCCGTCCTTTTATGTAAGCGATCGTTTATGTTGGCTTCATGGATATTCTTTGTATTTTGGATTCTTGACACCTGTTGGGATAATGTTCATCGGAAATATTTTTGGGTTTATCAATATCATTCGAGTGTTGACGAAATCCAACTCAGAGGTTAGAATTATAAAATTACCAAAACAAAGTGTTGGGACTAAATAATATTGTTTACTGACAACATCTTTCGTCATTTTTCTTCTCATTGTTATGAAAAAAATCGCTATTCTCATTAACTGCTGGACCAATTGCTTTGAAATTTTCAGTGGTCAATGATTGTCTTTTTTGCTAGAAGTTTAATACTTTTATTTATTTCAAAATTTCCTGTTGGCTCCATGGGATTCGTTGTTTTGTGCGATGACGCCATCAAAATTTGCGCACTTTGTGGCGGTTCCGCGTTTTTGTTAGTCATAAAAACTGCTGTACCGGTACTACCGGTCGTCTACTGTGACCGATTTCATACTCGTATTACTACGTTTTGGTCTTCGTGTCCATATATTTAAGAATCGCTCTCTTGTTTTTGCTATTAATTTCCGAATCTTATTGTAGGCTAAATGTTACGTAATTATGACAGTTAAAAAACATATAAATAACTAACAATAAAATTTAACTTCGTGTTGTTTATAGTTAAGATCAACGAAAATTCAAAAAAATGAAACAAAGGATCACGCGTATAGAATATTTATGGTGTCTATTCTTCTTGGGATCACATGGATATTTGCTGTTCCACTAACAATTACTGATGACGCTATTGTAAACGAAGTGTTTGGATGGTTATTTTCACTATCAAATGCTTTCCAGGTAACAAATTACCTCACAAATTTGATTTCCAGTCCACACATATAATCGTTCTCAAACAGTACGAATTCGCCAGCTAATAACCTAAATTTACGACTGTCTTTTCTGTTCGAAACCGTGCAATACTAAAATTTGATTTGTTGAGATATTATTTTTTATGACTGTCAATAATTGATTAAAAACATACAAACTCCACATATAACAACATTTTTTAACTACCATTTCAGGTAGAGGTTTAATCAAAAACTCTGACCCGTCCAACATTATTCCTTTCTATCTTTTACTATATGCGATGATCGTGTATACGTCTTTCTTAGGGCCTTTTTATATTTCTTCTCTTCTGTGTGAAACGTAAAGATGTTCGAACGCTGTGGACAAAATATCTGCCTCAAATAAACCTCAGAAAATCATCTGTATACGATGTTCATAATGCCACATCAACTGCGTCTACAGGTAGGCTACTATCTTCCGGGTGGACAACAACCTTATTTGAGAATAACCTGTAGTTCCCTATAATATTTTGATTTATTATATTTTATATTGTGAATTGTTTAAATACTTAAAATCTCATGCATCTCTCTTTTTCTCTTATATATATATGAGCATATATGAGCCAAAAGGTACTCAAACTTGTCTTATGGAAAACTCAGTAGGAAACAATAGGTTCAAAAAGGGACAATCGGTAGTTCTCGGTAGCGCATCGGCGGTGTGGCGCATCGCCATAAGCATCAGGAATACACTGGCCACATCACCTCTGATTACCCTGATTGGGTTCGCGGGTTCGACTCCCGTGGGGGATAATCATATATATGCGAGAGAGTTGCTTGACTCATCATCGCTGTGGAGTTCACGTAACGGTTGCGGATTCCTCCTTCATCAAGTTATTGCATCTGAAAACAAATAACTGGCTAACTAATCCCATACTCGACATGGACTGGTAAACGGACAAGAGGCCATGGTTATCCATATTATTACTCGCCGATTTTCCTTTTACCGGGGTCATATCCTACCATTCGCGACAATGCATTTTAGCGAAAAGTCTTCTGAGTAAGTTTTTACGACTATATATACTAAGGTATTTGCAATTTAGAAAAAGTTTTTAGGTTTTATGTTGATAATATTTCTTTTGATAGGAGTTGGAACTCAGTCACAAACAGATGGACCAACCCTGAATCATTCTACTGCGCTCACTTATAAAAATATGCAAAATTTGGGTAAGTTAGAAATTGCGATGAAGCATCAAATTGTACTGTGTACTGTTGATCATAAACTATTATAATACAGATGAATCACCATCAAACAAAACCAATAACACTCAAGATCCAAAAAGTACAAAATATTCGGCTGATGAATCAGCACAACAAGATGATCCTACAATAGATCCATCTTTAATGACCGAAATACATCTCAGCCCTTTGAAAAGTAATCCCGATTATTCGACGTGACGTTTATAAACGATTGAATGAAATTACTACTATTCAAGATATTGTTTAATAAAATTTATATTATACCAATTCTGTCAAAAATTCATTTTAAAGACTCAAAAAATATTGAAGGAAGACGTAACCGAACCTTTTCCATTTTTTATGAGATTGGCGTCCGTCACTTATATAGCGTGGACGCATTTCCAACTTCATATTAGATATATATACATTGCTTAACTACAATTTATAAGCATTTATACATTTCAAACCACGGATGCAACTGACGAGTATTATCATTGTGCCAGTATCGATAAAAAGGTAAAATTACAAATGGGACGAAAACTGAACGAACGTTCGTTTCATTCGCTTTTTTGGACCAATACGTTCATTTGTTTCTTTTCCGTTTATTTTTCACTACTCATTTCTATTATTGAGCATATCATGTTTAACCTTTGCACAAAATAAATATTTTATTAATTCAATTTCATCAACGTTTTATGATGAAACGTTTTATTTATTTTGTTTAAATAATAGTATATAGAAATAAGAGGGAAACTGTTGTCTTCAGTATATAAATTTGATCAGTCTTCTATAGAGTGAGGGATCATTTTTATTGTTTTTTCTGATCCCTCGACAGCACCCATTTTTCATAAGTTGTGTGCTTATAAATTTGGAAGCGACGTTCGTTCAAAGGAAACTCATTGCAGATATACCCCTTTTCACTTGGTTCTTTCTAACCATTCCTATGTATAAACAGTGAGAATGTTAATTGAACACGTCAGTGGACATAACGACCGTTTCAATCATATGTTGTTGTTGTTGTTCATCATTATTATAAAATCGCTTTTCTTTTCGAAAACGGACCAATTGCTTTGAAATTTTCAGTGGTTAAGATTGATTTTTTTTTTGCCAGAAGGCTATTACTTTTACTTATTACAAAAATCTCTGTGGCCTTCAAGAGATTCGTTTTTTTTAGTGTCAGAATAAAAAATAGCGGCACCTTGTGACGTGTCCATATATTTGAGCATAGCTCGCTTGTTTTAATAATATTTGTAAAATAATATGTAATTCAATTATTAATAATTAATTAGGTAATAATCAATGATTTTGAAGACTTAAAATACGTTGCATCGGGAGATTCTCAGTATGTTCAACTTTAATCATAGGTATTCCCTTCACTTTTGGATAAATTCGGGGGAGAATAGCCGACAGAAAAAGAAGTCAGAACGTCAGTATATCGTATATCCCCGTTTGTTGAATTGGAAATTTTTTCTAGTTTGAAAAATAATATCATCTCATCAGTGGTATCATTATTCGCAATCAAAAAGCATTTTCTACATACAGATTTTTAGCTTTTCTCCCTTTCTTGCTGTTTTCGTTGCTTTGCAGTGCATGGAAGAAGTGGCTATGTAAAATAGATAGGATTCGTATATTTATCCCGGGGAGAGGGAAGTCGTTAAGTAGGCTCAATCGTATGTGGAAGCCAATCACGGCTCTTCGCCCTGTTACCAATTCTTGTCGGGTGGGCTATAGGATAACTCAATCAGTCAGGTAATAGTTTCATACGAATGAACTTGATGATGGAGGAAGCCGTTACCGACCATCAGTTACTTGAACCACCCTACGGATAGTTTCACATATTTATTTTCGTCGTGCAAAATCTATATAGCTTATGATATGAAATAAATAAAATATATATATATATGTAACGAACTACAAATACGGATATCGGCTTGTTGCAGTTAACGAGGGGTGGCGAAAGATTCAAAAAGTTATCTATTCAAAGACACCTTGCGGCTGAATTGAAGCAGCAAGTATAGTAACGAAACAACTAAATGTTAAATAACAACCTAATTAAACACAATCATAAAAAAATCTGATAAAAAATTGAACTAATTTACGGGATGCCACAATAACTGTGGAATAGGCCTATTACTTACACATTTATCTAATTTGACACAATCATACAAAGAAAAAACAACAAGAATTCAAAATGAACTATGGCAACAAGGCGTCCAGTGATCCATTAGAATAATAGAAAATACAAAATTCGTAACCATAAAAATGATATATTGATTAATGAAACAAACAATGCGAAATGACCAGATTTTCTTTTGTTATCGGCTTCCTCCACCATCAAGTCCATGCTTCCGAAAACACATAACTAGTTAACAAATCTCATACCAGTAACCGGACGAGAGGTCTTGGTTCGCCATACGGATGAACCGTCTTTTCTCTCCCTTGGGATAGGATAGGATTTACATATTTATCCTGGGGGAGAGGGAAAAGATAACACGGATAAATGTGTAAATCCTATCCTATCTAAGTATTTAAATATTTGTAGAATCATCGACATAGTGCGTTTCGAGTGCATATAATTGGGGCGCAAATCACGTGGACGACAGAAAACTAGCTTTTATTCTTATTCGTCAGGAGGCGCTAACACAAAATATTTTGGTATTATTATTAATCAGAAACATATTTTTACATATTGTTACATCTCTAATGGCACTGAATTGACTATGGCTAGCTGTGAGGCAATTAGCGAAGTTGAATGATGTGCTTGGTAGTCTAAATTAGTATCTGGCTTTCTATCTTTTTGGTCGGGAATATATGCTAACAATATAGGCATCATAGAAAACTAAGAATCGAATGCGGATTCTATTAGCCAGAGCAGGCTATGTCTTATAACTATGTGTTTGCACAATAAAAAGTGTTTGTTTTGTATTGCACTGTTTACCTATTCTTGGCACTTTTGTGGCCCGCGAACAACGCAAAAACAATTTTGTGGCCCGCGGAGCCGACAATGTTGGACCACCCTGATATTTTAATCTAGAGTCTAGACTTTGGGTCAAAATATTTTTTCAAATTGGTTAATTTTAAATTTTGGTTTGATACTAGTATGGTGGTATAGTCTAACTTAAAAATGATATATTCTGTTTTAACTCAGTCTATTTGGCAGTGGTCTCTCTGCAATTAACTTTGTCCAACTAAATTTTGATGGAACTGAGTTGTGGTGCAAACGGCGTCGACCAGAAGGCGTCTCATATATGTCTTCGGGTCTGAAATGATTACCACAAACTCGCGTTCTTGGTGTAATCTGTTTTAATAAGTCAAAATAAACTAGCTGATACGAACTGAATAAATAACACCAACTAAAGTGAAGCTAGGCTTCAAGGAATCAATGTATGCCCACCTAATAATATTATAGGTTATTAAGTTTAGCTTGATTCCCATAATCAGTACATCAGGAAGATTTTGACAGAATAAACACTTATTATGTCTACGGAATCAGAAGAGCCATAACTAAGATTAGTTAAATTAATTTAATTAAGTGATTCAAGAGTCTTGCTGCACACTAAGACTCACAGCAAGACTCTTGAATCACTTAGGATAGTTATCTTTACTCTTGCTACAGCATCCTTGCATTAAATGCATACCGATCTGCCGGCACAAAAGCATAGAAGAAGGATAAGTAGTTAGTCTCGTAGAAACCAAATCATTAGTTGAATTAATTGTGGCTAAAACTGTAAAAGAAAGTCGTGGCCTGTGCTCACCTCAAATACACTCACATGTAGCCTACAACCGCATAAATATAGCCTAATAACTAAAGTAGAAGCGAGAAGAGAAAATCAGGTAAAAACTAAAATTAAAACCAGAAGAAAAAAAAATTTGCCACAAAATACTGACTTACTTGAAAATAGGATAGGATAGGATTTACATATTTATCCCGGGGGAGAGGAAAGCCGATAATACGGCTTATCCATATGGTGAACCACGGCCTCTCGTCCGGTTACCATTCCAAGTCGGGTATGGGATTAGTTATACTGTATTGTTTATTTTCGGAAGCATGGACTTGGTGGTGGAGGAAGCCGTAACCGACCAGCGGTTACGTGAACCACCCAACGACGGTGAGGAGTCCAGCAATCCTCTCGCACATAACCATCCCTGCACGGGATTCGAACCTGCGAACCGACGCAGAGTAATTAGAGGTGCGGTGGCGAGCGTATTCCTAACGCTTAGCCCGTTGAGCCACACCGCCGCGCCAATGTTTACCAGAATCGCGACGAATACTGTGAATCCACGCTCTCTTCATTTTTGGGGAAAGAGTAGAACGATAAGTCTGATGAGTAACGGCTATCGCCATTACAGAACGGTACGCAGCAATGCAATTTGGAACCACCAGACGCACGAGCCACCATTGCAATCGAAAAGCCCAAACCAGTCCAACGTCGCGGGGAAGCACACAGTACTTTTCCGCGCATGCCCACATAAAAACAAAATGGCGACGCTCAGCGGCGATAATGAATACCCTCCATATTTGCCCGCCGGCCACAGTTCTCATGCTGCTGTTGTTGTACCAGTGCCTCGCACCAGAGGCCAGAGCACGGACTGCGGTAATCGCGTCTGGTAGTCTGGTTAAGTTCGGTACCGTTTTTCCCACCGTATCGTTAGTGGCAGTGCCATCGCGGTCTGAATCTGATAGTGCTGTCTTTTCATCCAGTCGAGAAAAGAACAGGGACATTCAGAAATTGCAGCAGCAGATACAATGGAGGGACGGACTAAAAGTAGGCACTTGCAAATTAGGCACTTTTTTAGGCACTTATTTAGGCACTTTTGAAAAAAAGTAAAAAGGGCGTAATACCTTTAAAAACATAATTAATTAGTTAAAAATGGTCAAATTAAATGTTGAAAACGCAAATTGCAACGGGCAAATTCAATAACAATATTTAAAACGTAGTATTAAAGGATGTCGCACGCGCTTGGTCACCACATAAGCTAGGCACATATTTAGACACTCCGAAAAATAAAGAAAATGGCAATTATCACTAATAAAAGACAGAGACATAAACATATTACCCACACTGATTAGCCTGGGTAAATATCCAATAGATGCACTCGAGTCTAGTACTGGAATTTAGAAATAATAAATTGTTACCGGTAGGCACTTATTTAGGCACTTCGGAAAAAAGGTGAAATGGACGTAGTAACTCCTAAAAAGGTAATGAATTAGTTCAAAATATTTAAATTAAATGTTGAACGCAAAAATTGCAACAGTTAAACCCAATAATGATTTTTAAAACTTAGTACTAAAGGGAGACGCACGCGCTCTGTCACCACATATGCTAGGCACATATTTAGGCACATCGAAAAAAAAAAATTGGGAATAATCACCAATAAAAAAAAGAAAATAAAAATATTAGTCAAAATGATTAGCCTGGAACTGGGTGAATATCCAATAGATGCACTTGAGTCTAGTAGTGGTATTTGAGAATAATAAATTGTTACCGGTAGACACCTTTTACCTGTTTCCCCGAAATTAATATATTAATATATATATTATATATAATTCTTAAAATTCAGGCTAGGTCTTATTTTCAGGGTAGGAGGTCCTATTTTCGGGGAAACAGGATAGGCAGTTCGTAAAAAAAAATTAAAATGAGCGTAATAACTCTTTTAAAGACATAATTAATGAATTAGTTAAAAGTAGTCAAATTAAATGCTGCACACGCGAAGTGCAACAAGTAAAAACAATGATAATATTCAAAACGTAGTATTAGAAGGATCACCACATATGCTAGGTACTTATTAAGGCTTTTCGAAAATAGGAAAAAATAGAAAAGAGATTGGTTTGTTTGATTCCTGGATGGCAGGTTGCAATGTTTGCCAGTCAAAAAACACCATTGACATATGTATGAGAATATTACATTCCTCATACGCAGCAATCGACCGCTGCCCGAACATACTGGAGTGGAAGCGATTTGTTTATTCCGATACACCCCAGCAAAACAACTCCTCGGACTGCGGAATTTTCGTTGTATGTAATGTTTTCTTCGTTTTGTCTCAGTTACCTTTTGCCTCTATTAACGGTCTGGTTGCCCAGGCTAATCAGTGTCGGTAATATGTTTATGTCTCCGTCTTTTATTGGTGATAACTGCCATTTTCTTTATTTTTCGAAGTGCCTAAATATGTGCCTAGCATATGTGGTGACCAAGCGCGTGCGACTGCCTTTAATACTACGTTTTAATTATTGTTATTGAGTTTGCCCGTTGCAATTTGCGTTTTCAACATTTAATTTGACCATTTTTAACTAATTAATTATGTTTTTAAAAGGTATTACGCCTTTTTTACTTTTTTTCCAAAGTGCCTAAATAAGTGCCTAAAAAAGTGCCTAATTTGCAAGTGCCTACTTTTAGTCCGTCCCTACAATGGAGACTGAACATGAGTTGTTGATATACGAAGAAAAACATAGTCAGACATTGCAAAGGTATGGTGATATTTTCAAAGATAGTAGGCAATTTGTACCGGTATGTGTGTGCTATTTTTAATTAATTTAATATGGTACCGTCCTTTTTGGTATGCCGAAATGCACCACTTCATTTGGCAGTTTCTGAGTTTGGCAACACCTTTCAATCGAAAAACTGGACTGTACCACTGTACGGTACCAGGTACCGGTACAGGTTTAAACCTTATTTGAAGTTCTGTTCGCTCTCCTGATTCTGTAACTAGTTTTATTTATTTTGTTTTATTCAATTATTTCATCGTCTTTTATGCTGATTATGGAGTCGAAATAAACTTATATTTAAATTTGTTATAATTTAGATCATTGTTACAGACAGCGTTTAAACAAAATTCGAATTTTAATAAAATTTAAGATTTTAATGAATTATAAGTTTTCTGCTCTCACGGACAGTTAGATATAAGTCTGATTTATTTTGAACTCCACAATCTGACAATGGTGAAAATAATTATTATAATGTACAACAGTAAGTACAAAGGACCAAATAACTGTTGATGATTATTTCTATATTTTTCAGACCGCAAGTTTCAAAGCGCAAGCCTAAATTGAATGGAGCTTTCAGAAATAAATATATCTTGCTCTCGAGTGTGCTTGCAACACTTGGTGGAATTTTATTTGGATATGATTTGGGAATAATATCAGGGGCACTGGTTCAACTTCAAGAATACTTTCAACTTTCATGTTTTGAGCAAGAAATGACAATTGGATCCGTAATTATTGGAGCATTATTGGCGTCTCTTTGTGCAGGATTTGTTGTGGATTATTTTGGTCGCAAAGCCTGCATTATTGGGTCATCTGTATTATATGCGATTGGTGCGATAATTGTTGCGACTTCGCAAAGTTATAATATTCTTATTTGCGGACGTTTGATTCTTGGGACTGCCATAGCTTTATCAAGTGCTTCTGAATGTATTTATGTTTCTGAAATTTCTCCGCCAAAATTCAGAGGAACTCTTGTGTCGTTTAACGAACTCGGAATCACTGTGGGATTCCTTTTGGCATATTGTTCCAACGCTGCATTTGCATATAATACCTCAAGTGGATGGCGATGGATGTTTGGAATATCTCTAGTTTTAGCTTTGGCCATGACTGTTACTGTGTGTTTTCTACCGTATAGTCCCCGATATCTTCTAATGAAAGGTCGCATAGAGGAAGCTAAACAAATTCATTCCCAACTGCAGTGCAATGATCAATCGTCAGACGAAACCCTAAACGAGTGGAATGCAATGAAATCTTTTATTTACACTTCAAATAATCCAAAATGTAATGTATGTGATATATTTCGTGACACTGCAACTCGATATAGTGTATTTATTGGTCTGAGCCTAATGGTGATTCAGCAGGCAACTGGACAACCTAACTTGCTGTTCTATGCCTCAACTGTTCTAGTGTCATTTGGTTTTAAAGCCAATGGTATGGCTTCGTTTTGCTCTGTGGGTCTTGGTGTAGCAAAATTAATATCAACAGCAATATGTATAAGCATAGTTGAAAAATATGAAAGAAAAGCATTTTTAATTGTTGGTAGTTTGGTTATGTTTGTGTCTTTATTAATTATTTCGTGTTGTGCAATAAGCTTCAATATCGGTGTTGTTGATTCTTGTATGACTAATCACACCAATCAAACATTCAATACTGAGATTGTCCCAGGCTCGGAAATAGCACGATGGGTTGTGTTATTCTCTCTTATTGCTTTTGTATCAGCTTATGCATTTAGCTTTGGTCCCGTTTCGTGGATATTTTTGAGTGAAATATTTCCAACCAAAGTTCGTGGGATTGCTTTCTCAATTTCCACAAGTTTAAATTGGGCTATACAATTGTTACTTTCAATGACATTTTTGGATTTCTCAAAAGTATGTGGCGGTGTTGGTTGGCCGTTCTTTATAAATTCATTGCTGACTTTAATGTCAGTTGTTTTTATATATAAAGTAATTCCCAAAACCAAAGGTAAAACACTTGAAGAAATACAAGAAGACTTAATTGCAAGATAAATCAGTTACTGAAATATTTCTGTTTCTTTTTACCAATTTTGCACTTATGAATATATTTATTATTAATTAAGCGTAGTACATCCCAATTCATTAATGACAGACATTGTGACGATACTTTTGTGTTATCAACTTTATTACATCCTCTGCATTTAAGTGCCTTATATGTGATATTGCATCTGTACTATCATACACAAATATGTAAAAAATGATCCATAAATTTTTTGTTGTGCCAAATTATTTAATCTTTCATATCCCTTTTTTCATATTTCAAATTCAAAGTAAGTTTTCATACTTTCATCCATTCCCAGTAAAGATACACATAATTAATGATTTTTGATTATAATAGTATTCATATAGCATTTTTATAGCATTAATAATATCTTGCTCCTGATAATCAGTTTCTGCAGATAAATAAAAAAGGGTGCTCCCGAAGTATGCGAACCAAGATGGCGGACATCGGAACGTAACATGAGTAACAGGTTAGGGTTGGGCGATAATTTTTTTCCAATTTTCCTTATTTTAGTCCTGTTATTAGTTCGAAGACTAGCCAAGAGCCTCCCGTAGTATTTATACCTAAAATTATGGCCTAACCCTAACCTAGTACACATATTACATTCCGATGTCCGCCATCTTGGTTCGCATACTTCGGGAGCCCCTAAAAAAGAATACTTCACGTTCACAATACTTATCTTGAAAATATACCTGAATGGTACTAGTATTATAATACATATAAAATGGCATTCCAGTCTATCATTCTGTTTGCAATTATTTGCTGACACCTAGGGGTGAATATTTTTGTTTGATAGAGGTAATATAATTGAGTAATTGGTCCAATGCTGATTGATATATTTTTCCTCTTAATAAAAGAACTATTTTTTGTAGCAACACATTATCAAAACATTGGGGTTTGTTTAAAATATTTGTTCAGTAAATACTATACTAGTTTTTTTAATTAATTTATCACACTCAGTTGCCAATCAAATGTTTCTAGAATTCATGCATATTATTGAAAGGAAAATTCTGGAACTCAGATTTTTGATACTGTGTTCCCATGAGTGCAAGTGCCAAGAATTGGTGTTGTTGTTGCTACTTTGTTACTTTGAAAGACGAAAAACACATTAATCATATTGCATTTCTATAATAATGTTTATAGAATTTGTTTTAGTTGACTTCGTGTTTTACTAAATTTGGTTTCATTCAGAATTTGGGGATTTTTCAATGAATGGGTCAAAAATTATATTTTTAATCACGAAACAGAAGAGAGTGGGTCACATATATTTAATCAATGTTTGTATCTATAAGAAACTTTTAAAACAAATCTTATAAGCTTCTGTTGGTGTAGTTTTGGGCTTTACTTATGCGGCACTTCTATCAGGGACTTATTGGGGCACTCGATTTTATGAAATTAGAATACTAAAACACACATATGAATTGCCAAAAACGTTTTGGATGATACGACAAATTATTTTATGGTGCCCAAGAGTTTGGAGGGAATTCCACTCTGATAGTGTTATATTTTTTGATCGGCTTTCAACCACATTAAGGCATTTTTACACTATTCTATTGTTATTTCGGATTTCTAGGGTTTATATTTCAAGTCTGAAAGATTTTGTTTTCTCAACGGTATTGTAGGCTAGAAACTAATAAAATTATCATACCGCCGCGGAAATTAACAACTGACGGTACATTATAATAGTTTAGTTATTGTTAAATTAATATAAGGCTGGTTTTATCAATTTTCATCACTGATATGTTAGCATTTTTTTTATTTTATTCATGCCTTGGCGAATCACGGATAAAACGCGGTGGGTCACTTTGTGACCCGCTGGTCAGTGGTTCGCCGTCCTTGACCTAATCGACCATTACTGCTATCTATCACTGAAAAAAAATACTGCATTTTTTTTGTCATTGGCAATATCACATTATACTAAAATGAATCCCTCTAACATCAAATATTATATAGAACCATTCTGTATGTATATATAGGGCCATCAAAAATTGCAATATAATGTTCTAACTAATTTTATTTTTAAATATATCAACATCTAATGCATTGTGCAATGGATTTGCAATATATCACATACACAATTCTATCTACAATTCTATATTCTAACATGTGTTCTAAATTTGTTTGATATCTTTTTATTTTATTATTTTAGATTATGTTATTCTCGATTGTTTGTTTGTCATTTCATTTTCCTTCAGTTTTGCTTCAATCACATTTTTTTAATTATTTTTTAGTAGATTTCAAAATCAAATCAAACAATATAATTTTCAACAATTATTACTTATGTCTAGAATGAATTTTATTTTTTTCTGTATCTTGTCCCATGGCGTATTTGTATAATACTCATATTCGAATAAGCATTATGTTCAATCAGCCTGAGCTTCCTGAGGAAATTGCTTCAGGAATCATTTATCATGTTTTACTTTGGTTTGATTTGGAATTTTTGATCAATAGTCCACCATGAGACAGATATTCAGTTGTTCACTTAATCGAATGATTTCCCATTAATTTATTATCAACAAAATAAGGTTTGATATTCAAGCTTTGGGAGCCCTTTTGAGACTAATGAATTGGAATTTCCCTATTTTTTCCTTATGACAAATTCATGTTTTTGTATACAGCATAACTTGAAATAAATTTATTTGTTTATTCCTACATTGACATTTGTCTTCAAAATAATTGTGAAATTGGAAACCTTCAAGCTTCAGTAAAACCTAGTTATTTCAACATGTGATCCTTTCTGTACATTAACACAAAAATATTTCTCTAGCCTGTAATGCTTTGACATGATAAACATGAGAGTTGTTATCTGTCATGGCAGGATTAGATCAGATCAAGCTTTGTGCCAATGTAGGTTAGTTATTGCAATTGACTGTCTTTTTCTGATAAAACATATTTTATCTAATTTGTTTTAGAGATCAATTATCTGAATGCTCTATAATGATAAGATCATTTGTACATAGGCTATTTTTTGGGCGAAACCATCATGGATTTCCGAAAGTTTTGCGTAATTTTACCATAACCGGACATCGAAAAAACATGGGAAATGATATGTTCGAAAACGACAATCTTACATCCCAAGAGGACGAAAATGAATTCGATCCTGCCATGTTCAGAAACGAAGCTCATTTAATTGGAAAAGTTGTTCTTAATCCTAAACCAATATATTTAAAGGATGAAACTCTTGTTGGATACACATTCCTATTGAACGTTTCTCAACCTCAATATCGACCTATTTATTGTAACGTTACCAGCTTTGAACCTGCTGTTTATGAAAACATTGCAAACGATGTTACAAAAGATTCAATTGTTGATGTTAAAGGATTTTTTCGCAAGTCTGTAAAAGTAAGAATGGAAAATGATGAACAAGCTGTTCGGCGATATTTTTCAATTGGTCCTAAATTAGTTGAAGTGTTAAAAAAACCAGATGAAGTATAGGCTACTGATTGATACGAAAATTTTCGACAAATATCTTTTTACAGATAATATTTAAATTCTCTGCCACAAAAAAACACCTTGGGGTAATTCCTCTGGAAACAATTTGTAAGCCACCAAAAACGCCGAATTTTACGTTCATGTGTGATACTCATTGTCAAGTTCATTGATTTGAACCAGATGGATCGGAGTTGAGCTTGATGTCCACTGATGAATTGCGCTAAGATTTATTTGGTTATTAATATTCAAGCAGCAATGGTTTGATTCCCAAGATTTTCATTGAACTTTTTATTGTATGAAACTTTTTTTGCTATACACCGTTATATGCTTGAGCATGGGATGCTTGTTTATGATGATCGATTTTTGAATGGTACAATATAAAGTACTAAAAAATTTCAATGCAATTTATCGTTATCAGTAGAGGTGGCGAGAAACTAACTCCCAATCCTTCCTCAATGCCTTTGCGCTAGAGTGGATCCGTAGGCGTATAATGCAAGAATGCTGTAGTTGTATCTGACCTCTCTACTATGTCTAACCAATTCTCTTTAATAACTTGGATAAAATAGCTGTTGACATAATATGTATATTCCATATTGTGAGGTCAAAACTATGTGAGGTAGTTTATATGTATTTACCGAAACTAATCAGTAACGAATGAGTTTCGCTGTTATTTCTGCTCTTACATTTTTACTAGATTTGTAACTAATCCATGTATTTTCTGGGATTTCGATCCTGATTTTCTCATACTATGATGAATACTGTACATTACTCCTTTTTATTGTTCTCAGATTTGTGTTCTTATTTATTGTAAGAATTTCACTTCAAATTCAAAACCCAATTTCGAAGATTCAACTACTTTTGCCTACTATAGAAACACCTTTCGTTAAATGTAACAGAAAAATAGTCATGGCAGAAAAACGAAAACACGATGAAATCGAGCAAGATGAAACAGATCCGGTGGTTTCCTTGCAAGACATAATCGAAGAGGATACAGAGCTCGAATCAACTGCAAATGCCGTTCTTGGTGGCAGTGATGATCAGGAATGCACTTACAATGAAGGTTATATGAAAAGACAAGCTCTTTATGCTTGCGCTACTTGCAAGACTACAGATAGTGCAGGTGTATGCCTAGCCTGTTCCTTAGATTGCCATGAAGGCCATGAACTTTATGAGTTATACACGAAGAGGAACTTCCGCTGTGATTGTGGGAATGATAAATTCGAAGATTTTAAATGTAATTTTCATCCTGATAAAGATTCAACAAATGAAGGAAATACTTACAACCATAATTTCAAAGGTGTATATTGTACGTGTGATCGTCCATACCCCGATCCAGAAGACTCTATAGACGATGAAATGATACAATGTATTATATGTGAAGATTGGTTTCACAGTCGACATTTGCATGGAAAAGGTATCCCAGATGGTTCTGACTTTTCTGAAATGATATGCCATATGTGTATGGAGAATAAAACTCAGTTTTTGTGGTTTTATAACTGGGAATATACTCATTATGAAAGCGCTATTGTTGATGTCTTGGAATCTCCAAGTAAGGACAAAAAAGAAGACGAAATAAGTGATAATACTGATTTGAACGGTTCTACGAATTTGGTGAAAATTGAAGAAAAGTGCAGTGATGCTTCAACAAATTCTGAGACATTGAATGAAATATCAAATAAAGAGTTGCAATCTACCACCATTGATAAAAAGCCCACTGCAAATTCTATTGTAACCACCATGACTGAATCAAAAGTAGATGAAATCAATAAAGCAGAAGAGGTATCTGTGAGCGAAAGTGAGGATAAAATCGATGCTACGAACACATGTGATACAAATATAAATCAAGCGAATGAAAAGAAGGCTATTATCAAATCTGAGGAATTGAATACAAATGGTTCAGTTAAAAAAGAACCAATTTATAAAAAAGAATTCATTAAATCACAATGCAGATTGGAGTATTTAAAACAAGTTTACAATGCATGCAAGTTTCCAGACAGTGCTGCATTCTGGCCCGATGTTTGGCGTAATAATCTATGCAAATGCGAAAAATGTAAAATTCTAATGAAAGATTTTTCCTATCTGACTCAAAAGGATGACACGGTAGCTGAATATGAGGAAAAAGGTGCCGCAAAGCAACCGGATTCAACAATGGATAAAGGGATGCGAGCTCTTGGCGGTATGAACCGGATTCAACAGGTTGAAGTCATACAAGGATACAATGAAATGAAAAGTAAATTGTCTGATTACCTACGAACCTTTGCACAGGATGGACGAGTAGTTACTGAGGAAGATATAAGAAACTTTTTTAAAAATATGAACGAAACTAAAAAACCAAGGCTTGGTATTTCTCACTCATGCAAGTAATACATGAAAACTAAATGAAAAGAATCATGTTTCAAGATTGCTCTAGTCTTCACATCTGAAATGAAATACTTCGTAAAAAAGTTTCTTTGATGCGTATTGTTTTGATATGATGTTTCATGAAAAATGTTTCCCAGAAGCGTTCATTTTCATTCTTTCTCTGTGTTTGAATGTTCATTCAGGACAGTATACTTCACAGAAAATTGATGAATCGTTTTCTAGATGGTTTTGATGAGTTTTTTACATATACCAGTAAGTTTGGTGCTACCTTTACAGAATACGTTTTCTTTTATTAATATCAATTATTTTCATATTGTAACTTGACCAGAGGCTTTGATCAAAGCTAATATGAACAGAGTATCCTAGACAATAATAATCTCGATTGAGATGATTATCTGTACATGGAAAAATTTGCATGTTGTTGTTTAATGACAGGCTGTCGTGTGATCACAGAATTCTGAACGAAAACTAGTTTGGGGAGTACATGTTAGCCATAACCGCTGATGTGAAGTTAAGGGCAGTCTGACGTCTGAATATACCGAAAGCAAGGATCATAATCCGAGGAGAAATAGGGCACTGACCTATTTATTGAATTCGCGTACTAATAAAAAAAGGGGTTAAATAACATTAAATTCCATAGTTAGGTTCGCCACAATATATACACATGTCTGTTTTCGAATGTTTCAGGAGTCGATCCCCAAACTACCCGTTGTGTATCTGTCATAAAAATTAATTCCGCTGCATAGCGCCCTACCGAAGGGACCACTCCAATGTCGATTGAGATGAGGTGTCAATATTCAACCCCATTTCTAGTTGTACAAAGCCCTTTTTAACCTATGTGAAACATCATAAATTGAAGAGCCGCAAAGAAAGCATATGTACACAAAAAGTAGTCCTGACTCGGCCTGGAATACATGCCTATGAGAGATTGATATACGTAGATCGCAACTAACATAGAACTCAAAGTCCCGTATCTCACAAAACTCAGTCAATTTATTCCATCTAACAAGACTCAAATTTTTATGAATAAATATTTACACAATGAAAATTTTTCATAACTTTTATCACTCCGTTAACAAATTACAAAAAATGAAGAACGTTCATGATGTCACAGAACGTGGTAGCAGAAATCATCATTCAGTTATTAATTTGTCAGTTATCGTCAAAGAATAATTCGTCATCTGCACAAGAAAAAAAATTATTCGTTAACATGTATGAAATATATATATATATAATTTGCGCTGCGTTAGACTACTTGTTTGATTAACGTGGTGGCGTACTGGGAAGAAAACGTTTTGCCGTATTTTGTCAACACACGATGGGGATAAACGTTATCACACCACAATGCATCAGTTTGCATAATCACTAAAATACTACGCACGATAATTCACATTATCTGTAGAAAAAGTGTTTGAATACACAAGTTATTATTTTCTGTGTAGAATACATGGGAAATGGTACGGTATCTAAAAATGCTATACATGGTGCGGTATATAGCGTTTTTGCTCTAATGCTATTTAACTTTTACGTTGTCTCATGCTCGTATTTTCAACAAACTTCTGAGCAATTTCCACTAACTAACAAACCTGTAATTCCAATTCTATCAAATTTTCCAACGTCCCGTTTCTTCTTTCCTGGCCACGGTGGGGTGTTGCCTAGCCTAAAAATGAGAAATTAAATAATATTTAGATGGAGAATCAATGAATTTTCGTTTGACTATACTTTCATTGATATGCTTATCATGAGGGCTATTTCACCCCAAACAAACTTTCTATATAACAGAAATATATTACATTCAATTTGAAATGTTTAGATATATATATATATATATATATACTTTGAATAAATAATACATATATATATATTTATTTAATTCTTGATTGATGAAGATAATTTGGATGAAAAAAGTGTAATAGCATCAAAATACAATCGCATGACATCTGAATACTAAAATACTCGATGTTATATGTATTTATATTAGTTAATTAAATTGATCACATATAATATATCACATTCCTTTTATCGTAATGCATTCAATTCAATCTGTGATGATCAAAATCAAATACGTGTTAAAATACAATTTTCAGAATTTTACAGTAGCGCTAACAAGTATATATGCGATGCAATTTCATTTGGACATAGGTTAAGGAATACTCATACCTTGATTGTGAAGGTCCTTCCGTGGGCAGTTGAGTATGAACAAGGTTGGATGACATCAGAAGCATAAAGGACAATAAGACAAAACACCGAATCTCATGCTTCATTTTTTTCGCGTTGGATAGTCGTAAACAAGAAGAGAGTCTCGGATTATGAGTGTCTTGTCTGCTTTGAGTAATTTATATCTTTTTACATATTCCCTGAGGGGAGAACCACCTTCAGCAACTGCTTCTACGTTTACTATACTTGAGGATCAAAAAGTAAATTACTGCATAACAATTATCCTGTTGAGAACAAGTAATTGAATTGATATCTTTTACTGAAGTAGGATGCTAAGATGTTTTCGTTAATCAGATAACCATAAGGCGCTGCTCGCGAGATGTGACTGACGTTTGATACAGCGGTGTTGCAGTTTCGACACTATTGCAATACCCATCTGTGAACCGAATGAGAATTATGATTTCATAAAATGTTTCCTTAGGTATAACAATGAGTAATATAAACAACATTCTCCCATACTGATGGGGGATAAAAAATGTTCCGACACAACTTTATAAGTTGATTTTATTACAGTTTTAATAAGAAACATCAATATTTCGACTATTAAAAAATGGGTTAAAATTGCCGAAATGGGAAAAGGTATTTTAGTATACTGAAGTGATGAAGAGAATCGAAAATTAGCACCTTAATAGCAAAACAAATTTTGTGATTGTAAATTTAAGTATTGTTTGGTTGTTTACTGCTACAATACAGTATACGTCTTCATGTACCTTAATAATAATCGTAATAAATTAATATTGGAAATATCGACCATTTTCCCTTTTGCATTATAGTTAGGTATAGTAAATCGGTTAGGATCCACGTCTATTTTTAGTTTCAATATGGGTTAGTCTTTTACAAAATGAATTCTCTCATAACCTGTGTCGATAAATCTCAAATCAAATTGTGCTTGATTATAAGATCATCATGAGAGCTAAGACATAATTGCTAGATTAGGATTTGATATTGAACTCATAAGTCTATGAATGTTTCTGAGTATAATGATTTTCCGTCAATATATCAGTTAACATTTAATTTTGTAGGTTGGACAAAGAGTCTAGAATCAAATTACGGCGAGAAGATAATGAAAGAATCCTCGGGTAATCGTTGCTACGGACATTTTAAATAATCATTTTTATTTGTTACTCGAGGTTAAATTGATTAATCTCAACTCAATCAGGATAATTTGCGACTAATTATACATAAGTAATATATTTTCAATATGGTGGTTTCCGCCACTTAAGATATTCAAAATGTTTTTTTCGTTTTAGTAGGATGAATAAGATCATTACCACAATAAACGCTTACTTGATTCAATTTCCCCTTATTTGTTTAATTGCGAAATTCCACATTTACCTTGCCATTAGACAGGGGCATTTAATGCATGGATAGCAAATACAAATAATTCAATGGGAATGAAATCTAGTAGATAAACGGCAGTAATACCGAATTGATATTGAATCTTAGTTGAAGACTTATTTTCCCTTCTCTGTGCTCAACTCACTTTTACAAACTGACCCATTCTAACTGTAATTATGGTCTTCCTAAACATACGAATCACATACTGTGATTGATTGATTTTTCAAATTTTCCATATTTTTTGCGAAGCAAAGGATTTTTTTCCTATCAGCACTTCTGCGTCTTAAATGGAATAAAAATATAAAATGAAATATATTCATTAACTTGGTAAATATAAAATACTGAATCGAATGAAATGAAAGCAATCGAATAGGAACGTGAAAATGGTATAGGTATAACTGAAAACGAATAACTGTATTTTAACTGTAACTTTAAATTCGAAATGGCGCAATCAGTTGTTTAGTAGTATTGTTACTTGGTGAAGATGTACTCGGCGATAATCATTTTCTGATTGATTATATGTTCTACAAAAGTGGTAAATTATTTTGTCTAGTGTAAAGCAAAACATTAACCATGTTTGACCCAAATTAAATTGTATTGCATTGACACTTAGTATCAATAGCCAATTGAAGGATAATATTCGAATTTGGTCAGAACCATTTGCAAATATAAATTATCGAATTCCAATATTCTCTTTCAAAGCGATACGGCATTAAAATTTTGATTCTCATTGGCAAGGTAGAAACGGGTTGCTTTCATTGGCTAAATTAAAGATCAGAACAAGTATTTGTGTCAATTGGCAATTTAATACATTGTTGGAATTATTATTGATTACTTTTCCACGAGCAATCAAAGCCTTTATATCTCAAGAGACTGATTGATTTCAAATCAGAAAGTTCGATGAGAAATTTGATGCATTTTTTTTACTTTTGCTGTACTAGTCTTGAGATTTCTGTTATTATCGTAACTGTATAAATAAATGGTCGACCATGCCATACATAAAGTGCAGATGACAATCAAGCTTCAGAGACGCATCCAACTCCAGCCAATACATTCCTGAAAAATTACGCTTTCAGCTACTTGCGAAGAGTCTTGACCCAAGCATTACCACCGCATAAAAATTAATCAAGTCTAGTTTAACATTCTGACGCGTCGTAAACTAAGATGAAGAATATCGCAATTTTGCTTTCTGTGGTTATGTTAGTTCTTAGCCAGGACATTCCGCCCGTAGAAGGTCGGATAATAATGATCAGTTCACCGATACGGTAAGTCTATTAGATTTCTGTTATTTTGTAAAGCTGGTTGGATTGAAGGGTTCGATGTTCTTCATCTCTTTATGCCTCGCCTACTTCTAACCATTTGATATAACAATAAATTATTTATTGTATAATCATATGCTGGGTGATATATACTGATTAATAAGATTCAAATAGAAAATTTCATGATCGATGAATCGAAAACACAAATTTTCATATTTTAACCACTTTTACACCAGCTTCATCGTGTATTAAGTGATTCAGTTATTCAAGTTTGAAGTAGTTTCCATATCAGCATTTTGTTTTCCATTTCTCAGATATAGCACAACCCCACCATTCTACGCATGGAAACGGAAAAAGCGCAATGTGGAAAATGATGAAAATTTACAGACAAGAGGTGACGACTATTTATTTATTATTTGATTGATGTTAGACTTGAAAAAGAAGTCCGAATTAATATCTTTTGTTTTTAAATAAAATTACCTTGAGCCAAGAGATGCTAAGTTTTATTGCATTAAAACCACTTACGGTGTCAAGTCGAATCAACAAACTAGTTTCAATTTTGCCCGAATCTGCATCCAATTTCAGCTTCAATACGGTGTGTGAAGACTCATACGATAACTACCTATTTTATTAAGGCATCACAATATGGAACAATTGAAATTACAGTTAATGGCTGGAAAGGGTATGAGTTTTGAACCAAGAAATTATTGAAGTTCTATAATTTAGGAATGTTTAAAACCTGAAGAGAGTTATCAGTTCTCAAAAGTTGTGGGAATCTCGATTTCCGTTAATATTATCACGTACCATTAAACATTTCTACTTTTTTTGTTACAGAAAGAGAGTCCATCAGACACGGAAATGATTAAGTAAGAATGATTAATCTGATTCACAATGTCAAAGCGGAATTTTCAATAATTTATATATATATATATTGCAAAAATAAATCGTACTATTATTTGGTCGATTGGATAACATGAAGTTTCAGCATTAGCATTTTGTGAACAAGTGATATATTCGTGATAAATATGTTTATCGAAGTCTTCAGACACTTTTAAATTTTAGTAGTACAATAGTACAAAATACTTCACGCGGTTAGCAATTTCACACGCAGTTTCACGCATTTCAGTTGGAAAACGCCCAGTCATAGTTTTCACTGAACTAAGATTTTTCGGAAGCAGCGGAATTGCTGCGGCAATTTGGGTTTGTTTTGATATAAAAATTAGTTTATATAAGAGCTTTGCTTCATAAATTAAGGTTAGAGATATGAGCAAGGCTATGAACGAATTCAGTTAAAAAGCTTCAAAAGAGTGGATGTGAGGATGGAAAAATCTGGATGATGGGGGCTTAGGTGACAACTAAATTTGTCAAAAATGAGCCAAGCGAAACGGATAAATAGGTTTCGATATATATCTCTATCTGTAATATTCTTCCGGATATTCCTTTCCCTAAGGGTGAGGGATTTGTCGTTTATGTTAAAAAAACTACATATGAAGAGGTATACACCAAAAAGAAGCAAGTAGATACTTTACATTGTCGCTGGCTTCTATTTCAAAAAAAGACTTCCTAATCGTTTCATTAAATGGACGGGAAAAGGTTGGAAATAATATTACACGAAATGCTTCACGCAGCTGGGTTTTTGATGCGGGAAGGGGGAAGCGAACAGGGGCTGAAATTTCAAAAAGCAGCTTACCGCATGGTAAAACAAAATAAAGATCCCCAGAACAACCTCCTTCCAGAGATGCTAAATTTGAGCATAAACTTCAAAGATATTCGTAAAAAAAGAATTGAAATATGTTATGACTGTAAGTGATTAGAGAAAGGTATTAATAAATGACATTTTAAATCTTTTTCTTTTTTGTTGTGTGATGTTGTACAATTTAAAGAAAAATATCAATTTCCACTGATGTTGTTTTTATTTCGCATAACATCGGAGTAAAGAAAAATATAATTGCATTCAATTAAGGATAAAGGAAAGAATATATCACCCTGTGAAATATTTGCACATATTCCCGAGTACAACCATAACAACAGAAATCTTTTTCGTGACAAGAAATAATATATAAACAAGCAAATTATCTATGAAATGAATACACAAATAATACACCACACTTGAAATAAACCAACACATTAAATATGGATAACAAAGCTATTAAATAAACGATATGTCAAATTGATTAGCCTAAATCAGAGATAATATAATCAACCCAACGCAGTTACCTTCCTTTTGCAATGATAAAAGATTTGTGTGTAATAAAACATAGGCAGAAAGAAGGCTTAAAAATGATTTATCTTTGCATTAATATTTATCTAATACCATTTTTTTGTCCATTGTATACTGGTATTATACTCTTCAATATTTTATCAACTGCGCAGTTCTTGCTTATGTTGAATTCGGCCTAACTCGCATGAATGATGCTAATGTTCGTGTGGCGTTGCGTGTAGATTAGAATTGATTAATATGTTCAAGGCATCACCGTTTGTTTCCAGTCAGTAAATGACAAGGTTACAACAACAAGGTCGATGAATTGTCCTGTGGAGTAGAGAATTGGTCCAACCCAATCTTGTTTTACAAATCCGCTAATAAAATTTATTAAAGCTCCGGAAATGACAAACGTAAGCGTTGAAGCAAACGCCTGCTGTAAGACATGGAGCACATCATTCGTGTCTTTCGTATTATTATCCATCCACTCTGATTCTTTTCGATGCTTATAATAGAGAGGGTGGGCCAAAAGAAATAGTAGTATGGATTGAAGGAGAATAATTGTGATAAAAAGTGCAATCCATACCATGCTCATAACTTCATCACTATCTACAAGCTCACACTCATAGTTTACAATCTCATAAATGAGATCAATCATAGAAAATACAATACCGATACCAACATGCCATATAACAATTAACGATAGCGCAGCAGCACTTAGGGTTCGGGTGAAAACATTTGTCAAATCCCGCAGTACTGGGCTATTGTATAACATTCTTTGTCTGAGCCAGAATAGAATATATATAGCAAGGCTTCCAACATTTGCTAGTGACTCTTTGCATATTTCTCCGATGTAGCAATATCCAGGGATACCTTTATAAGTCAACACTTTAAAACATACGCTGGTAACACTTTGAAGAAACATGAATAACGTCATAAAAATTTTAACCACTCTCATTATCTTAGCCAACATTACAGCTTTGGGGTCTACATTTCGTGAAGTAAAGTTTATCTCCTTAAAACTGCGAACAGGTACAATGCACTTGTTGCAACACCAAGTGTCAAAAATAGAGAGACGGTCCAATACATCGCTTCATCTTGTGTTGGTGATAATGAAGTTTTAGTTACATTGTAATCCGAACTAGTTGCATTTTTATAGAATTGCTCCATCTTAAGAAAAACGGCAATTTGTAATACAATTTATAATTTGAAAGCTTTATTAGGTAGTCTTTTTATTAAAAAATGACACGTTAGAAACTCTTACTAAATCTCGCCTTCAATATAATTGCCTAACAGTTCTGAGTTTAGAAAACGTTTAGTAGCCCCCCCCCATTTACTTCGCACAAGCCGCGGGCCGCAGGTTGCACACACCTGATTTAACCAAAACCCAGCAATCACATCATTCACCAAATCAAACTTACAATGCAACGCTAATTTTGCCATAAATCCGTTTTCAAAGCTTCATCTTACTACTTGCTTACTTAAGTTATATACAATTATCAAACCTAGAACCTATCATCGAATTCGATTTACGTAGGCCTACTATCAAATCAGCAAATTAGCAGCAAAATTGGTGAAAGAGAGAGTACATGCCCAACAGAGGTCTTTATCCACCATTCATGTCACACAGATAAGTCAGAATTCTATAGAGCAGGGGTGTGAAACCTGCGGGCTAAATGTGGCCCACATTATTTATGCCCGTGGCGTTACATTGTCCTAACAGCTAGCTTGAGCGAAGCGAAAACCCATGTCATAAGATAAATACACAAATTTTTGTGCCTGTAACTGCCAGAGAGTCTACGTTAAATAAAGGTGCGGCCCGCGGCTTCACCTAGATATTTGTATTTGGACCTCCTGTACCAAAGATCGCACATCTCTGATATAGAGTCCTCAATGTTCGAACTGGACCGCAACAATAGACGTGTGCCCAATTTTTACCGAAGCTACAAGAGCGCCAAAACAAATAAAGTTTATAAACAAGAATCAGACTAAAAAGACTAAAAATACATCTTTGTAAGATTTTCAGTGCACAAGTAAAATGTCACACAAGTAGCTTTGTGGTCGCAACACTTCGAAATATTTCAGTATGAAGTAAAGAATCAAAAGTTTGTTGCGCACATCTTTATATTTCTAACAGATATGGTGAATGATCCATTCCTGTTGTCTCAGCCTCAATAAAGAGTAATTCGATAAAACACTTTGATTTTCTCAAATATTTACTGAGAAGAAGTGTGAGAATCTGCAGTCTGAGAATCTTACAAACTTTTTTGTATATAATAAATTCTGAACCTTTATGGTGGGTAGTAAAATCATTTTTCACTCAACCACATTTATCAACTATCACTATACCAGTCGGCAGTGTAAGAACAAAACTCAATGCACGAAATATATTCTGAAATAATTTATTGTCTGCGTTTTTTGAAGGGTTTGTGTTGAAAATTTGATGATGCTGACGATTCTCTTCTATATTCTTAATTAGGGAAAAACATTGTAATCTAAAATTAATAAGCCATATATTATTGGTTATCTTCTGTCGGCTGAAACTTTTTAGGCTCCTTGAATATGTAAAGCGAAAATCAGATTCACAACGGGGGAATATAAAGTATTTTAAGTAATTTCCAGGGGCGGCGCGTCAATAGGGCCAACCGGGGCAATGCCCCGGTTGTTTTTTCGGTATAATAAAAAATATTCGAAAAATACCTCAATATCGGTTGCACAGACTGTCTACACTAGCCATATTCTCCCGACATGGTTCATTTTTCGCTCGCAAAGCCCTCGCCGAACGTCGACGGGGCGACGTCGATTTTGCCCCGGTTGCTCATTGTATATCGTATTCTCTCTTTTATCTTCCACTCGCCGCGTTTGTCTTGTTTGTTTTCTGTTTCTTTTACTAAATCATCGGGGCCGATCGGGGCTAGCCCCGAAATTATGACGACACAATGCCGACGTTTCTTACAACAACGTGTTGACATATTCACGCATTCCTTCTCGTTCGTTGGTTGCTTGAAGAGTTGATAGTTTCCTCGCCTTCGTTTTTGTCGCTTGTTTCGCTATTTGAATCAGTTAGAGACCTTTAGTCCATTTGCTTTCGATTTTCCACATTCCTTTTGAGCTCCTCACTTCTTTCCGGCTTCGCATTTCTTAGCCCTAGACCTCATAATGAATAAGGTTGATGCACTACTTCGCACTCCGTTTTCGCAGCTGCCGCTGGAACAAAAATTAGAGGTACAACGTCTTGGGCCTTATCAACCAAAAAATTGTTCACTGGAACAATCCCATGACGGAGGAAAGCGTCGGCGTACTTTCTGCGCAGAAACTTGGTATAAAAAACACGAATGGTTGTGTTACAGCGAGAACAAAAATGCACTTTTTTGTTTTTATTGCCTACTTTTTGCTACTGCCCGTGACTCACGTTGGTGTAAATTTGGTTTTAGAGATCTTAAACATCTTTCCGAGCGTGCCAGGGATCATCAATCTTCTATGGAGCATCTGGACAATGCAGTAAAATACCGAACATTCGGAAATGTTTCTATGTTTCAAAGGTTTCTATTCGTCGGCACAACCAAAACGTCGAGAAAAACCGCCATGTTCTCGGTCGATTGATAGATGTTTTGAGGTTCATTGGTTGTCACGAGCTGTCCCTCCGTGGGTACGATGAACGGGCTGGCTCTTCTAATAGAGGGGTATTTTTGGATGTGGTTGAATACACCGCATCCCTAGATACAGTATTGAGAGATCATCTTGATGCCGCAACTGTTTCGAAAGGGACATCTAAGGATATCCAAAATGATTTGCTCGACTCAATGTATAAAATTTATTTACAACATTTGGCTCTTGAAATTGAGAATTGCCAGTTCCTTTCGATTCAGTCTGACGAGACAACTGACTTCACGTGCGTTTCCCAACTGGCTGTGATATTTCGGTTTGTGAAAGATGGTAAACCTACCGAGAGATTTCACAGCTTTGTACCAATCGTTGATCGCACGGCTTGCGGGATATCGGCTGTACTGAAAGAAGTGTTACAGCCTTACAACGCGAAGTCAAAATTGATAGCTCGAACTTATGACGACGCGGCAGTCATGAGTGGGTCGAAACATGGTGTTCAAGTTTATATAAAAGAAGATTTTCCTCATGCGCATTTTTTACATTGTTATGCACACCAATTTAACCTCGTTATTAAAAATATGTGTCTTGATACCCCTCTCGTCCGTATATTTTTTGCAAATGTTTCGGGGTTTTCTTCATTTTTTTCCGTTTCGCCGAAGCGCTCTGACCTCCTTCGTCAGATATGTAGCCGCCGTCTCCCAGCTTGTGCACCAACACGTTGGAACTTCCAATCACGCGTGGTGCAGGGCGTGTCCAAAATTAGGTCTGAGCTCATTGAGTGTTTCAATGGCATTCAGAGCTCTCCGGTTTGGGACGAACGCTCTGTGAGGGAGGCGGCAGGTCTAAAGCCTCTGCTAGAAGATGGTGAGTTTTCATTTTTTCTCGCTTTTTTCTACACAATATTCTATCACGTGGATGTATTATACGGCGCATTGCAGTCAAGGCTAATGGATAGAGCCTCTGTGCAGTCGTGTATTTCAGACTTCTGCGATGCTGTATCTCGTATCCGAGAAACAATAAAATATGACGACACATGGAGTGCTTCTTTACGCCGCGGGCAAACAGCGCAGCGTTTGATTTTGTCTGCAAAGGAATGCTGTGACATTCTGGTGAATCAAGTAGGCGATCGTCTGCGCACTGAACACCTTGCCGCGTTCTCTTTGATGAACCCAAAAATTTTTTCAAAATTTGCATGTCAATTTCACATCCATTTGTTGGCTACTGTCTCCAAATTTTACCCCATGATAAACGTGGGTAAATTGGAAACTGAATTGCGATGTATATACACCAATCAAACTTTTTTGAACATCACATCAACTTGCGCGCTCAATGGGTTCCTCATAGATAACACTCTAGTAACTACCTTTGCGGCGTCTGCAAAATTTCTGGACATTTTGACGACGCCTATTTCTTCCGCCGACGCAGAGCGAACATTCAGCACGCTGAAGCGTATTAAAACGTATCTCAGAAACACAATGAAGCAAGATAGATTAAATTCCTTGGCTGTTTTATCCATTCACAGAGACGTTATTTCTGGGATGCATGACTTTCATCAGCGCGTTATTGAGCATTTTGCTTCCAAGAAACCGCGGCGTGTTGCATATATGTTCAAGCAGTAGAAGTCTAGCAGCATATATATCTATGTGTGAGCGACACATGTCCTTATCTTTGCATTAACTTTCCTTTCTTCATAGTAACGTTTTAAACCTTATTTTAGGTTTTGTCTGCTTTCCCGAAGTTTCTGTTAATATGTCATCGTATATATCTGGGTAAATATTGCCTTTCCTTTTGAAAGAGGTTTCAAAATAAACTATGCCTATATTTATTAATCCCTTGACTTGGACCGGTTTTAAAGACACTTTCTTATCGTTAAAAATTGTCGCTTTTGCCGATTGGTTGTTACCGATGGAATGGTTTTTATACTCATAAAATGATGGGAGAACTTACAGCGCTCATCCTGTCCCCGTAGATGGGGGTGACTCGGTCCCGCAGTAGCTTGCCCCGGTTGTCAAAATGACCACGCGCCGCCACTGAATTTAACTGAACGTGATCAATGTTTACTGGTTATTTTGAGAATATTCATTTTATTAAAATGCTTTCATTTGGGTGTTTACACATTTGTAATGTCATTTGAGATATCTATGCCACAAGAAATCTAATAATTAGAATTATATAATGACCGGCAGAGTGATGAAAAATTAGATGTCATAAAGCACACTTGCTCATTTCATATTAGCGTTTCTGAAATAATCACTGTCTTAAATTTAATTCAAAGATTCATTTTATACTATATTTGTTCCAGAAGCAGAACTTGTGCGATACCTCAGATGAACATATTTTCGTCTTTGTTTGTTTTACCTTTTATATCAGATACAAGTAAATGAAAGATATAATTCTAGAGCAGTAGCTTCCAACCTCAGATCTACCACTATAGCCACCGAGGTTTGGTTTCAAGTTTTCGAATTCAAATCTTAAATTAACAATGTCTCTTCTATAATATTTTGTTCAAAAAAGTAGTCGGAAATTTATTTTTAGATGAATGTATTTGCACAAAAATAAACAAATTATGGTGATGTCATTGTACATAAGTTTCATAATCAAGAGGTTGTTTCCTTAAACGACGCAACGTCTCGTTCTGAAAAATATAAAATAGTAAACTACTGAAATGATTTCGTCTGCTAAAATTAAAATACCCACGTGATAAAATAATATACGCTTGCAATGCACATAGGCTTATAGTAATCAAAGCTGTAGGTTTGCATGGAATTTGATAAAACCAGGATCTGCGAAACATATTCCAAAAAGGAAAAAAATATTATGTGATCAATTTTTCATATAGTGAGTATGAGTATTAAAAATGAGTAATGATAAAAAAAACAATATTGTGTAATTAATTTTATTTCGTCGATAAACAGGAGCGAGGAAAGATGATATAACTTTGACGTCTGGGACTTAACAGTGGGGTATTTTATATTATGAGATCTGTCATATTGTGCCTTTCTTGAAAATGAGTAAAGTACTTTTTACGCTTTTTATATAAACATTTACCTTACTTTATTATTTTGAGATAGAAAGTGAAATACGTTAAGCTAGAAAAATTACAATACCGAACTATATTTCAGAAGAATAATGCTAAATTCAGACAAACATAAAATTATCATGAACGCACATATGTCCGTCAATGTCCGATATTTCTAAAAAAAGTTGTTTCTTCAATAAAATACCAAATATTTTCAACTATATTATTATGTTACCTTGTTGTTCTGACTGATCAACAATTGATCTTTTTCGCTTTCCTTTCTACCCCGGAGTAGCCATTCTGAACGCGAACGATCATAAATAATTTGAAAGTGGCTTTGATTTTCGGTATACCACGCTTATTTATGCCTCTTGCTCCGAACAAAACACCATGCAATCAACCACTCATATCTCACTTTTATTTGGAAGAGCCCGAATGTTTGAGGTTCTGCATTGCCTGCCCAATTTTTACACTTTGGGTGGGATGGGGTCATGGAATTTGAATCCGAGATGTGTGATCTACGACGCCCACAGAGCAAAGTATAAAGCTTTAACCGCAAGGCCATCGCGCTGCACAAGATTTAATACGTAATCTTGACGACTTGAAGAAGTACTCATTATGTAATCATTACCAATATGTTATTTAAAATTCAATTTGGAAAATTATATTAAATACCGTCATTATCCAAATCACTCATTCATAATTGCATCATGAAAGCATTAGGCCTTTAGAAGTTAATGGATACGAAATTTATAAATTGAAACTGCACTACTTCAAAAATCATTTGGAAGTTTGAGCCTATTTATGCTACGATCGCAGTATTTGTGATATGAGGTTTGTTCTGTTGTAGGATTGTTTCTTTCTTTTTAATGGGAGACGTGATGAATAATTCAGATTAGATTACCACTGTTAAATTAGTATATTTCGTAGGGTCGGTACCACTGTTAAAAAGACTGGGACCCCATTCCGTTTCCATCAAGATAAACTGTAATTTCATAGTTTTAAATCCTTTTCCGAATAGCAGATATATAGTTTACTTAGCTGTCCTACGAGAATGCAATTGTTTATAAATTTATGAGCGAATAATGAGCGATCTTTTCCTAAAAAATTGCGTGTTTAAAATCATTTATAATACAATTTCAAATTCTATTTTTGCTAAACAGCGTTTTAGGAGTAAAGTTACCATTGAAGCATACATGGCTGCGAGGATATGGATTTTCGTTTTGGCGATGTGCGTTGCAGTATTGTTAGGACCTCAAAAAGGCAAGGCAGAAGATTCATTTCCTGGACCAGAATCAAGGTAATTTACTAAAAAAATATTTTAAAATCTCCAAATGTTGATTCCTGTTTCTTAGTTTTCGAGAAAATCCGAATCCCAATGCAATTTGAACGCTAGTTTTTTTTTCTCAATCGGATTCATTATCCGTTGTTTCAATTGTTGATGATTTAATTAAGAATACCAGGCGGAGAAGTGCCATGGAGTGGAAAAAAGAAAAGATCTGTTAAAGATGATTTGAATGATATAGGTGAGACTTTTATTAATGTTTATGTTGTATTTTTGCTGATACTGAAAAGAGATGCAGGAGTAGCCCAACTGCATGTGAAGCAGATACTCGCGCATACTTTTGACAGACTTTGTATATCAATTTTACTTTGAATAAGTAAGTCACTTTTTTCCAAACATGTGTTTTCTGTTTCAGAAATGGATATTATTCTGTTTGGTGATATTGATTAACACGCCTAGAAGGAATCAGTAACTTCACTTTAGTCGGGCGACTATACATAAACGAATTGCAAGATATCTACAACAAAACGAATCAACGACGTTATGGCACTTTTTATTTTGATTTTAATTTTACGTAGTTGTTTAAGTTGTTTGTTTGGAACATAAAATAAATTTTTATCACGTTACGTTTGTGCTTGATAGCATCACAATATAGCAGTAAGAATGCGAAGGCAATAAGATAGAAATGAACAAAAACATTTCAACAAATAAGGGATATTGTTGACAAGGTCCTATCAACTATTAGTAAAGTTAACGTACCAGATGCATAATTTTACCGCCTTATCAGTATGTTGAATATCGTTATCATTGCAACAATCGCAAACAATTCTGGGATATTGCGCACCGTTCTTCGAGGGGTTACGAATGCAAATAGGGACTCCACTACAACGTCGTTGAATAAATTGGAATTCCATATTGAAATTCTAATTTTTCAACCGTGTTATCAATTTTAATAGTCTAAGTTAGTATAAGTCAATATTTATTTTTTATGGTTTGCCTTGATGTGTGAATAAAATTTGTCTCGTGGTTGCCCTCTGGCTAACATAAGAAAACACAGCCTGTTTATCAGATGATTACGAGAGGACGTAGACGGTGCAAATTATCTGCCTGGTGCTGCTTTTACAGGGGAATGAATATATTTCAGGAATTTCAACTTTCTTCCTGAGAGAGGAAACTCGATAACACAACTGTATGGCTCAGCAAATTACAGACTCGCTATGGCAAGGTCTTGCTACTTATCCCATGGACATAGGAATGATTGAGTAGGAAAGAATAATATTAATCTTATCACATAATCCTTTCCCCCGCATTTCCAACTTACAAGTGACAAAGAGGGTTCATTTGCTAAGAATATCACGAGCTGATTGATTTGTAATATTAGCTATTCATGTGAGACGCATAGCCTACCGCTGCACTTAAGTCTGGTGATTGGAATCAATAATGGCAAATTGGAATCGATAGGCACAATTAGCTGAGAGAAAATTATAGGGATGCTCTCCACTCTTGGTCATGGGCGATTAAATATTAAACTGTTCTGCCGATTGCTGTAAAATTTTTATGAACTAACTCAATCGTTTCAAAATCGTTGTCTCCAAGAAGATATTGCCTTTAGCCAGTGATAAGATTCGAAATTTGAAAAATAGGTTTTTGTTCATATCGAACTCAATAACTACAAGTTTCCTCATTTTTCGTAATGGGCTTGTTTAACAAACATGTCCATTATTGTTTGGATTTCGAGAAGGATTCGTGGACCCTCGTGTTGGGCTCTGTAGCATTCTTCAGGCTTTACTTTTGAGTGTTGTACCGTCGGCTGATTCAATTGGATGTTTTCTATTGACAGTTCCAGTCTTTTATCCTGTAGTCAATGCAATTACAAACTTCACGTATATCTTGGCACACAACCACTTTTCATTTATTCTGGAGACCTTTTATCACGCTAAAAACCAATACATCACCCCCCCCCCCCCCCCCCCCCCCCCCGTAACCCAGATGCTATTGGGCTATTGGAACCGTATATCCATCGCTACTCATAACTGTCGTCAGTGGCGATAAACCCCGAACTCATTTCCAAGTGCCTTATTTTAGGCTTTCAGCTGTTGCTTTAAACGATTCTGCTAGAAATCTGTTCAAATACATATATATGTCCACTTTTTGTTTCAAATATCTTGCGAATCAAATTGAACAACGGTATAATATATGCAATGAAAGTTCACTAAAATAACAATATCCAAATTAAAATTAAAAATTTTTGAACAAATTTTTAGGTAATGTATATCAAAATCCTTATACTAGCAAAAAATCTTATTTAAAAATTCAATAAACAGTATGCAATTTTAATTTTCGCATCGAAAGGAAAAACGAAATGTGTCTCAAACATCTTTTGAATACGTCCACTGATTTACTCGAGAACCTCCGCCTCTATAAAAAGAGCGATATCTGTAAGAAAAAAAGTGATACATTCAATTAATAGTGAAGTGGAAAGAATAAGATTTTAAAATTTGTCAACATGGCAGTGCAAAATATATTCGATAAACCTAAAATAATTAGCTTACCGGCTCCAATTAATCAAATTTTGTTTATAAAAAAGTAGATTTAATTTAAAATTTGTCCCTCTTTTTCTATTAATTCAATAGAATATCCAATACCATTTTAATAAATTGATATTGGAACTTTTCAGGAAGCCTGTGCACCACTGTAAATACTTAATTCCAAATTCTCAATAGTTTCCTCAATGTTTAGCATTATTGCGCAATAGAAGACTTGGGACACATACTATTTTTTTTTAACAAAGTGGTTTATATAAAGCTTATGTGGAATTCTCCATTGCCAATAAAGCAAAAGTACAATTAGATCTTCATTTGTAAAATGACCCAGCAGGAATGTATAAAAGTAATTTTGCACGCGCCTGAATTTTCATCATTGTCTACTGTGGATCTCCTTTTCTTTTTTCCAAGCCACGCCGGGGCTACTGGGTGTCTAAAATGCAAATTTTTTTTTTTATATGAACATATTGTTGCAATATATTACATAGTTTGATTTCATTTCATCAAAAAAAAATACCAGAAATTACAAAGTTTGTCATTATGAATCATCTATTTGCTGACATCTATTGAAACCAGAAAAAGTTGCGACAAACTATGAAAACTTGAACTATAAAACTTATTTAAAATGTGGATAGAATGCAATGTAAATTGGTTGATACTTCCCGAAAAAATCGAAAAATCACCACCTTGAATAAACTATGCCATGAACAGCCGACTCTCCATCCTTGTCATTGCAATTGGTGATGTGGATGAACATAAAGCAATAAAGTACACAGATGAAAAAAAATTCTACTTTCATACTCTTGTTCTCACTTTCAAAACTAATGTTAACACAAAATAATGATTAGTATTCAAAATACAAAATATAATTTTGACCACTGCACGAACTTTCTATTTTAAATTGGCCTTTAGAAACTCAAACGTTTACATTTATATTTTGAAGGACTTTGACGGGACGTTCTGCTAGAAATTAAAAATACTTATGAAAAAGCAAATTCAATGAATTATTAACAAAAGTTGTAACTCGTTTTTTAGAACAAGGTATGAAAATGGAGGACAAAACGAATCCTCTTTTATCGCCAACATAACCGTGGATGAACATAAATTGGCAGGATCAACTCATTGCAAGCTATAGCGACAGCAAATGCGTTTCAACTTGAATTACTCTGACCGGGCATTTTAAATTCCACAAAACGTAACATGGTAAGAAGAATACCGGTCGCAAACATCTGATTCCTGGCGATAATGTAGCATTCACATATAATATATTACGAATTACTGTAATTATAAACCGTTCACGTTGTTTTCACAAGTTTTATCAGATCCAAAATACCGTTGATAAATACGACATGTGAGATATAATTCAGCCACCGTGAATACTGGATGAATGCTTGAGCCAACTTTAATCATCACACGGCTTCTCAGGGGGGTCGTTCTGTTTTCATACCATTTCTTATCGCCAGAGATTATTTTATTATGCTAGTAATTCATTGCAAAAATTTTGAACAAAAATAAGTAAAATCTCCCATCACTGATTTGATATTGCTGATTTCATTGCGCTATTAGATTAGCGGTTTGTTCCTATCCATTACCTGTAGTTGATCTCGCTCGACCAACTAGTTAACTGTTAAACATCGAATTAGATAATTTCAAGTTCTGTGGCAAAGACACTGTCACTGATTCTCTGTCGAATAATTAAATTTACACACGTCCTAGCGGTGACATAAAACTTTTTTATCTATAGTATTCCGTATAAGAAATGGAATGAGTAACTTTTGCTCAGAATACTCCGAGAAAAATAAAAGTAATCGCATTTAAATTTTTGTAGAAGTTTATAATATAGGTATATCTTGTATTGATATGTGAGAGTAAGTAGGCTACAACATAGTCAATGACAAATATCAGCAAAGTGAACCAACGCAAATTTGAATAAGATGAACTTGCTTAAGTAGGTAATAGGAATGAAATTTTTTGATAATCATTCCTACAAACAATTAAATGCTGCTCATTATTTAATAGATAGAGTTTAAATTGATGCTAATTGAGTCTCTTACACTTTAAAATTTCCATTTCACTTTGTTTTAGTGGGATGATCAAGCCCATCGATTCAATTAATTCTTTTTTCTATATTGATTTAATTGCAAAATTCCACATTTACCTTGCCATGAGAATCATGTAATGACTGGAAAATAGGTACAAACAATTAATTTCACTCAGACCTAACAGTTGAACTGCAATATTACCAAATGATATTGAAACTTAATTGAAGGTTAATTTCTCTTCTTCTGTTTAAATTATTATTAAGAACTGGCCTATTCTAACAAAAAAAATGCTACCTAATTAGACAGAGAGTAACTGATTTTTGGACATTCTGAAAAATGCTTTAAAAAAAATGCTTGCCAATTCTAGAACATTTTGTCTCTCATTAATTAAATTAATAGTATATAGGTAATTTTCTACTAAAGATAAAAGCTGAATAAAACACAATAAAGTAGTGAAGTAGGTAAATCGTACAAGAGTATTGTCGGGTCTCAAAACGGAGTAATGTGTATTGGAATTTGAAATGGCACAATCTGTTAAATAGCAATAATGGCATTTGGAGAGATGAAATTATTTACTTGAACAAAAAAAGATTTGAGATGAGACTGCAAAAATTATTTTTAGGAAGTGCTAATCGTACATGTTCTACAAGAGTATTCGAAAAATATTCGAATTTATTTTTCGTCCAATGTATAGCAAAACTTGTTTGACTCGAATTAAAAACTGTGAGTAATGGCAATTGGGATCAATATCAATTTGAAGGATAATATTCGCATTTCGCATTAATATCATCAATTGAATTTAAATATTATGATTTTGAATCCTCGAGGTAGAAAATGTACTACTTTAAACACTAGAACAAGTGTTTGTGCTCATGGACAGATTTATACTTGAAAAATTATGGTTAATTACGACTGCACGAGTCAACAAGGCATTTATATCTCAAGAGACTTACTTAAATGGTTTCATATCGGAAAGTTCGATCGAAAATTTGATATTTTTTGCTATGCTAGTCTTGAAATTTCTGCAATTACCCTGAATATTTAAATAAATGATCGTCAATGCCGTATATAAATCGCTTCAGAAACGCATCCAAATCCAGTCAACACATTCCTTCTCTTGTACGAAGACAAAAAACCTCATAAAAATAATTTGCCTGTCGACATAAATTGAACTTCTTATGTATATTACAGTATAAATTTTTCTGAGCATCTTCAAGATTGGAAAACTAAGATGAAGAATATCGCAATTTTTCTTGCTGTAGTCATGTTAGTTCTTAGCCAGGACATTTCTCCAGTTGAATGTCGGACATTGAAGATCAGTTCACCAATACGGTAAGTCAATTAGATTTCTGTTATTTTTAGCTGGTTGAATTAAAGACGTTCTCCATTTCTTTGGGTCTCGGCTACTTTAAACAGTTGATATAGTTTCACAAATTATTCATTGCAAAAGGAATCCTGGGTGATAATTAATGAGATTCAAATAGAAATTTTCTTCATCGAGAAATCGAAAACCCATAAAGTTTGCCATAGTTTAAGCACCATTATACCAACCTCATCGTGTATTAAGTGATTCAGTTGAAAGTCGTTTATTTTACATTTTGCAGGTTAAGCACACAGCCACCATTCTACGCATGGGAACGGAAAAAGCGCAGTGGGGAAACTGATGTAAATTTGCAGATAAAAGGTGATGACATTTTAATTGATATTGTTAGACTTGGAAGTTTAAGTTTTATTTTAAAAAAATTCTCTAAGGCACTATTATGTAAATTATTTGAAAGTACAAGTTATGGCTGAAAGAGTTCTCAGTTCTGATCAAGAAAATATTATGATCGTATCTCCAACGTTCAAAATCTGAAGCTCAGCGTACTATGTCGTGGAAATCTCCATTCTCGTTAATATTATCTTGTAAGTTTAAACACATTCACCTTTTGTTACAGAAAGAGAGAACACGGTCATTGGACAAGCAAAAGGTTAAGAAGTATCACTGAACAATCGGATTCACAATGTTATGGCGGGTTTCGGAATTAAACATAAATTGCATAAACAAATCGTACTATTGTTTGGTCTATTGAGTGGAGGGATGAAAATCTAGTTTTGGTATTTGTAAATTCATTTTGTGACTATGTGATATAACCGCTTATCACTGTCGCTTTTTAATTTTTGATTTTATATTTCGTTAATGCTTCACACAGCTTGCCATTTTCATTTTCGCTTCATGGAAACAGGGTAAGTGGAAAGAATTAAACAACTTCGGAATATATTGGTAAAAACTTCCCGCATAGAGATTTGACAATCCAGGACCTCTAACAATAAAATCCTTTCTGGGAAAGACGAAAGCAGAAAGTTCAGACAAATATAGCTTGTTATTATAGATATTGCAGTACCTCGGACCATGATTCGTGGAATGGTAGAGGTTTAAGCAAGCGTCCTCAAAATTTAATGAGTAAAAATGTTAAAAATCTTACTGTGAGATCACGAAAAAAAAAGCTATTGGAATGCTGCTTCAATCTAATTAAAAAGGTATTGCCGTCAACAAAAATGATAGTGGTGACAGCTGTGGGTGTTTTTTTTGCATTGGATAAGACATTTGATTCATATGAGCTATGCGCTTACTGTTTGATATTTAAAGGTAAATATCAGTGTCATTAACAATGCAAATTAAAATGAGATGTCGATGATTTTATTTCATATTTCCTTGTTAGTAAATTTGGCAAAAAATTTTTTGTTTGTTGGTACAAAGACTGTCATCAGCGTATGCTTCTTCATGTACTTTTGCAATAAATGGATAGTGGAAGTATCGCTATTTTCATTCATTCAAACGATTCCCGCCAGGGTTGAATTTCGGTTCTGTTCGTATATACCAGTGGTTCTTAAACTTTTTCGAGCGCGACCCAAATCTGAGTTTTATGAATACTCGCGACCCAATCCTAAATAACGCAAAATGTGTTTTTAATGTTAGTACAGTTTGACTCAAATACAGACAACTATTTATTAGAAACAGTCCATTGACTCAGTGAGATTGATGAAACTGAAATTTCCTTTTCATTATATCTTCAATACACAGCTCTATTTTACTTAACGCAATACGCAAGTTGTCACGGGTATCGAGGCGATTGCGAGCTTAGTTTTGATAACCGTCAGTGCCAAATATCCTCGCTCGCACAAGTCGCGAATTGTAGCAGAAAAGGCGTCCGCTATCCGTCGCAAACACGACATCCTAGCTGGCCTTCGGTATCTCTCGCAATATACAACTTTTCACTCATCAAATGTGCACACACTGCTTCGTTCACGGTAAATGGTGCCTCGAGATGAAGTCACATTTTCTCTAGATATTGAATAATCTAATGTCGAGAAGCGAGCTTTTTCATTGCGTCGTCTATTACAATTTACATTACAAAAAAGACACCCATTTTTGGTTATTTTAATCCACTAAGACGACATTCCACGCGGTCAACACAACGACAAGCGACGTGCATGGTTACCGATACCATAAAAATAATACACGTGACTGGCATATCAGAATTGTGATGTAACAACGAGCTCAAGACAGTTCTTACCGTGAATGAAATTTTATATTACATTATTTTTAAATACCAGAGTTTAGAAGCTAAATTGAAACATTAGGAAAACTGAAAATTCGTCCTTCTCCTCTTAGATTGCCCTTGCATTGACGACCTTGTCGCGACCCATTTTTATACCTTCCGCGACCCATGTTTGGGTCGCGACCCATACTTTAAGAACCACTGGTATATACAATGGTTTTACGGCTTAAAATCAGAAAAGCACTCTTAGAACTCGAAGAACGACTACGTGGTATTAATAGGGTACATCTCAAATCTCCTGATGCCCCTTTTCTCGCATTTTGTATGAGCTTATATTAATTAATTGCTGGAATCGGATTTGATGAGACCTAGGGCATAGTTTCTCAAAGTGCACCGCGAGAGAATCTCAGGGGTTCCGCGAGCTATTGGATTACTTTTCAAAATACTGACTAATATTGTAACTGTTAAAAGAAGCAATAACAGCTTTGATAAAATCTGACAACAATATAACCTCGAAATATGGCAAAGAGGCGGAATTGAAAAATGACATTATTTATAAGCAGGAGCACAGCCAGGATTCTTAAGAGGGAGGTGGTTTCAAAATTGGAATCGGAAATTTCCGCGCAATATTCTTCGCGAAAAAAACGAATAACGAGATTTCTGTTGCGTAAAATATTTAATCCATGACCGATGCGAGCATTTAACGTGTCTCGTCGTCATGATGTAATTGTGCTCATCGTTACTCACGTTTAATTCGAGATTACTATTAGGATTACTAAAATGAAAGAATACTATTCTAAAATAGCATAAAATATGTGACAAACTGTCATCTATAAATAAATTGGAGTTGTATTTTTGCGATCTTGGGATTTGTCAAACTTCTTGTTTTTTTATTTCGCACTTGAGATTATTTTTAAACAAGATATCGCCTTCAAAAAATCACAATGTCTGGGAAAAATATGAACAAGAGAAAAGATTCGACCCCTAATTTATTAATATGTTTATCAAGTGTCAAGTTTACAGCTTTGGTATATATAATTTATGTTAAGGCTAAAGGCAGAATACACTACAATTTATGTTTAAAATTTTGATTTATGTATGACTTCAATTAACCCTAATAAAAAAAAGGTTCAGCATTTAATTTAAGTAAAGTACTTTTAACTTGCTCAGGAATATTAATCTGAAAGTAACAAGTTTAACATTTATTTTGGGGCGCCGTGAATTAATAGTCAACCTTTTCAAGGGCTCCGCAACATCAAAAGCAACCCCCTGACCTAGGGTATAGATATCGGCTTTATAGAACTCTTAAAGATTTGTGTAATTTTTTTTTTATGACTACCTCAAGAACATTATCATTTAAGACCTGACTTGCGCATAACGTCGATATAGAATCAAATTACGGTAAGTAGATAATGAGAGATATTACTGAAAATCATGGCTACAATTCATTATGAAAATTATTTTTATCAAATAAAAGCTGTGGGAAGAACTTCAACCCCGGATCAATATCAAATTGGAAGATAATATTTATATATAATTAAAACCATTTGAAAATGTTAATTATTGATTTTCAATCGTCCTCTTCAAAAATAAACGTAATTTATCATTTGCTTTTTATTGACAAGGCACAACATAATTTTTTTCACTTACTACTTTAAACCCTGAAACAAGTATTTGTGCTAATGAGCATATTCATAATATAGAAAATTGTTGCTTATTTACAAAGTAGCATTAAATGGCTCCATTTATATGTTTTTACCAGCAATTAATACATTTGTATCTCAAGAGATTGATTGATTTCATATTATAAAGTTCGATGAAAAATATGACATCTTCCTAATAGGATAGCTGTAATTGCATAAATAAAAGGTCGACATTGCTGTAAATTAGTTGCAGATGAAAGTTCAGCTGGTAAACGCAGCTTTCAGCTTAACTCATTTCAACAGGAACGATTTTCGATCGGTTTGAAGACAGTCTTGTTTGAAGCAAACTCCTTTATAAAAATAAATCAACAAAAGTCAGCGTTATCTTTTCTTCATGTGTAAATTACAATTTATTTTTTTTCTGAACGATCCTACGCGCTTGATATAAAGATGAAGACCGTCGCAATTTTTCTTGTTGTAGTTGTGCTGGTTAGCCTGGAAATTTCCCCAATTGACTGTCAGAGATTGATGATCAGTTCACCGGTACAGGGGAGGTAAGTTTTTTGGATTTCTGTTATTGGAGACGAATTGTACATATGGATTGTTTTGGTATTATGTTGTTGTTGTTCTAGTTAGTATTTCTTTTCTTGTTGCTGTTAACTATTGGACCAATTGCTTTGAAATTTTCGACTGGTAAAAATTGTATCGTTCGCTAGAAGGCTCATTACTTTCATCTGTTTCATAAATTTCTGTAGGCTCGTTGTGATTCGTTTTTTTATGTTTGGTGAAATCATCAAAATTAAATATTGAGCACTTGTGGCAGTTCTTTGTTCGTGTTAGTAGTCAGGCGAAGTCATTAATACTGTGGGATAGGTAGTCTACTGCGAAAGATTGCACATTCATACTACTCTGGTTTCGCCCTCGTGTACCTACATTTGAGCATTGCTCTCTTACTTTCTATTGAAGATCGGGTTGAAGTTTTGAATGTTTGCACTCTATCCTCTCAGGCTCTGTATTTAAACATTCGATATAATTTCACAAATTCTGAATTGTTTATTCAGGGTGATAAATGATGATATTCAAAAGTTTTCTTCGCCGATCGTTCGACGATGGAAATTTATCATATTTTAATTTACCATTATATATACATTACACATTATACGAATTTATAAATTCATTCACACAATTATATTAATTTATATAACTTTGTCAACAAAGTACTCTACACCAGTGTTTCCAACTAGGGTTCCGAGTAACCCAAGGGTTACGCTAGTACTGTCCAGAGATTCCACAAGTTTAAATCCAAATCCTAGAGTCTGTATGGTGTATGTATATTGTTTGTCTATAATCAATACGCGACTAGGAGATAATCATATATTAAATGTGTTTCACCATTGTTCGGTGAAAGATCGCCAGACGTTCCGCGTCGAATCGTTGTTTCACATTTTATGATTATAAATAAAAGCATATTTAGATATAATCAATTTCACGGGAAATTTTTCGAGTTTTTGGAATATTTGTTGGTGTAGAAAACACTGCTCTACATAAACTTTACGTTTTCTATATTTCAGATATACCACACATGCACCATCTGTATGGAAACGGAAAAAGCGGAATGTCGAAAATGATGAAAATTCGCAGACTGAAGGTGAAATATAGCAAAATTGTTGATTAATGTTACACTTGAAAGTGAATTTATCTTTAAAAACAAATTCAAATCTAGTCAAAGCCGTGGCTTCAACATTTCAAAACCTGAAGCTCAGTTTAATTTGTGGGAAGCTTCATTCTCGTCAATGTTATCATGTAAGTTTAAACATCTCCACCTTTTATTACAGAAAGAGAGAAGGATTTATTTTGACACGGGTATAATGAAGTATGAAAGATCCATCGGATTCACAATGCCATGGCGGGATTTTAAATAAATGAATATAGATGGAAAAATAAAGCGTAATATTGTTTGGTTTATGCAATTGGGTATTCTGAAAAATATTGAGTTTTTGTACTAGTGAGGAAATTTATGACCATGTGATATAATTGATATGATTAATTATCACCGTTGTCAGGTGATTTTGAACTTGATTTCCCACAAGTAGTAAGAAATGCTTCGGCAAGTTTGGAATTTTTTTTGCGGCCTTTGCTTACATTTCACTTCGAACATTGCTCAGTCACTGCATGAAATGTATCGCGCTAGTGTTTTCTGCAAGAACCGGAACCATTTTGATTAGACATTTTCCACCAAGTTAATTACACCTGATGAGCTCAAATCCGAAAAATTCAATCTGCAATGCCAATGAAGTAGAATTCATAGGGCTCTCTTAGCACCAGTTCACCACGCCTATCGCTTCACCAATAATATAAATGGGTACTAAGAGTGGAAATGATACTTTAGCTGTAATCTTGTGATGGAGATGCCAGTTGCCATCATTTTGAACAAGATTTGAAACACTATAGATGACAGGGGAACAGATAATTGAAAGAGAATTACACCAAACAGAAGAAATTGGTACAAACTTTTTGCGTAAATATTTTATAAGCCAGGAATCAAATAAACCTTCTTAAAAGACGATTACAGACATTTCAGACAAATATAGTCCGTCATAATATCTATTGCTACACTTCGAGCTATAAGTTGTTGAATCTCTGAGCTTAAATGAAATGCAATTTTTGACAAATACAATTTTGACCAAAAAGATAGAAAAGGCAATGAGAATTGAACAAAAACATTATTTTTTTTTTCACATCATTAGTTTTTAAACGTTTGAAGCTTCAATCCGACATCTTGAACTCATATATTAAGAATGTACATTAGTAAACGTAGTGTAGTAAACGTTATACTTGTCAAAACTACTCATTCGTCTGCGCTTAAATTGTTGCCGTACTTGTTTTAAAATTAGTCAATGGGAGAGTATCATGGAGGAGAAGTCGTTGATGGATAGAATGATATAGTTGAGATTTACTGCCTTAGCGGTTGATCATATGCTTTTTTTAGTTTCATTAAAGAAAAAATAGAATAAAGAATTGTTAATCTCAGCTTCCAATTTTAAAACTTAGTTATTGATAAATTTTTCACCCGAAATGTGCTTTTTTTTAGACATGAAGTCCATTATTTTTAGATGTGATTTTAAAAGTACAATAACCTTAATATTACTGTAGTTTTTTATGGCTGTACGTGATTTGAACAACAACGAATTAAGCAAGAGGTCGAGGTTTGGTACAACAAAATTTATTAGGTACAGATAAACTGTTCAGCTCAATGTTCTGTTTTGCAATAACTACATCCAACTTTACAACGCTGCACCTTCGAGATTTTGCGGTAACAAGATTATTAAATGATGTGCCATTGCCAGAAATATATGACTTTTATAGCATTTTCTAAAATTCTCGAATTAAAAAAATAAATTTCTAATATAGTTTATTCGTCATCACAACATAAGCACAAACATGAATACTGGAAAAGAGGAAAAAAGAACAAAATGTATGAAATATATTGTAAAAAGTCACAAATCTATTTATACAATTCCAAGTTGTAAAATTAATTAACATTTTACATAAAAAACTGAGATCGTCTTTTATTTCGAAAAGCGCACTTTTGTGACAAAGAGAAGAAAATGTTGAATGACTCTGATTATTGAACATCTTCGAAAAGCTCAAAATCTGAAAAATAGGAAAATAATTTCAATTACTGGTATTATAAAAAGAAAAACACTAAGCTGATTATCACTAGAACTAGAGTTTAAGCACAATGCGTGACATTTTAGCTATTATATTTTTAGATTATGCGACACTACAGGCGAAGTGTGATAAAATACATACGCCGCCAGACTCTTACAAAGAATATGATTTGCATATAAAATAGAGAATAGAATTGAATTGCATTGATTAAAACGTGTGGTCCAAAACCAATGTATACCACAATATTGAACGTGCCTGTATTTTCATCAATTTCAACTATTGATCTTCTTTTCTTTTTCCCCACCCACCCCGGATCTGACGCCGACGGTTGTCTGAAGTGAAAAACATAACATGTTGGTAACAAATTTATTATTTTCGTTTAAATTAGAGTGTAAAAGTGAGAAATGTGCAATAATTTATTTTCTCATTTTTTTGAATTTGAAGCAGTTTTACTTAACAGTTTCAATATTACAACTATTATATATTATACAAAATATTCATTTACCTAACTTAATTGATGAAATAATTTATGTAAAAATTAAAAAATCACCTTGACTCCGATTTACCGCTGCCAGGCTGACCCATAAAAATCATGTCCGCGCAAATAATGACTTGTACGAAAATGGAGCAATAAATGGCACACATGAGAACAAGTTTCAAATTCATATTTTTATATTTGACTGTTTAGGTATTATGTTGATACAAATTTATATTATAGCTAGTAAGAAAAATATATCATATATAACAAATAAACTAGAATTATGGGGAAAAAAATAAACATATTCTTGTTTATTTTCATATGTTTAGTATTGTCATGCTTTTCGGTATTCACCAATAAAACATCACAAGTTGGTTATTCACCGTATACCACCGTTTGTCGTTTTGATGAGATCTATATTGAACACTTTTAACCGCTACACGTAACCACCAAAAATATTTTATTGACAATGATCTTTTGATAAATGTAAGTACACGGTTGTCAAGTGCAGCTGTGAAAGTTTGATGAGTCGTTAGTTATCAAACGGCTTCTCTAGAGTTTCCTAAAGTTACGAAATATCTTTTTTGATTTTTAATTTAGTAATAATTTGGTGCTGCTTTTAAACTATATCGACTTGCTAAAAATATTTTGGTGACTTCTATACTGGTAGTGCTTACTTATTTTAACACGTTTCGCAAAAACAATACAACCTCTGGCATCTTCACTGCACCAATTGAGCATGTAGCTCAACAATCCCTAGCTCTTACATCAATCATAAATCTGTATTACATGAGCTATTGCGGCCTTGTCTGTACGGCCAAACTTTGATGAAGCAAATGATACGAAGATTTTATAAAAAGGAAAGTGATCCCATATATATAGCTACTGCGCGCAAAATACATCATTTCAAACGAGCTTAAATTTAAGTCGCCACATAATTTTCAATAATTATGTGCTCAAATGTATATCTATTATTGAGCCACAAAAGTAGATAGAACATAATCATACACAAGGCAATCATCGACAAATCAAATTACTTGTAATCATCCATGTAGAAGAGTTTATTAATCGAATGAAGAGTTTACAAATATGATCGGATGCATTTCATAAATTAGTTATCGATCATTATTATCGTCAATATATGTAATTTTTGAAGGTATACTGAAATAATTAGGCCATTAGAGAATTTTTGCCATTATGCAACCCATCCTCGTCGATTTAAGTCCTATTTGTTTTCAAACTCAAGTGGGTTTCAATTTAATTATAATTTCTAAAAAGCAAATGAGATTTAATATTTATTACAGAGTACTTTACAGTTTGTTTAATAAGTATAGTTTTAAAAGGTTTATTCTTTGAGTGTCGCCTTATAATGAAAGTATTTTGAACATTATCAATCACACTCCATTTATTATAAAAGAATATTTGGCAATATGAGCAGCGTGTAACATTCAATCTTACATTCTATGATTTTACACTTTGTGTGTATGAGAGCATTTTTATTTTGAAAATACTCGTTATTGTGCGTTCAATAGTCCAGATAATTTAAAATAAGTTTGTTTTTAACAGTCTCTAATATTCAGTTGTTTCCCACATACAATCTGAGCTACAATGTTCACCAATAAATGCAAAATGATGACATTAATGTTCGGGGCGATGCTTCTGCTGAACTTGTCATTCATTTCGGAGAAGTCATCAATGGTGGTTGCTCAATCATCAACAACAGTGAACCCAACGGGTCAAAGAAGGTAAGAAACTTTTTTTCTAAAATCTAAACAAGTAATCGTAGACGATGTTGATGTACCGAGATGATGTAACCGAACGTCGTTGTTTCAAACGGAATATTTATCATGTATACAGGATCAACAAAACAACATGAAAGTCCTATTCCCAGTTCCCACTATATTTGTATTGAAAACAAGAATATAGATAAGCAATAAACCGCGATAAGCTTGTGATGTGTTTTAACAACCTCCGTCAACCACGTTTTGGTCAGATACATAGAACGCTTCTATTTACTTATATTATCACAGATATTCAACCCCGTGGGGTGGAAAGAAACGATCAGTAGAAACGGATGAATTTTTCGGTAAGTTTTACAAAAACATTCAAACCTTTTCCGCGGTTTTGTAGCAAATTAATATACTGAAGTCCATATTTGACACACATAATGAAATAAATATAATTGTATTGGCTAAAATCAGACAGAAAATCAAACGTATTTATTTGATCAACACACTAAAACTAATGGCAATGATTGTGCTCCAAAGTAGAATTACAATTTCAATCATTTTTTGAGGTTATAGATCTGGTCTCTACCTGATATTCCTAATTGTATTGAATTAAAATCAATCAAACATCAGCGTAAAAGTGTATTGAGTTATAAAGTTGACTAAATTATTTTTATTCCTTTTTATCTTAGATGGCATCCAACTACTTGACGAAAACCACTTAGATTGAATTAATGGATTTTCGATGATGTTACCGATATCGCCCATGCACAATATCTTTACTTTATTTACAGTATCTGTACTTTATTATGGTGCTATTATGATTCCATCCAATTCAAAGTATTTTGATGTAATTGAAAGACTTGTCCATCCTGACACTTTTGAAACCCGTTGTTTTGCATTAATCTAATTGTGTTGTGTTTGTATCAATATGTACAATTCTCTAACTCGTGTTTAAATTACATAGAATAATCACTAGAAATGCTAACAACCCGACTGTAATTTCTTCGTTATCTTGACGAATAAAACTTTTGAGAGGCAGTATAGATTACCAGCTGACATTGTAGCTTTTAAACATAATTCGAAGGAACGAATAATATATAATTAAGCCTGCAAATTAGCAGAATTGTTAAATTTAGCAGTTTTATTCGTGTGAACTGTATTCACTAAGGTTGTAGCAAAATGCAATATAATTAAAATGTAAGGTCTACGGAATTGAAAAATATCACCGTTGGACAATCCATCCCCAACAATAGCTGCATTTTGTTCCGGATATAGCAAAGAATTAAGTGTTGTATCAACTTTTCACGTAGGCTTTCAGCTGTAATGGTGGCAGAATGTTTTGATATAAATCGGAAAAGCGCCGCACTGGAAGATTCAAATCGACCAGCGGTGATTATTTGGTGAAAAAAAAATAAGAGAATATTATTCAATTGGGCACTGCAATGCGACGCCAACATTTTTCTAGTTTATTTGTTTATCATAATGTCAGTTCGCAAGAGTTTTAAACATTTCATGTTACCAATTATTTCAAAGGTTCAGTGGATTATTGTATAATATATGAATCAAACAGAATTAAATGACAGACACAAAAATACTGTATTGCTTTCAAACTCATGCTACCGATGAGTTTCTACGGGACTAACTACTCATCGTTCTTCTAAGCTTTTGTGTCGATGGATTCGTATGCATATCACAACCTGACATTAATAATTTATCGAATACAATTTGGTGATGGGAAAGAATTAGACATAGATAAACAAGGTTTCTGTCACATCAAATGTATCGCTCTCCAGATTTAGAGATACAACAACACAAACCGTTTCAGCGGGTTGTTGTTGAGTTTTTCATGTTTGTGAGCAAGTTTAATTATTGAAACTTCCCTCTCTCACTTCCATTGTATAATGTATTTTTGTGCTCTGTCATTTTCTGTGGTTTTAAAGTTGGAATTTATTACTCTACCATCTAAAATGAAGTATATTGTATCAAATGGACTTATATATATATAGATATTGTGATTAAACTTATCTATCTATCTATATATTGATAGTTTGCATATGTACATACCTGTTATAAGCAAGAGCAAGAAGCAATGTAACCACATCTTGGCCCTAATGCATCTGCGGTAGTTCTTAACTCCTCGGTCAAATTTAAAATTGAAAGAAATTGACCCAGAACAGTGGTTTTGAACGACCTTGGTGCGATGGAACCCCAATGAAACATCCCCGACAATCTAGGAACCCTGCGCAGTTTTATTTGTCTTATGCAAAAAAAAAAATTAAATACTGTATGTCTGTATATATAAAACCAAAGTCACCACTGGCTCAGAAATAACTTTGAAATTAGATATCATACTGTGATAGTTACCCTTCATTTCATGACGAACTCCTTACATCTCAGCTACCTTTCCAAGTTTTACCAGCTTGGTTTTAGCTGGTTGTTTCATAAATAATCCAGGCGATCACGTTCGTTTACGATCTAAATCATTATCATTTCCTATCTATTTTCGCCTTCATATTGGAAGAGTAAATCTATATTCACCAGCTTGTCAAACATTGCTTATTACATTTCTATCACTTCCCCTTGTACTTTTATTTGCGTACGTTCGACTTTGCTTTGAGCTTTGTACACAAAGTTATTTTGAAGTATTATCTTCCTCCTAAACCAATTTTTAGAAAGCGTAAGCAACAATGATATAACAAACAAACAAAATTAATTTATTGACAAGACACAATGTTATATGTTACACAATCATAGTTCAGTTGTATCGGGATCTTGCCGTTTTGTCCACATCAATCTTCATCAAATAAAAAGTTCTCAACTGAAAAAAAATGATCGATTTTATTTGTTAAAAAAATGCTTTAGCTTGCTACTACGGCAATGCCCGGAGTTGCTGAATTCTACGCGTAACGCTGTAGACGCAGGCAATTGAAGTAGAGAATATATATATATCGTTAAATCGTACATAATTTATCATTCCCAAAAATATCTAAAATTTCTCATTTGTTAGCTCACCTTCAGCAGCAAAATCTTCTGCAATTGATCTTTTCTTGCTGCCACCCCATGGTGGACTCGGAGTACCTATTCTGTAGAATGTATTTGTCACACATATAAAATTTTCCAAAAAGGAATAATTCAATATAAATCAGATCAGGTCAATTGAAGCATTTTTTTACAATTTGTTGCGATGAAATACGCATTGTCCCTTTTAACTCGAAAAAAATTTGAATTGGCCAAGTGTAATCCCCAATGATATTTTAGTCAGCACTCTGAATTTGCACACTCAACATCTACTCTTCGCGATATCGAGCGAATTCTAAACCGAAAAGTTAATTTTATTTGGTGTTGAATGTTTGTAAAAGAGATTTTATTTATATTAGTATAAAATGTACAAACCTTCCTTGGTCAGGCGGAACTGCTTCTACACAATGATCTGAGACGACAAAAAATCCAAACATGAGCACAAAGCATAGACATGTTAACATCTTCATTTTGTGCAGAGTTCTCATTCGCTCAAAAATAATATGATTAGAATCTAATCTGGTTCATAAAACAATTATTTTCAATAAGTACAGAATCAATATTTCCATAATTATTAGCAAATCATTAGATTAGGCGACGGGTTTATGCAGTTGTCGCATAAAATAATAGAATGCAAGCATATTTGATATGCAGATTTGCTTCCAACGCAAACGGAGGTCATCTATTTAAGAGTCTCTTAACCGTAACTGTTGTATTAGTGGGGTGTGGTTAGCTTAGCACTATGGTTAAATTGCATTGGAAACACAAATTAGGAGCCTCTCATATCCACCTGGCTCATATCATCTCGCGTCTGAAATGAGTATTGCAAGTATTTAGGAAAGACTGACTAAATTTATTTAAGTTTCGTACTGCAGTGAACACTCGTTGGTTCGGTTCTTTTTGTCTATTTGCAAACAACTCGGGGCGCTATATGTAAGGGTTGCTGCTACTCACGGAATGCATATTTAGAAAAAAATATTAAAATCGATAACATATATAAGAGGTACCAATTTGTAAGTGGCACTTTAGCAATCTCTCAAGTGTTTTGCAATTTGTCCCAGAACACTTCCAAATCGAAGCCCTGTGCACGAATCGTAGTTAAATCTGGGAATCGAGTTGAATGCCAATTAGAAAATTTAAAAATGTACCACATATCTGTGATAAAATTTCACATTTTGCTCAAATCGCCTGTGAAAAGTGTCCTTGGATTATGATTTGAGAGAAGGACAAGTTTGTTGACAACCTTTTATTTTTTGTTGTTATTGACGTTATTTAGTCATATAACTATGTGATTGGCATTTCTGAATGTGATATATGTATTTGCTGTAGGCCTATAAAACTCCAATATGTGGAATAAAGATCCAGATCGTTACACAAATTGAAAAATAACAATAAACAATTATATAATATGAATCAATAAAATGGAAACTGGCAAAATTAATATTATTGAGGTAATTGAACAGTACAACAAAAATTGATATTTCTAACAATCATCCCGTGCCATAGCAATTTGACAAGACGGCATTGTTTCTGTATAAATTTTTGAAGTTTTAGATTAAATTAGGCAAACTACGAATTTCTTTTCCATAACATGGTTTTCGTTGTTTTTGCATTAAAATTTATAAATATTCACAGATAATCCTAACAATTGTAATTGCAAATTTAAGTCCAATCACAGTGTATGTTTTTGTAGCAATCACGTACTCCATCTCGCCAGGTTATTATTGATATTAAAATGTAGTGGTTGTACTTTTAGTGATGAGTGATATCTTATTCTTCGTGTATATTGTATCGTGAGATACGGTGACGAAAACACTATAAAGATACTATGCCTTTGAGAATCAATAACATTTATATCAAAATATTAACGTAAGGTCAGAAACATTATCGCATATTAATTCATAATTCGAATTTGAACTTGCTTTGGAGATATTCGACCTGATTAAAGTGTATATTCATTTGAGGATATCTGAGTCTATAATTTACCAATTGTCCGAAAAGTTGAAAAAGATAAAATCATTGAACTTAAAATGCTAAACTAGTTTACGGTTCTACAGGCAGTGTAAATTTTATTGATTTTGCTAGGAACACTTGACTCGTTATCTTTTAGTCGTATATGCGTGAGGAATTGAAATATAATTTTAATATTGTTATTATTATATATATCATATGCACTTCGCAATGAATGCATTTTACCAGTATATATATTATTGACCTTTTCCGCTTTACACCGTACACTGTACACACATCAAATTTCCCATGTAATGCAAACAACTATAATTGCAAACAGCATTGCAATAGCATTACTAAACAACTTGTCAGCATTTTGAGGAGTTTCAACTCATACAATCTGCATATACCTTGCCAAAACAAGGCCATGCTGACACGATTTTTTAGGATCTCAATAAAAGTTTTCGGTAAAGTGATGAACATATTTATTACGATTATATCCCATGGGCACAAAATTGCTTCACTAATACTAAAACTCAATGTTTTCCTGCCTACCCAATAGACCTCATGCCTCATGCCTATGCAATATATATATATATATTGCATAAATTAAGCGTAACATTGTTTGGTCTATTGGGTATAGGCATGAGGCATGAGGTCTATTGGGTAGGCAGGAAAACATTGAGTTTTAGTATTAGTGAAGCAATTTTGTGCCCATGGGATATAATCGTAATAAATATGTTCATCACTTTACCGAAAACTTTTATTGAATCCTAAAAAATCGTGTCAGCATGGCCTTGTTTTGGCAAGGTATATGCAGATTGTATGAGTTGAAACTCCTCAAAATGCTGACAAGTTGTTTAGTAATGCTATTGCAATGCTGTTTGCAATTATAGTTGTTTGCATTACATGGGAAATTTGATGTGTGTACAGTGTACGGTGTAAAGCGGAAAAGGTCAATAATATATATATACCGGTAAAATGCATTCATTGCGAAGTGCATATGATATATATAATAATAACAATATTAAAAGAATATTTCAATTCCTCACGCATATACGACTAAAAGATAACGAGACAAGTGTTCCTAGCAAAATCAAATTTGACTCGAATTAAAACGTTGTATCAATATCAAATCAAAGGATAATATTCAAATTTAGTTACAACCATTTGCAAATATAAATTATCGATATTCAATATTCTCCTTCATAGCGGAACGTCATTTGAGTTTTGATTTGATTTGAAAAGGCAAAATGATTGCTCTCATTTACTACTTTAAATATCAGAGTTCAGAACAAGTGTTTGTGCTAATGGACAAATTCATACTTTAAAAAATTAATGATAATCATGATTGCACGAGCAATTAAGGCCTTTATATCTGAAGAGACGGATTGATTTCATATCAAAAAGTTTGATGAAAAAATTGATCTTCCTGATGAATTCGTTTTGAGATTGCTGCAATTACCGCGATTATTTATATAATTGATCGACAATGCCGTGTATAAATCACTCCAGAAACTAATCCAACAACGCATTCCTAAAAAATTGAGCTTTCAGCTTCATTAAACGGGAAGAAATTTGGATACTTGAGAACAATCTTGTTCGGACAAAACAATCTCATAAAAATAAATCAACTGAAGTCCAGTTTAACATTCTGACACGTCGTAAACTAAGATGAAGAATATCGCAATTTTTCTTGCTGTAGCTGTGTTAGTTCTTAGCCAGTACATTTCGTCCGTTGAATGTCGGACATTGATGATCAGTTCACCGATACAAGACCGGTAAGTCTTTTAGATTTCTAATATTTTGTATAGCTGATAGAATATAAGAGTTTATAGGTTCTCCATCTCATTATGTCTCTCCTACTTCTATCTTTTGATATATTTACAAATTCTTCATTGTATAATGGTATACTGGGTAATAATGAGATTTAAATAAAAATCTTCCTCTTCGATGAATCGAAAACACAAATTTACCTAATTACCGTTATACCAACATTATCATGGATTAAGCGATTCAATTAATTGAGTGATTAGTTGAAAGTAGTTTCTATAGCAACCTTTTGTTTTACATTTTCCAGATATAGCACAATACCACCATTCTACGCATATATACTGAAAAAGCGCAATGTGGAAAATGATGTGAATTTGCAGACGAGAGGTGACGACATTTTTGATTGTTGTTAGAAATTCTAAATTAATTTTTTTTTATTAAAATAAAATTTCACTGAGGTAATATAAGTTTTATTTCAGTCAAACAAGCGACGAAACGCGACCAAGTCGGATTAATAGTTTCATTTTTGCCCGAGATGCACCCAATCTTAGTTCCAATACTTTGTGAGAGCCATACACCTATTTCCTTAAGGCATCACGAGGTGAATTATTTGAAAGTGAAAGTTATGACTCGAAAAGGTCTCAGTTTTTAATCGAGAGTATCTTGAGGTTGCAGCTTCAACGTTTGAAACCTCAAGCTCAGTACTAAGTTGTAGGAATCTCCATTGTCGTGAATATTATCTTGTAAGTTAAAACATCTCTACCTTTTTTTTACAGAAAGAGAGAACATGATCATTGGACAAGCAAAAAATGAAGTATGAATGAACAATCGGATTGAAAATGCCATGACGGAATTTTAATTAATATATATAAATTGCATAAATTAAGCGTAACATTGTTTGGTCAATTGGGCAGGCATGAGGCATGAGGTCTATTGGGTAGGCAGAAAAACATTGAGTTTTAGTATTAGTGAAGCAATTTTGTGCCCATGGGATATAATCGTAATAAATATGTTCATCAGTGCCATCAGAAAATTTTCAACTTTATTTCACGCCAATAGTACAGAATGCTTTACACGGTTTGCGATTTTACACGGCATTTTCGGTCTTTTTAGTTCGAAAAACGCCCGGTTATATAGTTTTCCCTGAAATGAGCTACTACTTTCTGGGATGACCGGAATCGTTTCGAATGCACATTGACCACCTAATGTAAAACACCCTGGATAATATGGCGAGGAGAACAATTCATGACCTCTATCCACTAGCTAGGAGTGGGCAACCTTTTGTCGCTCGCGGGCCAAAATTAAGGGTTGCAAGTCTAGGCGGGCCGCACATATTTTTAAAAAGGTAAAAACCGAATGGATGGCCAATGAATCACAATTTTTTCACACAGATCAGAAGATGAAATTTTAGATTTGAAACAGCGTGCGGGGACTGCGACAACTCGTGAACTCAGTCGTCTTACTAAAAGAAAAAAAATTACAAATAAAAATAAATGTGACATTGTTGCATCACGTTTGATAATTTTTCGACATCGGGCGGCACACTGGAGGAATCCAAAATCGAAAACAAAATTCTAAATGGCCATTACTAATCCGAGTTTATTCTTTGTAATGTTCATTTTCGAAAAATTTTGTTGCCACGCATATGTACTTCAACCCTGCTAAAACGCTTAAAAACAGTGAAAAACCGTCAAAAAACACCAATAACCCTGCTAAAACGCCTAAAAACAGTGAAACAGCGTAAAAAAACACCATAACCCTGCTAAAACGCTTAAAAACAGTAATAAACCGTCAAAAAACACCAATAACCCTGCTAAAACGCTTAAAAACAATGAAAAACCGTCAATAAACACCAATAACCCTGCTAAAACGCTTAAAAACAGTGAAAACCCGTCAAAAAACACCAATAACCCTGCTAAAACGCTTAAAAACAGTGAAAACCCGTCAATAAACACCAATAACCCTGCTAAAACGCTTAAAAACAGTGAAAACGCGTCAAAAAACACCAATAACCCTGCTAAAACGCTTAAAAACAGTGAAAAACCGTTTTTCAAAGTTGTGCATTAGTCTGCCTGCCTTGATTTTTTTCAAAGTAACGTAGCGACAACAAAGTAACGTAGCGCCACACGGTTTACAAACATTTATGACATAATGAAATCACCCAAAAAAAGAAAACAAGCGTAAAATTTAATATAGGACACGGCGCATCATAGCCTTTAGACTAGAGGCCCTAAGGCCTAAGCACCTAAGACTTTGGTGCCCTATATATAATAATAATAGGCTAGTGTTCCGTGTTATCTGAAATTGAAAGTAAGTTTCAGTATTCATTACCGATTGAAGGACAAATTGCACTTGGTCCTTGATGATGCGTTTATAAACTAGTCATGTTTTTACAGGCTTATTCTCTAGTTTTACTCGTAGAAATCATTGGATTGACTTGAATTAATATAGAGTTTTTAAATTGGTTTTCCGCGTCTCTCTTCACTCTGAAATGTGATTTTATTTTTATAATTCATTGTCATTTTTATGTCTAGACTAGACTCTAGTGCGTATTCTGCGTATTTATGTGTTTACTTTTTGTGTTGTTTTGATCGATGTCGGATAGCTGAAATATAATGGTTGACTGACATGCAGCTGTAATGGGATATAAACCCCATGCCCACCACTTCTGGAGATCTAGGATATAAACCCCATGCCCACCCCCTCTTGAGATCTAGGATATAAACCCCATGCCGACCCCCTCTTGAGATCTAGGATATAAACCCCATGCCTGTCAAACAAAGTGGTTCCACTAGTTGGCGCCATAGTACTTGTTGTGGTCGCCTGGGGAGTGCCATTAATATTTCCCATGAGTAATGAGGATGGGCCACTAGGGGGTGCAACACTAACTTTTTCTGGAGATGATTTCTCCTCCCCAAGTTTATAATGAACTGTCTTTTTATTTGTCACAGCAGCATATACAGGTTCAATAACTGGGTTTATTACAAATAAAAATAAATGTGACATTGTTGCATCACGTTTGATAATTTTTCGACATCGGGCGGCACACTGGAGGAATCCAAAATCGAAAACAAAATTCTAAATGGCCATTACTAATCCGAGTTTATTCTTTGTAATGTTCATTTTCGAAAAATTTTGTTGCCACGCATATGTACTTTCAATCATCAATTTAAGTTTATTTGCATGGTTGGTCATATTTGGATAGAGATTTCTCTCAAGAAGACACTTTTTATAAATATAAGAGCTGATACATCTCTCGAATTGAATATAGATTTTATTTCCTCATTGCATTGCATCTCAAAAAGCTCTATTTGAATATTTTCTGCGCCATTCAACTCTCTACACTCAACGTCAACTTTTCTGCGTGTTGCCGTTTTTGAACACGTAGTGGACCTATGGATCGTTTTGTTATTATGTTGTTGTTGTTTTTGTTGTTCTTTGTCAAGGAAAAAAAACTTCTCCTTCAAAGCGGAACGTCATTTAAGTTTTGATTTTTATTGAAAAGGCAAAATGATTGCTTTCGTTCACTACTTTAAATATCAGAGTTCAGAACAAGTGTTTGTGCTAATGGACAAATTCAAACTTTAAAAAATTACCATGATTGCACAAGCAATTAAGGCCTTTATATCTGAGGAGACGGATTGGTTTCATATCAAAAAGTCCGATGAAAAAATTGATCTTTTTGATGAATTCGTTTTGAGATTGCTGCAATTACCGCCATTATTTAAATAATTGATCGACAATGCCCTATATAAATCACTCGAGGAACTAATCCAACAACGCATTCCTAAAAAATTGAGCTTTCAGCTTCATTAAACAGGAAGAAATTTGGTTACTTGTGAAAGGTCTTGTTTGGAAAAAACAACCTCATAAAAATAAATCAACTGAAGTCCAGTTTAACATTCTGACGCGTCGTAAACTAAGATGAAAAATATTGCAATTTTTCTTGCTGTGGTCTTGTTAGTTCTTAGCCAGGACATTTCGCCCGTTGAAAGTCGGACATTGATGATCAGTTCACCGATACAAGACCGGTAAGTCTATTAGATTTCTGTTATTTTGTATAGCTGATAGAATATAAATGGTTATATGTTCTCCATCTCTTTATGCCTTGCCTACTCCTATTTTTTGATATATTACCAATTCTTCATTGTATAATGGTTACCATTATACCAACCTCATCATGGATTAAGCGATTCAGTTAATTGAGTGATTAGTTGAAAGTAGTTTCCATAGCGACATATCGTTTTTCATTTTCCAGATATAGCACAATACCACCGTTCTACGCATACAAACTGAAAAAGCGCAATGTGGAAAATGATGTGAATTTGCAGACGAGAGGTGACGACATTTTTGATTGATGTTAGAAATTCTAAATTAATTTTACTTCAAAATAAAATTTCATTGAGGTAATATAAGTTTTATTTTAGTCAAACAATCGACGAAAAGCGACCAAGTTGGATTAATAATTTCATATTTGCCCGAGATGAACCCAATCTTAGTTCCAATACTTTCTAAGAGCCATACACCTATTTCTTTGTGGCAACACGAGGTGAATTAATTGAAAGTAAAAGTTATGACTCAAAAAGGTCTCAGTTTTGAATCGAGAGTATATTGAGCATGCAGCTTCAACGTTTAAGACCTCAAGCTCAGTACTAAGTTGTCGGAAACTCCATTATCGTGAATATTATCTTGTAAGTTAAAACATCTCTACCTTTTTTTACAGAAAGAGAGAACACGATCATTGGACAAGCAAAAAATGAAGTATGAATGATAAATCGGATTCAAAATGTCATGACGGAATTATAAATAATATATATATATATATATATAATATTTCCATAATTATTAGCAAATCATTAGATTAGGCGACCTGTTTATGCAGTTGTCGAATAAAATAATAGAATGCAAGCATATTTGATATGCAGATTTGCTTCCAACGCAAACGGAGGTCATCTATTTAAGAGAAGTCTGCTTAACCGTAACTGTTGTATTAGCTTAACACTATGGTTAAATTGCATTGGAAACACAAATTAGGAGCCTCCCATATCCACCTGGCTCATATCATCTCGCGTCTGAAATGAGTATTGCAAGTATTTAGGAAAGACTGACTAAATTTATTTAAGTTTCGTACTGCAGTGAACACTCGTGGGTTCGGTTCTTTTTGTCTATTCGCAAACAACTCAGGGCGCTATATGTAAGGGTTGCTGCTACTCACGGAATGCATATTTAGAAAAAAATATTAAAATCGATAACATATATAGGAGGTACCAATTTGTAAGTGTCACTTTAGCAATCTCTCAAGTGTTTTGCAATTTGTCCCAGAACACTTCCAAATCGAAGCCCTGTGCACGAATCGTAGTAAAATCTGGGGATCGAATTGAATGGCAATTAGAAAATTTGAAAATATACCACGCATAGGCATAAATAAATCTGTGATGAAATTTCAGATTTTGCTCAAATCGTTGCGCCCGTGAAAAGTGTCCTTGGATCATGATTTGAGAGAAGGACAAGTTTGTTGACAACCTTTTATTTTTTGTTGTTATTCACGTTATTTAGTAATATAACTATGTGATTGGCATTTCTGAATGTGATATGTGTATTTGCTGTAGGCCTATAAAACTCCAATATGTTGAATAAAGATTCAGAGCGTTACACAAATTGAAAAATAACAATAAACGATTATATAATATGAATCAATAAAATGGAAACTGGCAAAATTAATATTATTGAGGTAATTGAACAGTACAACAAAAATTTATATTTTTAACAATCATTCCGTGCCGTAGCAATTTGACAAGACGGCATTGTTTCTGTATAAATTTTTGAAGTTTTAGATTAAATTAGGCAAACTACGAATTTCTTTTCCATAACATGGTTTTCGTTGTTTTTGAATTAAAATTTATAAATATTCACAGATAATCCTAACAATTGTAATTGCAAATTTAAGTCCAATCACAGTGTATGTTTTTGTAGCAATCACGTACTCCATCTCGCCAGGTTATTATTGATATTAAAATGTAGTGGTTGTACTTTTAGTGATGAGTGATATCTTATTCTTCGTGTATATTGTATCGTGAGATACGGTGACGAAAACACTATAAAGATACTATGCCTTTGAGAATCAATAACATTTATATCAAAATAGTAACGTAAGGTCAGAAACATTATCGCATATTAATTCATAATTCGAATTCGAACTTGCTTTGGAGATATTCGACCTGTTTAAAGTGTATATTTATCTGAGGATATCTGAGTCTATAATTTACCAATTGTCCGAAAAGTTGAAGAAGATGAAATCATTGAACTTAAAATGCTAAACTAGTTTACGGTTCTACAGACAGTGTAAATTTTATTGATTTTGCTAGGAACACTTGACTCGTTATCTTTTAGTCGTATATGCGCGAGGAATTGAAATATTCTTTTAATATTGTTATTATTATATATATCATATGCACTTCGCAATGAATGCATTTTACCGGTATATATATTATTGACCTTTTCCGCTTTACACCGTACACTGTACACACATCAAATTTCCCATGTAATGCAAACAACTATAATTGCAAACAGCATTGCAATAGCATTACTAAACAACTTGTCAGCATTTTGAGGAGTTTCAACTCATACAATCTGCATATACCTTGCCAAAACAAGGCCATGCTGACACGATTTTTTAGGATCTCAATAAAAGTTTTCGGTAAAGTGATGAACATATTTATTACGATTATATCCCATGGGCACAAAATTGCTTCACTAATACTAAAACTCAATGTTTTCCTGCCTACCCAATAGACCTCATGCCTCATGCCTATACCCAATAGACCAAACAATGTTACGCTTAATTTATGCAATATATATATATATATTATTTATAATTCCGTCATGACATTTTGAATCCGATTTATCATTCATACTTCATTTATTGCTTGTCCAATGATCGTGTTCTCTCTTTCTGTAAAAAAAGGTAGAGATGTTTTAACTTACAAGATAATATTCACGATAATGGAGTTTCCGACAACTTAGTACTGAGCTTGAGGTCTTAAACGTTGAAGCTGCATGCTCAATATACTCTCGATTCAAAACTGAGACTTTTTTGAGTCATGACTTTTACTTTCAATTAATTCACCTCGTGTTGCCACAAAGAAATAGGTGTATGGCTCTCAGAAAGTATTGGAACTAAGATTGGGTTCATCTCGGGCAAATATGAAATTATTAATCCAACTTGGTCGCTTTTCGTCGATTGTTTGACTAAAATAAAACTTATATTACCTCAATGAAATTTTATTTTGAAGTAAAATTAATTTAGAATTTCTAACATCAATCAAAAATGTCGTCACCTCTCGTCTGCAAATTCACATCATTTTCCACATTGCGCTTTATCAGTTTGTATACGTAGAACGGTGGTATTGTGCTATATCTGGAAAATGAAAAACGATATGTCGCTATGGAAACTACTTTCAACTAATCACTCAATTAACTGAATCGCTTAATCCATGATGATGTTGGTATAATGGTAACCATTATACAATGAAGAATTGGTAATATATCAAAAAATAGGAGTAGGCAAGGCATAAAGAGATGGAGAACATATAACCATTTATATTCTATCAGCTATACAAAAAAACAGAAATCTAATAGACTTACCGGTCTTGTATCGGTGAACTGATCATCGATGTCCGACTTTCAACGGGCGAAATGTCCTGGCTAAGAACTAACAAGACCACAGCAAGAAAAATTGCAATATTTTTCATCTTAGTTTACGACGCGTCAGAATGTTAAACTTGACTTCAGTTGATTTATTTTTATGAGGTTGTTTTTTCCAAACAAGACCTTTCACAAGTAACCAAATTTCTTCCTGTTTAATGAAGCTGAAAGCTCAATTTTTTAGGAATGCGTTGTTGGATTAGTTCCTCGAGTGATTTATATAGGGCATTGTCGATCAATTATTTAAATAATGGCGGTAATTGCAGCAACCTCAAAACGAATTCATCAAAAAGATCAATTTTTTCATCGGACATTTTGATATGAAACCAATCCGTCTCCTCAGATATAAAGGCCTTAATTGCTTGTGCAATCATAGTAATTTTTTAAAGTTTGAATTTGTCCATTAGCACAAACACTTGTTCTGAACTCTGATATTTAAAGTAGTGAACGAAAGCAATCATTTTTCCTTGTCAATGAAAATCAAAACTTAAATGACGTTCCGCTTTGAATAAGATATCGATAATTTATATTTGCAAATGGTTGTCACTGAATTTGAATATTATCCTTTTATTTGATATTGATACAACGTTCTAATTCGAGTCAAATACACTAAGGTTAGTGTTTTGCTCTACACTGGACAAAAAAAGTTCACCACTTGGGTAAAACCTATATCCAGTTAAAAATATTTATTTCGAATAAAAAAACTTTCGTAGTATCAGTTTTAGATTATCAATTTTGTGCATACAAATAATAATATTTGACCAAATGCCATTACTGAATAATTGCACTCATTATTTCGAATTCCATACTACGTTTTCAGTATCGACTTCACTGTTCTACGGTGTTTGTTATTACTTATCGATTTTTGTCTGCCTGTCTGTATGTCTGTGTGTCTGTGTGTCTGTGTGTGTCTGTGTGTCTGTGTGTCTGTATCTCTGTATGTCTGTATGTCTGTCTGTTTGTCTGTTAGATGCACGCGATATCTCACGAAAGCAAGATTGTATCTGATCCAGATTTTGCATGTGCATTCATCTTATCTCGGACAGAAGCCTATTGATTTTGGGCGAATTATGTCGTATAATTAGCGAGTTATTAATTAATTAGTGATGGGACACAAGGTGTCACTATGGAATAAGAGCGCTGTTTTGGGGGGATCCCCTAACTTTCGATCGATAAGTCTTCGGTCTCTGACCGATTTACTCGTTTGTTTACTTTTATTGCATTCGATTCAGTAGTTTTCTGCCTACCAAGTCAATACCTATTTATACTTTTGTTTAATTATTGAGTTCTAGCATTAACAATAAACTCTTTTGCTCCAATGAATAATATTGAAAAATATAGAAATTCAAAATACATTCTATTCTCCGTCTGATTAGTAGGTTTCAGAAGCTCCAAACGACTGTTGGTATAGGCCAATTCATAAAATTGGGCCCAAGAAGCAGAACAAAGAAAGAAAAATTAAAATTCAACCAATATTTAATACCAAAATCATTTCAGCAATATAATATCAGCAGCATTATCAACTGTATTTTAATAACATTATATTATTTGCACTTATTGTCCATGCATTAAATGCTTCTGTCTCCAAAATTTGGAATTTTGCAATCAAACAAATATTGGAAAATTGAATCAAGTAAGCGTTGATTGTGGTAATGATCTCGATCATTCTACTAAAACAAAACAAAAAATGGTTGGAAACCATTTGAAGATGAAAATTTATATTAATTGTGTATAATTTGTCGCAAAAGATCGTGAATAAGTTTCATCAAATTATTCTCGAGTACCCAATAAAATTGATTATTTAAAATGTTTGTGTCGAAGAATATCAGAAATTGTTTTATTACCTCCTCAACCTAATTTGATTCTAGACCATCTGTCCAACCTACAAAGATGAAATTAAATGTTACCTGATATATTGACGGAAACGCATAACAATCAGAAACATTTCTAGACTTATGAGTTCGATTCCAATATAGCAAAACAAGTTCTTTTTAATTCGATATACATATCAAAATTAAATCCAGTTCCGACAATTATTTTTCTTTCTTATGAGCTCTTACACGAAAAAGTTGATTCAAAATGCATCGACAAATTGTTTTACATGCTGTAAGTGGATTTCAAATTGTGAAAGACTAATTCCATATTAAAGCTGAAAATAAACGCGGTTCCTAACAGGAAAAATGTGCTTATTCGGCTTTCGACAAAATCGAACTATAATGCAAAAATGAATATAGCAGATATTTCCAACATCAGTTGAACATGAAGTACATACTGTATTTTAGCAGTAAATAACTATCAATTATATATAAAATAAAATAATAATAAAAAACGTAAACTGGTATATGTAGAATGTAGATTCTCCTTATCACTTCCGTCCCTATCCGTTTTTTCGCATTTTAACATATTTTATTTTAGTTGATACAAACTAGTTCTGGTTATCTTACCATTCCTCTCCAAAAATTATTAACTATAAATATATGTATTACATCAGTTGTTGCTGCGAAAGTTAAATTGCTTTGTACCTATTTTTATTTCAAAATTGAAAAAATTCATGTTTGTGACTCGTGAAGGAGTCTTCTTGTAATATTACCTACTTTTTATACTCAAGGAAACATATTATGAAAGTCATAATCTTAGCTTTCGTTCGCTTCACAGTGTGGATATGGTAGTCATGGCGTCGAAACCGCCTTTTACTGCTGTATCAAAAGTCCGTCACAACTCACGAGTAGCACCATTGCGACCCGATTAACGAAAACATCTTGAGCATACTACTTCAGAAAATGACATCAATTCAATTACTTGTTTTCAACAGGATAATTGTTATGCAATAATTAACTTTTCGATCCTCAAGTAGTAAATGCAGAAGCAGTTGCTAAGGGTGAATCTCCCCTCAGGCAATCAGTAAAAAGATATAAATTACTCCAAGTCAAAACAGAAAAGACACTCATAATCGAAGACTCTCTTCTTGTTTACGACTATACGCAACGCGAAGAAAATGAAACATTTGACGATTCGGTGTTTTGTCTTATTGTCTTTTATGCTTCTGATGTCTTACAACATTGTTCATACTCAACTGACTACGGAAGGACCTATACAATCAAGGTATGAGCATTCCATAATCGTATATCCATGTGCAATTGCTCCGCATACTTGTTTGCGCTACTGTAAAAGTCTTAATATTGTATTTTATCACACATTTGATTTTGAACGTCATAGATTGAATCCTATCCAATACGTAAGTCCAGTCAAACGAAAATTAATTGATTCTCAATCTAAATATTTTTTAATTTCTCATTTTAAGGGTTGGCAATACCCCACCGTGGCCAGGAAAGAAGAAACGGGACGTTGGAAAATTTGATAAAATTACAGGTTTGTTAGTAAAAATTGCTCAGAAGTTTGCAGAAATATAAGCAAGACCCAATATAAAAGTCAAATTACATCAAATCAAAAACGTAATATAACGCACTATTCATAGCCTTTTAGATACCGTACCATTTACCATGTATCCTCTTTTATAACAAAAAATAATAACTACTGTATTCAAATACTTTTTAACATACAAACACTTACATGATATCTAATAAACTTTTTTTTTGTACAGATGACGAATTATTCTTTGAAGACGACTCACAGAATGATCACTGAATGAAGATTGCTGTTACCGTGTTTTATGACATCATGAAAATTCTTTATTTTTTTTTTGTAATTTGTGAATGGCGTAATAAAAGTTATCAAAATAATTTCATTGTGGAAATATTTATTCATAAATACTTGATTCATGTTAGATTATGTAAATATGGATTGACTAAGTTTTGTGAAATACGGGACGTTGAAAGAGAGAGAGGCGAAGATTTGTGTATGCGTCAGCCAAAAACAGTCATAAACAAAAGCAAAAATATAATTATTTGTTTCAATAAAATTGTAGTTGAAGGGAAATATTATGTTAATTTTTTTTAGATATGCATTTTTCGGATTGCTGATTAGAACTTCCAGACAAATGTAAAATTATTTAACTAGTCAGTAAGCGCTTTCACGTATATGTATATAGATCTTATAAGATTTTCAGTTATCCCACGAGAGGAAATCCGATCAGACGGTTTCATCATATAGCGAGCAACGGCCCCTCGTATGGTTACTGATCCACGCCAGGTATGGTATTACTTAGGCCAGGAGTTCTCAACCTGGGGTTTGCAAACCCCCAGGGGTGCACGAGAAGATTTCCAGGGGTACTTGGACGGCAGTCTAGTTTTTGTGTGTTGCTGTTTTTACACAGCCTTCATTACTACCAGAGAAAAATGCGTGTCGATTGAAACTAGATGCAAATTGAAACGTAGATTTTCCTTGATGATGCGTTGTTTTTTGATTGTGACACAACAATGTGAAATTCACGGCTTTGCAGACAAACTGTGAAAACTCAAAGACAGCGTGCTGCGAGCATTTAGGCCGCGAGCCGAGGCCCTGAAAAAAAGCCTAGAAAGTGAGTTTCGTAGCGCACATCAGGTAACTACCTGAAAATGATTTTAAAATGTTCCTTAAAAATTTAGTAACAAATATTGCCTTGTTCCCACTTCCAAAACTTGCACGTTTTACGGAAAAGA